TTAAAAAAAACAAAAATAAAATATTTTAATTAATATTAATTATAACTTAAAGATGAATTAAAGAATGTAACATTAAAATTGATTTAAAAAAAATAATAATTTTACTAAAATAAAGAAATTATTGAAAGATATACAAAATTACATTATTTTTCATAAATTTTTAATTAAAACTTAAAGATAAATTAAAGAATTAAACTTTAAAAATGAATTTAATTTTACTAAAATATAAAAATATTTTAAGAAAAGCAAAAATATAATATTATTCATAATTTTTCATAAAATAATTAAGATAAATTAAAAAATGAAACTGTAATCTTTATATTTAAATGTAAAAATTACTTTAAGTTTATAATTATATATTGACTATCAAATTACTTTTATTTATCAATAAATTATTTATTGAAAATTTATTTTTAAATAATTTATTTGGAAATTTACTCCAAATTTATCTTTTTATATTTACTTTAAAATTACTTTTAATATTAAATAACACTATATTAAGAAAGTTTATCATTTTATCTTTAATTAAAAATCATTTTTAATTTTTATTAAAAATTATATTTTATAAATTATATAATTTATATTATTTAATATAATTTAAAAATTTATCCTTTTATACTGGTATTCAAATTACTTTTAATTTTTGTTCTGAAATATTTTATTAATTTTTTTTCTTTAAAATCTATTACTTAATTTAAATTTTAAAATAAAGTTTATTATTTTATAAATATTTTACATAATTTTGAGGGAAATAGTAAATTTCTTAAAAAAATCATTTATTTACACTTTTTTTAATTTTTCTAGATTAAAGTTATTTTTATGAAATAATTTTAATATTTATATCTTATTTTATTATATCATTTTATATTTAAAAATAAATTTATTAGATTAAACTTACTTAAAAATTACTTATTAATAGTATTTATGAAATTATTTGATAAATTTGTATTTTTTTTTATAATTAAAATATGAATTATCAATTTAAAATAAAATAATAAAAATATCAATCTAAAAAATAAGAATTAAAAAATTTACAATAAAATAAAAAATATTTAATACAGTAAAATATTAAATACTATAATGAAATGTTAATAATTTCAACTTTATCATATCTGCAGCATCTTTAGCAACATCTGATCCTGTAATTCCCATAGAAATTCCAATATCTGCTTTTTTGATTGCAGGACTATCATTGACTCCATCTCCTGTAACAGCTACAACATGACCTCTCTTTTAACATCCATCAACAATAATTAATTTTTAAGCAGGACTTGTTCTTGCAAATACTAATTAAGGTTTACTCAGCCATTCTTATAATTGTCTACCTTTTTCATCTTCAGGTAAACCTTCATCATCAATAGCCATTTTAGTCAATTTGTCACCATGAATCACTAAAGCATTTGATTAATGAAAAGCTTCTTCAAATGATATATTTTTTTCAATCATGATTTCATCAACTGTCTTCTCTGTAATTATATTACATTATCTAGCTATAGCTGTAGCTGTGACTGGCTGATCTCCAGTTACCATTATAACTTAAATCCCTGCTGTTTTACATTTAATTACAGCATATGGTACATTATCTTTAGGTGGGTCAATTAATGATATCAAACCAACAAATACTTAATTATTAAAAGGGAAATTCATCTTATCTAAATTAAATTGATAACCAATTGGATATTAATCTTTAGGTAAATGCAATTTTGCAAATCCTAATACTCTTTCTCCTTGTCTTCCAAAAGATTCATTGATTTAATTAAATGATTATTCCCATTTCTCATCTTTTGTTTCAATATTTCCATCTTTATAAATCTTATCACATAATTTCCATATTCTCTCTGGAGCCCCTTTTGTCAATAAACAATAATGAGAATCTTAAGTTTCATATTCAACTATTATAAATGCATATTTATTATTGGAATTAAAAGGCATTCTAGCCTATTTATTTTCTGAATCCTTTGCTGGTTCTCTACTTTTTCTAGTTTTTATTATATCACTTATTGGTTAGAAAAACTTAATTAGAGCTGTTTCTGATGCATCTCCAATTGTAGGTTTTTCTTAACAGAGCATTTTATTAAAATTTAATTCCCATTTTTCAGTTGCTTCTTTTAATCTTTGATCTTTTTATAACTAATTCAAACCAATTGCATTTTAAATTTTAATTTTTTAATCTTAAGGAAGAGAACTATCAAAAGTAGCCTCTGAACATAAAATGGCAGTTTCATGAAGTGTTTTGAATCCTATTTCATTTAAATCATATTCATATTTATATTTAGGACCCATCTTCTCAAAATTGGTTCCCTTATACTTCTTGTTATTATACCACAAATTTTCAACTGTCATTTTATTTTATGTCAAAGTTCCTGTTTTATCAGAACAAATACATGATCTATTCTAAAAATATAATATTACGTAGATCCAAGAGTTTCAACTCCTTCTAAATTTTTGACTAAAACTTTCTTATAGGCTAATTTTTTGGCTGTTAATGTTAATGCAACAGTAACAGTTGCTAATAATCCTTCAGGAACGTTGGCTACAATAATACCTATACCAAATACAATATTTGTAATAGCAGCTAATAATATAATTCATTTATAATTACGATATCCAATAATAAAGCCTAAAACAAAAAAGAGTACTCCAAAAGTTGTTGAAATTATACTTATATTCTTAATAAAATTATTAAGTTCTTTTCTTAAAGTAGAATCATCTCCTCCAGAACTATCTACCAAGCCTGCTATTTATCCAATGACAGTATTATCACCTGTAAAAATAACCAAACCTTTTCCATTTCCCTATTTAATATAAGATATATTATATACCTCTTTACATAAAGTCCCAAAAAAAGCTAAATTCTTTGTTTCCAAAGGATTTGAAGGATTTGTACATTCAGGACTTCTCATTAATAATAATGACTCTCCAGTTAAACTTGAATTATCTACTTTCATTTCATTACTTTCCAATATCCGAACATCTGCTGGAATTCTTTTTCCATTTTCAATTACTACTACATCTCCTGGCACCAAATTTAAAGCAGGTAACTTTTATTATTATCCATCTCTTATCACTAATGTTTCAGGTGGTATGAAATTCTTAAAAGAATCCATTATAGCTTCTGATTTTGCATTTTAAAAAAATGTTATAACACCTGTTAATGTATTTACTACAGCTATCACTATTCCCAAATATAACTACAATATAATTAATATAGATACATTTGAAGGATCTGCTGGAGCTAATCCATAAGCAATAAAACATAATATGGATCCAACCCATAAAAGTAGAGCAAACATAGAAGTTAATTCATGTAACAACTTTACATACCAAGGTACTTTCTCTCTTTAGGTTAATTCATTTTTTCCAACTTCTACTAACCTTTAAGCAGCAACATCTTTATTCAATCCATCTTTTGAACTTGTTTAAAACCTCTACTCTAATTCTTCTAATGGTATTCTGTGTTCATCCTAAATTAAATTTTTCTTTTAATACCATATTTTTGAATTTTTCTGCTTTATTTGCATCAACCTTTTCTTTTTCTTTACTTTAACCTTTATCAATTTACGAGAACAGCTTCTTTCTCCGATCTGCTATTTCTTTTGTCAGTTAATCAAATTCTTTTCTTGCTTAAATAAGTTACATTTCTTAACTAAACATTAGATCATTATACTACTTCTGTTGAGTAAACATTGTTACTATCATAGACGCAGTTTTAGCAGCCGATTTCATTTATAATTAAAAATTCAAGCCTAAAAAAGATTTAATTTTCTTTATAAAACAATGATGTAATATAATTGTTTAATTTATAATTCGATCAAAATATTTTAAGATGTCCAATAAAATTTTAAATGTCCAAATTTTGAAGTTCTTAATATAAGCATCAATCTCATCAAATTAGAAGGGTCTGCTTTTAATAACTTTGTTTTGATAGTTGCAAACATAAAAATTATAAAAAATATTAAATTATAATGACTTTTTTCATATATTTTTATTAATTAGAATTTTTAATATCAATACTCATCATAATTTTTGAAAATGATATTGATATTTCAATTTAGGATTTAGTATGAAGAAAATATTTAAAAAAATTATAAATTTATTGTCCATATTAATTTAAGCAATATTCATTAATTTAGTAATAATAAATAAATATATCCAAAACTCTATATAAACAGGAAATAAATATTAGAACTTGGTGGAGCTAATAAAATAAAATCAATTAAGAAAAATTTAATGAGTCCTATAAAATTTATAACTGTTTTTTTCTAATAATTGTTCAAAAGTAAGAACAAACAAAAAGTAAAATTATTATTAAGAAGAGAATTAAGACTTCATAAATTTTATTGTCCTATAGTAGCCATATTTAATCTAAGTCTGTATGAAACCCATTCATTGTTTAATCAAAAAGGATGTAATGCTTTGCTGATAATTTTTGAGAATTTTCTGTCTTCTATTCTAGACCCTGATTTAAAAAAAAATTATATATTTATTTTTATTATAAAGAATATTAATTAATAATTACATAAAAATAGATGAAAATTAAATATGTGAGCATGAATATTAAATATTTCTAAATATTTTAGTTTATTCCATTTTTTTTTAAAAGAGTTATTAAAACCTGAGATAAAAAATAAATGTTTTTCCAGCCTAATTATAAATCTGCTCAAAAATTTTGTAATGATAATTAAATAAAATATGAATTAGAAAACTTCTTTAAAAAATACGGTAATAGAGAATAAGAAACCCAATTATAACTCATATTAACGTCTTTCAGTTTCTCAGTCAAACTTTATTAATGAATTTTTCAACAGACAAAAATTGTATGATGATCGATATAATGCAAACTAATTCGAAAAGGATAGCTTAAAATTTATCTCTTCTTAAAACAAAACAAAACTCAGTAAGTATAAAGACATAATCGAATCAGCAAAATAAAGATTTGCTTCATCTCCAAATAATATCAAAAATAATATGATATAATTATAGTAGAACTCTATTACAGATATAGTTGAATAATTGAGAAATTAGAAAAGAGCTAATAACGTTATACTTAAAAAAAATATTAACAGCTCTAAGAAATTTAAGTAATTGAACTTAAATTTTATTTTACTACTAGCTATTCCATTAATATGCTTTTTAGTTGTACTTTTTGAAATGAAATGACTCACAGAGAAGGATAATATACAGATTGAATTAATTATATAATTATATCAAGTCTTAAACTTCTGAATATTTTTTTAATTTTTTAATATTTATGAGAGAAACATAAAAATATGGAATCTAAGGGATTGAAATATATCTTTTCTTTTTCATATTTGTGAATTTTTACTCTGAAATAATCAATATGATTTCAGAATTTCTAAAATTCTGTTTTTTTTTTAAATTTATTGCTAAAATACGATTAATCCAAAATAAGATATTGAAAAAAATACTTTTAAATATATTTCACAGCCCTATGATGGGATATAGGTTAAAAATTTGATTATTAATTACATAGGAAAATAAATATTAATCATAAATTAAACTTATAAAAATAAGCTAATATAAATTTGATGGCAACAAAAACTTGAATTTATTTATATATAATATTATGTATCAGTATCAGAGTTTAAAACATTTATTTCTTAGAACGAATGGTTTAATTAGAATTCGACCAAAAGTAAGAGTAACAGACAATTATACTTTATCACTTGTTTATACTCCTGGAGTTGGGCATATATGCAAAGTAATAGAAAGAGATCCAGATTAATTGTATGAATTAACAATCACTAATAATTCCATAGCATTATTAGCTGATGGATCTAGTAATATTTGTATATTAAATAGAATTCAACCTTGCTAAGCCATCAAAAATGATTCCAAATTTAGAAGCGATTAGTGCACTCTATAAAGCTTTTTACGATATAGATGCTTATCCAGTGATTTTAAATAGGAACATAATGAATGATGTTTCTGATTATTTGTTGGTGTTAGATAATTTGTGTGTCACATATAAAGTAATGATTACATATTAGTAATTAGACAATTGTATTAATTGATATAGAAGATAATTTGGCAAAGTAGATATTATCTGCAGTTGAGAATTCTAATATAGATTGTAGTGTAGTAATATCAAATTCAGATAATCTAAGAGTATAATTATATGATGCTGCTTTAATAAAAGCCACATTAGATTATAGAGCAATATTAAAACCAAGTTAATTAGAAGTAGTAAAGAAATCAATAACTAAAATTGATTTTAGTAGTTTACCATTCAATTTAACAAAAACTTTAAATTCTGCTTATGGATTAGGATTATTAGAAATTTATAAAAATAAATGGTTTCATCATTCAATAAAGAGTGTAAATCCTGAATAGTTTATTAAGAAATTAAATGATTTGTATATATATGGAGAATTAACTTATTATAATAAATGGTCGGATGGACATTTATTATAAAAAAATGATTTTTAGAAAAATGCTTTAGAATTACATAGAAGATATAATGGAATGATAACAATAGAATTAAAGTTTAATCCTAGATCATTAGAGGATTTGTTCAGAATATATGAATGTTCATATCGTAATGATGATTTAGGAGAATTAAGATAAATGTTGATAGATGATCCAAATAAATTAAGAGAGATAACATTTAAAAAGAATTATGCAGCAATAATAACAAATGGAACAGCTATTTTAGGATTAGGAAATATTGGTCCAGCAGCAGGATCACCAGTAATGGAAGGTAAATCTGTTCTATTTAATGCTTTGGGAGGTATAGATCTAATGCCAATTTGTTTAAAAGAAAGAGATCCTTAAAAATTAGTAAAAATTATTAGATGGTAAATATATAAAAGATTATAGTATTGCACCAATATTTTCAGCTATCAATTTAGAAGATTTAAGTGCACCTGATTGTTTTCCAATAGAAGAAGAGGCTATTAATAATTTACATATTCCATTAATGCATGATGATTAACATGGGACTGCTGTTGTTAGTTTAGCAGCAGTTATAAATTACATTAAATTAACAAAAAAGAACATTAAAGATCTAAAATTAGTGATTAATGGTGCAGGGTATCAAATATTGCCAATTTACTCATTAGAGCAGCTGGTGTGGCTATATGTAAATTACTATATGGACATGGTATTTAAGACATTGTTATTTGTGATACTACTGGTATCATATATTAAGGAAGACCAAAAAATATGAATGAATTTAAAAATGAATTAGCGTAATTCACAAATAAAAATATAATAAAAGGATCATTAAAAGATGCAGTATAAGGAAGAGATTTATTTGTTGGTGTATCTACTGCAGTAATTAAATATCTTTATATATTATTAAGGGTGCTTTAACAAAAGAAATGATTAAAACAATGAATAAAAATCCATTCATTCTTGCTTTAGCTAATCCTGAACCAGAAATAATGCCAGATGATGCTATAGAAGCTGGAGCATTTATTATAGCTACAGGAAGATCAGATTTTAATAATTAAGTTAATAATTCTCTTGCATTTCCAGGTATCTTTAGAGGTGCTATTGATACAAGAGCAAGATAAATTAATTTAGAAATGAAAGTAATTTATATAAATATCTATTTAGATTGCAGCTGCTTATGCAATTGCAAATAGTATCAAAGATTCTGATCTTTGTACTACTAAAATATTACCAAATGCTTTAACTGCTGATATTCCAGCAAATGTAGCAAAAGCAGTTGCTATTGCTGCTATGGAAACTGGAGTTGCAAAAATCAATATTGATCCAGATAAGGTTTTTGATTAAGCTAGAAAATTAATAATGGAAGGTAATATGCCATCTTTGTGAATATTATATATAAATATAATTTAATATGCAATAAATTGACTTAGACAATCATAATTTAAACTTTGAATTAGAACTACAATATGCTAGAGCAAGATAACGTTAGAGAAGAAGAAGTGTAATACTTATTGTTTTTGCAATCATGTCCATCTTTTATGTTTTTCTTCAACCTAATCAATATGCTGATAAATCAAATCAAATTCCATATTCTTAAAATAATGGTACTAACAATATTACAGAAACTAATGCAACTGTTTTATCAATTTAACAGCATTTTCAAACTTTAGAAAAATTACTCCTTTAATAATTCCAAGGATAATGGACTAATTCATAAAATATTACCAATAACTTAGCAGAAGCTAATTTCTAAAAAACATCATATTAAAATAGATCTCAAATCGAACTAAAACTCAAACTCATTGAAGGATAATTCTTAGAAGATTACTCTAATCAATTCGCATTTTATTTAAACTCTTCCCAATTAATTTTACCTCTTGAAGATAATCATTATGTATTTGAAAATGTCAGAGGTGCTTATAGAAAGTCTAGTGTTTTTGAAAATGATTAACCTAGTGTAGAAATTTAAGCAAATTTAACCTTGATTTTCAATAATGTTAATCTTGATAGTGATTTATTAGATGATATCACTTTAGAATTAAAAGCTCATTATATATTATAATCAGAAACATTTTATTTCAATTCTAATCTTAATATCATTAATGTAAAAATTAATATAAAAATTAAGATAGATAATAAAGCGATCATTTATTCAACAATAGTTTCAATTCTAAGCGTAATTCAATTTATCAGTTGTCTAAAATTAATGAAAGATTTCATAAATGAAAATAGAATGGCTACCTAATTCAGTCTATTTATATTTGTTTTCCTTATGATATTTGATGGTTACTTAGGAATTGTACATTTCTTCCTTGCTTAAAAAAGTGAAGTATCATTTATTATATTTATTTAAGTATTTTCTTACACCTGCCTTCCTAGAATTAGTATTGTTTTTCTTTTTAGAATTGAAACTTGCTAAACACATTTGGTAAGAAAGATTTATCAATCTACAAGACAACTTAAATTTAAGAAGCGAACTTTATCTTTTTCATCTTAAATTCTACTTGCTCTCTATTATTGTAGTACTCCTACTCTATTTTCTAATTTACTATAATATCTTCTTGATTGTCATAAACCTATATTTACTACCTTAAATAATTCATGTAGCATATAAAGGACAATATGTAGAATTTGATAAAATCTTTGTTTTTGGATTATTATCAACCAGATTATTCATACCTGTATAATATATATAATGACATTTTAGATTTATTATAGAGGTTGTCCTTACAATATTCTACATGCAGAAGTATCTTATTTAACAGTAATTTCTATTATTCTATTATTTGCTGCTTAAGTTGTTTTATATTATTATCAATGCTAAATTGGACCCAGATTCTTCTTACCAAAATGGTTAAGACCAAAAACTCATGAATATTTTGTAGAATAACCATTAGAAGGAGAATGTGCTATCTGTATTACTTCATTAAATGAATTACCAACTGAATCACAATTAGAAAATAAATTTATTGCTAAAATTATTAGTTAGAATTAAAATAAATTAATGGAAACACCATGTGTAATAAATATTCTCAATATTTTTTAAGGGACATCATTTTCATTCTATTTGCTTAACTAAATGGATGAATGTCAAATTAAATTGTCCGACTTGTCGTTCCATACTTCCACCATTAATTTGATTTTAACAAAAAATAATAATATATAGAGCTTAATAATGATTTTCACTTAAGAATATATTATAAATCAACAAAATCAAGTTCTTTTTAATATATTCATATTTTTGATTTTCTCAAACCTTTTCTCAAAGATATCCTAGATTATCTTTACTTTTATTTTTATTAAGCTTGCATATCTGCTGGTAGATTTTCAGTCTCATCAACCAAAATAATATACCTGTTCAATAATTTTTGAAAATACTTTTCAACATCAACATGCATAAATAATTAATTTTTTATATGCATAGCATATATGTCATTTGTTATTTAATGTATTTCTTACCTATACTAATTAGTTTCTAAGGAATCTTTGCATAATCTTGATTTTTATTTATAATATTTCAAATCATATTTGTATTTTTTGATAATTTATTAATCCTACAAATGAACTTTTATTCTATCCCTTATTAATTCAACAAGAAAACAACTTCTCATCTACTAAGCAAATTCCTTATCTTTTATCACTTGAAACCACATTACAATAGCTTTATTTCTTTAAGTGGGTTATTTATCTTTAATTTCTTTTTCCCTTATTTTTTCGTTTGTTTTCTCCCATTTAGCTATCATTTCTTTTTTATATTACAAATAATTTGTTTCAAAGATTAAAATATATTTTTTAACAATTAATATTTTATTTGCTTTTTCTAACATTTTTACTTTTAATTCATATATTAATGCTCTTTATCTAAAATAAGGTATTAAGATATTTCCTTATTTAATTCTTACTACATGGCTAACTATTTTTGCTCTCATTTTAATAGAAATTAAGGCATCTACTGTTACTCTTGTAATTAAAGTTAGACCTTTTTTTTTAGCTAATTATTTTCTTAACATTATCAATAATAATTTTATCTTAAAGGCAGCCAATCGATATTTTTAAATTATAGTTTTTTTATGTTGATAGATATCAGCAATTTACTAAGTTAATTTGATTATATAAATTAAGGTAGCCCATTGATGTTCAAAAAAGAATTTATATTTTAAAACAAAATTAAGTTTTTTTTATAAGATTTTTTCTTGATTGGCTAATTATTTTGCTTTAATATCAAACTTTTTTTAAATAATTGCTTAATTATGAGATAATTTTTAAAAACTTTTAGTTTATAGTACTTTAAGATATCTTTCAGATCTTGAAATTTCATCATAATATTTATTTTTCTTGATTTTAGCTTATTGTCTATTAGAATTAATAATGAATTAGAAAGACTTATTATTATTAATAGAGGTTAGATTGTAATTATTTGAAGTATCTTAAAAGGTTTTAATTGCATATTTTTGCTCATTTAATATTTTAGTATGAATGTTAAAGGTGACTTCAGAGTTTTTTCTTGAGATAAAAGAAATATAAATAAATTCACCTGAAGTTACTGACATTTGAAATCCTCTATTATTAATAACCTATTCACAATTTTGAGTAGTTGGGAAAGAATGCACTTAGGATATCAAAACTTAGAATTCACTGGTGCATTAAATGGAACAACGCAAAGTACCAAGAACATTATGACATGCAATTTTCATATATCTATATTCCATTGCTTTTGTTAAATAAGTTTTTCCTGAAACTATAGTATTATTATCTTCCTTCTAGATGTAATGATCATGTTTCTATAAGATATGAGTATGAGAATAAGGGATTCTTACTTAATTGTAGCTATATCGTAAGTAGAGAGATTATTTAAAAGACACTTTTTAATCCTCAAGAAAGATGTTAGATTGGGCTTAGTGTTATAAAGAATAAGTCTCTTATCTTTTTGTAAAGGTTTCACTAATTTCTGTTTTTACATTCTCCTCTTTCATATATATATATTAGTAAAATTAAATTATCAATATCAGATTTTTTAGAAATTTATTAGTCCATTTTATTTAAAGACTTATAAATTGATATTTATTAAAGAAGGATTATATATATAATCCAAGTTTTTAAACATATTAATTAATTATAATTATAATAATAGTTATAAGAGTGATTTTTATCAAACTTTTATTTATTTATTTTTGGAGAAAGTATTATTAAGAGAATATAATAAAATGATGAAGTTTTAATATACTATTTTAAAAATAATAAAATAGATGTTGTTGTAATTATATATAATATTAATTAAATATCTTAAAATGGAAGAATAAGTAATAAATGTAATATTCGATCCTAATTTCTAATCTTTTGATTAAGAATTAGCCAATTTAAGCATGGATAAAATGATGAGCATCTAATTTTCAGAAGAATTGTTACAAAAGAATTTTGCAGTTTTGATATCTATATTAAAATAATTGCATAAAGGAATGGTATTGATGAATACAAAAGTGTAAGATAATTCTGAGTGGGTTTAGGTATATGTAATCAATAATTAATAAGAAATTGAAAGATGTAAGTGAAACTCCTGAAAGCAAATAGTAAAATAAAGAAACTATAGATTAGATTACATCAAAATTATAAGAAATATAATCAATATCATAAAAGGATTATGCAACAAAAGAAGAATTAGATTAGACGAATCAAAAATTTAGTAAGTTTTTTATTTAATATATTTAATAGATAGAATAGTAAAGTAATAAGAACAAGCTTTATAGGATTTAGAAGGTGAATAAACTACTTAATCTAAGAAAATAGAAGATTTAAATAATACATAAATACATTAATCTGAATAACTAAACTCACTAAATCAAGAAATTGAAAATATCAAAAAATAAATGAATGGTTTTTAAAATGAGTTACATGAAGTAGAAGAACGTAAACCAGAATAAATTATAATTGAAAAAGAAGTAATAAAAGAAGCTCAGATTCAAGCTATGGCATTGCCTATTCAATATGCTAATAATGATGAATAAATCAACAAGTTAAATAAATTAACTCTTGAATTAAGTAAATATTTACATAATCCTTAGAATAATAACAGGAATAATTATAACAAGAACTAATTAACTTAAAATAAGGATTAAATAATGGAAAAGTTTCAGAAGAAAGTTAACCAGTAGATTTATCAGATATCAATAAGAGATTAAATGGTCATGAAGATGAAATATAATCTTTATATGAAATTCTAGATAGTGTAAGGTAGAAGTTAAAAGATTAAAATAATTATTAATAATCTGATGTTTCAAATGAAGAAATAAATTCAATTAAAAATGATATCAAGAAATTATAATAATAAATTGAAGCTTTATAAACTTAATTAAATTTAGCTACTTTTGGATAAGGTGAAGATATGTAAGAGAATTAAGTTGCTCTAATTTTAGGAGAAATCAATAAATTAAGAGAATAATTATAAAATTATTGTCCAATATAAGACTTTTAAAATGAAAATACCAAGAAAGAAATGAAAATTAAGATTGTTCAAGATCATGCAGATGAAGAATTAGAAAAAGCAAGAAGAGAATTCAAAAGTAAAATAGATAAAAAAGCAGAATAAGCAGATATTACTAAATTAGAAAAGGAAATTATATAATTGAGAGAACAAATAGGAAAATCTTAACAAAGAAAATCTTAAGCTCATGTTGAAACACCTTTAAAACCATCAAATACTGAAAAAGAATTACAAAATTTAATTAAAGAATTATAATAATCAATAAAGGAAATAGAAAGGTATTTATTATATAATTGATTGATAGTGATCTATTAATACATAAAACATAAATGAATTAAAATAATTAATAAACACATATTAAATTGGCTGAATTGGAAAAGAAACTTTAGGGAATATAAACTGATAAGATTTATATTGAATTATAAAACTAGAGAGAATAAATGGATTTAATTAAGCGTGATTAAGATTAAAATAGAATGAAGATTAATAATTTTGGAAAGAAAATAGAATCGATAGTAACAAAGGATGAATTATTCTAAACATTTGATCCAAAAATAAAATCAGTAAGAGATGAAGTTTAAAAAATTGGAGATGAAGTTAAATTTAGTATTGATAGAAAAGCTGATGCTTAAGAAGTGAAAGATTTGAATTAAACATTTTTAGATTAACTATAAAAGGTTGTAACTGAATTAATTAAAACATTAGCTAATAAATAAGAAACAAAGAAAGCTTTAATATATCTTGAATAAAAAGTAATATAAAATAACTAAAATAGATAAATTAAATATTTATGATACTTGAAGGAGATGGATCAAAGGATTAAGATTCTTTATTTGTAAAAAAACCACTTTCTTGGAGTTGTGCTTCATGTGATAAAGATTTAGATAAATATAAAGGTTAATTAGGAGATTTCAAAAATTGGGCTGTATTTCCTCCAAAAGAAACATCACCTGAAAGAATGGGAAAGGTAATATAATTCATTAATATATTAATTAGTTTGGTATTGGTTATAAGAATATGCAAGAAAAGTTAAAATCTAATAGAGAAAAATTAGATAAAGATAGAAATCAAAATGAAAAAGAATCCAGTTAATAATAGCAAAGTATGACATTAAGTCAAAGTCAAACTCAATTGCCAAAAATTAAGTAATGATGATGATGTCTATATATTTCAATATAATTATATAAGGCAAAATTTATCTAATTAAAAGAGATAACTATTTCTTAATTAATTATGAATACAAATAGATCATCATCAACTAAAAGATTTGTATTGAATTCACCTTAGAAGCATCCTTATATTTCTGAGCCAACACCTGATGTCTCAATCAATTTAGGATTTGATTTACTCTGGAGATAACATTCTTTAAAAATATTTTGTGCGATTACTAAATTTATTTTGAAATTAAAGACAGCAGCTGAACGTTATCGATTTAGAACTGTTACTTATCGAATACATGATATCATTGGAGATTAATCATCTAGTTATGATTTTTATTCAGATAAAAACTTAGTATTTTCAAAAATTTCATTATCTCAAACATTAATTAAATACTTCAATTCTTTAATGCCACAAATTTAAATTGGAGTTATTTAACCTGACAGTAAGATTAAGTTACTTTTAGATTGTTGTATTTTAGTTTTTGTAATTATCAACATATTTTATATTCCAATGGAATTATCATTTGAAATTGATAATAATAATGAAGTAGATTTCTTTTTCAGTACTTTACCTAGTTACATATTTTTGTTGGAAATTTTACTTAATTTTAATACAGCTTACTATTCAGAAGGAATGATTCATGTAAGTAGAAAAATGATATTTAAACATTATATAAAGGGTGATTTTATTAAAGATATAATAGTTGTAATTCCCTTTCTCATATCATAATATAATATTCCATACATAAATTTTGTACTTTTATTACGAGTTACAAGAGTAACTAAAATGGTTGAACAAATTGAAGAAATTACCTTGATAAGAGAGAAATTTGCTGCTCCATTAGATATAATAAAACTTATGTTTTTTATGGTTTTTGTATCTCACATTTTTGGTTGTGCATGGCATTATATTGGTCAGTACTAAATTACATAAGATATTGATAATTGTTGGTTAATTAAATATAATTTAGATAAATCTGATTGGGCAACTAGATATGTGGCATCTTTATATTTAGCTACTATTACAGCATTTACTGTAGGTTATGGTGATATAGTTCCATAGACTTCATATGAATAAGCTTTTATGATTTTTATGGTACTTGTTACATCATTGATTTTTGGATATACTATATCTTCAATATAGACTATATTTGGATAATTAAGAGAGAAAACAGATTTGCATAGGAATAATATGGCAAAAGTGAATTCGTATATGAAAAAACATAAATTGAATCCTTTATTGTAAATGAAAGTAAGAAAATATTTAGATTATTTTATTGATGTGGATGATAGTCCAGAGTAATTATTAGATAAATTGAATGATGATTTGAAATTAGAATTGAAATCTAATATTTATGTGTAAGTGATGAAGACATGTTCAATATTTTCTAAATTTTCTGATTAAAGTTTAAAATAATTGAGTAAAGTAGTAAAATCATAAACATTTATTCCAGGTTCAATGATATTTTAATAGGGAGAATTAATAAATGATGCAAGCTTTATTGTTAAAGGTGTTGTTGAATTCAATATCAACAAAGTATCAATTGCAACCTAATACAAAGGATCATTAGGATCAAAAGAATTTATAGCATAAAGATAAGTACACTATAATGCAAAAGCTATATAATTCACTGAAGTAGCATATATTACATAGTAAGATTTTTTAAATGTTTTAAAATCAGATTAAAGCAGTTATGAATAATATTGCAATTTAAGAGATGAAATAATATTTAATTTAATACCTATTTAATGTTTAATTTGTAGACGTACTCATGAATTAATGAATTGTCCTGTTGTATTTTATAAACCATTATCATCAAAAATATCATAAGACAAAAGTTTAAATGTAATTTTGGATAGACATCCTCATACAAGAAGAAAATAATTAAAATCAAAAGCAATAACAAGAATTTAAGAAACAATTGAATATGCTTTAGAGGCAGCATTCGATAATGGTATAATTTAAGATGAAGTGAATGAAGATTTCTTGATGAAATGTGGATATAGAGATAAAAAATAAGGATAAATAAATCCTAGTCATAGTTCTTAAATTGAAACTGGTAAATAATAATAATAATAGTAATAATAAATGGATTTATTAAAACCACCAAAAGTTTATAAAAAGATATTTTTATCAAGTGAATATAATTAATCAGAATATGCTTAAAATGAGGATGAAAAATAATTAGAATAGATTCATAAAGACTTTTTAACTTTTAAGAAAGAAGAAATAGAAGGGATTGATAAAAATGAAGAATTGTTATGTTATAGATAAAAAGAGAATCTAAGTTACATTCTAAATAGTTTAAAAGGGAATAGATATAAATAAGAGAATACAAGAATAACTCGAATGAAAACTTATAAGTTTAAATCATTTCTTAAGTTTGGGTTTAAGTGAAATAATTATAATATTCTTATCAATCTTCTTTTACTATCCAACATTTTTCACATACATCATAATCACATTCTTAACATCTATATGCTCCACCTGAAATTGAACTTCTACAAACATCACAAGAATGATATTTCAAATTAGGAACATATTTCAATCTATTATTCATAAAATATACTCATGTCCTCCACCACAAAAATCTCCCATCACAGGAGGCTATCTGCATTTTACACAATAATATATATTGCATTATGTACAGCCATATCTACTCATTGTGTCTACTGGACCACATTAACCACATTTCTATATATGCTTTTTAACCCATTAAAGTTTATGATGATTCTAACACACATCATTTGCAGCCCAATTAATCATTATTTTTACAATCCAATTAATAATTAAATTAATTATATATCAATACATGAACAACTCTGATTCTCTTGATAAAATCTTACAACTTGCATTATCATATGAATAATAGTAAAATATATACATATCTAATTAGGATCTAACAAAGAAAACAAATTTAAAATGCCATAGAAATTCTTAATCTAACTGAATAATAGTTACTTAAAGACAGAAAAGAATTTGATAAATACTTATAACAGNAAATAATTAAAATCAAAAGCAATAACAAGAATTTAAGAAACAATTGAATATGCTTTAGAGGCAGCATTCGATAATGGTATAATTTAAGATGAAGTGAATGAAGATTTCTTGATGAAATGTGGATATAGAGATAAAAAATAAGGATAAATAAATCCTAGTCATAGTTCTTAAATTGAAACTGGTAAATAATAATAATAATAGTAATAATAAATGGATTTATTAAAACCACCAAAAGTTTATAAAAAGATATTTTTATCAAGTGAATATAATTAATCAGAATATGCTTAAAATGAGGATGAAAAATAATTAGAATAGATTCATAAAGACTTTTTAACTTTTAAGAAAGAAGAAATAGAAGGGATTGATAAAAATGAAGAATTGTTATGTTATAGATAAAAAGAGAATCTAAGTTACATTCTAAATAGTTTAAAAGGGAATAGATATAAATAAGAGAATACAAGAATAACTCGAATGAAAACTTATAAGTTTAAATCATTTCTTAAGTTTGGGTTTAAGTGAAATAATTATAATATTCTTATCAATCTTCTTTTACTATCCAACATTTTTCACATACATCATAATCACATTCTTAACATCTATATGCTCCACCTGAAATTGAACTTCTACAAACATCACAAGAATGATATTTCAAATTAGGAACATATTTCAATCTATTATTCATAAAATATACTCATGTCCTCCACCACAAAAATCTCCCATCACAGGAGGCTATCTGCATTTTACACAATAATATATATTGCATTATGTACAGCCATATCTACTCATTGTGTCTACTGGACCACATTAACCACATTTCTATATATGCTTTTTAACCCATTAAAGTTTATGATGATTCTAACACACATCATTTGCAGCCCAATTAATCATTATTTTTACAATCCAATTAATAATTAAATTAATTATATATCAATACATGAACAACTCTGATTCTCTTGATAAAATCTTACAACTTGCATTATCATATGAATAATAGTAAAATATATACATATCTAATTAGGATCTAACAAAGAAAACAAATTTAAAATGCCATAGAAATTCTTAATCTAACTGAATAATAGTTACTTAAAGACAGAAAAGAATTTGATAAATACTTATAACAGTAACAAAAATGAAATATCAAATAAATAACTTAAGGTGAAATTTATATTCACATATTTTTAATGTTATCCTTCTTTTTATAAATTAAATCATATAAATCAATAAATTAAAGATTCATTTATTATCATTATAATAATACTTCAATTATCAAAAACAGAAAATATATCTCTCTTATTTTAGATGAATTTAAATTAATTATATTAGTTAAATCTAAAACATAAGATTCAAATTAATTTTTTTTAAATACGAAATAATTCTAATCAAAACCATTATCTATCTTAAACTCTCAATTTCAATTTATATATTCAACATGAATAACCCATTTTTAATATTAGCTATATTTATTTAAAATTCAATAATTCTTGTACTTATTTTCTATTAACACAAATATATTTAGTCTTTATAATTACCCATCATATTAATTTTAGAAAATTTTTAAAGAAATATAATTATATTCAACAAGCATACCATATCTAAATATTCATTTGAAAATTAATAATTATTTTCATTATGATATACATATATCGATTCAATAATATATGGTTTTGTTATTTTATGTTATATTTTTATTATAATTTTATTAACAATACTCTAATTCATTTTTATTATCTTATTTCATTTAAATATTTTCAAATCAATGCTCTTAAATTTAATTTAAGCATAATAAATATACATATAAATTATTAAAAATACTTATATTGGTCAATTTGATGATAATCATTAAAGTTACTTTTGTGTTCTTTAAGAAAATTGTCAAATCATTATTTCTAATTTAATTATTTGATAAAAAAAGAATTAGAAAATAAAAAATATTAAAATTTTGAATGTTAATGAATAATCAAATTTGATTATCATTTTGTTATTTTTCTTTATCATTAATCTCAATCTATAGAAGAAGTATATCTAGAGTAGAAAATTTATATAAATGATCCTGGATTAAAGAAATATGTATTAATTAGGAGAAATAATGTAATGTAGAATTTAATTATTTTTTTTAAAGATTTTCTAAAAATTGATATTCTATCAATATTTCTAGAAAATCTAATTAAAATAAATTAAATTTCAATAATGCAACTGCTTTGAAAGAATAAATATATGAAATTACATTGTAAAATTTAGAAAATGATAAAAATTTGTTATTTGATCAGATAATAAGATTGTCCTTAGAGAATCTAAATTTAAATAAAGAGGAAAAGTAAATGTATGTAGATGTTTCAAAAGAGATATATTATAGAGGATAATTTATAAAAACTTAAATATTAAATTAAATATTAATAATAATAATAAAAACAAGCAGGAATATAAATAGAATAAAACATATGATTTATTATTATACTTAATAATTCAATATGTGTCTCAAACCTAAATTAATGCTACTTAGGATTTGAGATCTGAAATCTGGGCAGCAGCTTTGTTATTTTAGATTATAATTTCTTTATTAACCTTTCTTAATTCTCTAATTTCAAGTGCAAGAAGTTTAATATTTTTTCCATAACTAAATAATAATTGTTTTGTTTCTTATAATTCCATTTTAATTTTAGCTTTTTCAGCTTATTCATTTTCAGTATCAAGTTTATGAGCTTTAATGCTTGCTTGAAGTGTTTTAATTAAATCTTATAAACCTTTAGTCTACTCACTAAAAATATAATTAGAATAATATATATACTTTAAAGCTTTAATTTCATTATTATTATTCTATATTCTCTATTGTTTTTCTTAAATCATTTATTCAAAAATAGTTAATTTTTAAATTAATTACCAATGTTATTCAGCCAAATAATATATTAAAGAAGATTAAGATCGACATTCAATATTTATATAACTACCAAATACATAAAGAGATGAAAATATCCTTTACATAGTAGCTAAATATAATCCAAATAGACCTACATCAGCAGCAACAGCAGTTCCTAAATTAAATATCTTTTCTTAAACATCAGATTAACTAGCTTTTAATTTCTTTAATTAATTTTATCTTTCTTTTTAAAAAGCTTCTCTATCATTTGCATTTATTATTAAATTAGATGTAAAACCACTTAAATTGAATGGGTCTGATTTTAAAAGATTAGAAGTTTGTAATGAACGTGAGGCCATTGATTAAACAAATATTTTTAAACCATCTGTTGAATCTGCATTTTCTATATGTTCCAATCTCCCCAAAAATTATGTACCTTTTACGAAATTATTTGCTTCTGTTATAATTGGATCTAACCATTCATTTGCATTCAAATTTGCATCAAAATATTTAATTATTTATGTCTTTACTATCTATTCAGGACAATCATTTGATAATCTTTTAAATAAATCAACTTGTTTTGTTAACAACTTCATTTATGATTAATATTAAATTGTTGAACATTTTATTACTTATGGTATTACTACTTTAAATTAACATAATGCAAAATAGATTGATTTCTTTGTTAAACATAAATTCACGATATCCTTTGAACTTAAAAATGAAACTAAATGTGGTTTAATCTTTGTTGCTATTACTAATTCGAAAGTAGAAAATGGAAAATCAGATTTCTCATTTAGATTTAAAAAATTTGATGTTTTTATTTTTTTTATTGCATTACTTTCCTTTAAAACCTTACTTAATTCCTATTGAGTGTTTTTCAATTTATCAGATAATTATAGTTCATTATTTTTAATAAATATTATTTCTTACTCCTTTAGAGTTAATTACTCTTACTTTTATACCAATTACTCTTTATACACACAGGCCTACTTTTCGAATTCTTGTGCTTATTGAAAAATTTATTGATTTAATTATTACAATTCAGTTGATAACTATACGAATAGAATGTGCATTATACTTCTTAAATTGATTTTTCATATCCTTTCTCTAAACTTATCACAAATTAATCATGATTAATTGTTTTATGTTTTAACTCTTCATATGCTTTTTTTAATATATTAAAAATCTGGTGCTCCTTCTATAATACAGATGCAAATTTTCTTAACTTTTTTAAATTATGATTTGCATCTGAAATTACTTCAAATATATTATCTCGATTCTTTAATAATGCTCTATACATCATTTCAACTCTTTCATCTTTTGATTTCTGCTAATCTAATTCAAATTAAAATGGGTTCAATTCTGAATCATCTGACTCAACAAATGACTCATCATTTTCGGGATATTCAATATTTTCAATCTATATATTACTCATTTTAATAACAATTTAAATAAAATTATAATAAAATCGAATAAAAATTCAGAGATAATCATAGAACAAATTGAGAAATTAATATTTAAGAAAAAATAAACAAATTACTCACTATAAAAAAATTGTACATATCTAAGCAATATTCATTTATTTTTTGAAATTTTATAGAACGCTTTTCAGAAGCATTCTTGATTGATAATTCATCCTACATTATTCTCTTGCCTAATGAATATCTTTATTTCTCTTTTTATATCAATTTTATTATAAATAATTCTTCAATTTCAAAAATTGTAAGGCAATTTTTTTAGTTGATAAAATTCTAATAATCTTGATAATTAATTAATTACTATATAAAAATTTTGAAATAATTACATATTTTACAATTAGATAACTAGTTTTATGTTTTAAATCGAATTATATATTATCTTTCATTTTAAAAATAAAATTAACACAATTTTCGTAGTATATTTTCATTTGTAAATAAAATTAATTTTTATTTCTATGACTAATAAAAATTAAGGACCAGGATTATTTTTTAAGATAATTTTTGAATGATATTGATGGAATTCTTTAATTAAAAAGCATGTAATTATCATTAAATTTGAATTAAATCTTTATTATATACTATTGGAATTTTTTTTGATTGAATAGATAGTCTTATTTTAAACATAAAATTTTAATTTAATTAATTTCATAAATTAATTGAATAGAAGATACAGATTTAATTGATAAAATAAAATTTTACTTAAATATAATAAACAATAATAAATTGTAAATTTGCTATCAACTATTTTATTTACTCTTATTTGATAGAATACTATCTTAATATTATTTATAGGAAAAAAGAGCCTAAAATAAAATCAAAATATATACCTAATCTATATTATTTTTTGGAAAATAATCACTGTAACTATGATTATTATCAATGGATTAATTGAGATCATATAATGGCATATCAAATGGGTTATTCATAAATTGTTTTGCAGTTTCATTAGTAAATTTAGATGATTGAATACCATATTTCGAGAATTATCTGTGATCTGAACTTTATAAAACTCCATTGCCATGATCTTCACTAATAATTGATTTGGATTTTTAACTCTTTTTATCTTAAATTGTAGCATATTTAATTATTGATGGACTTAAATCTAAAATATATAATAATAAATGTTGCCTCTTTCAATTCTAGTCACATGTGATTATCTTTTCTCTTGATATCTCTTTTAATGTACCATAAAACTATCTTTAGGCGATTTTAATTATTATGCCTATTTTAATTCTTTTAGCACATAAGAACTAGCACTACTACCAACTTAAGGAACATATTAGACAGGACTCAAATTTTATACATATTAAGACATTTTATGATGTTCTTCTTCATCAGAATGTTCAGTATGTTATTACTCAAATTACATTCCTAAACTAGTAATAGTTTTTGGCCGTTTAAAAGTCTCAGAAGATAATAAAATCAAATGTCTAACATTAGAAACAATTTATTCAATCAAACTAGTATTTTTCATACATCTAAATTTTCTTGTGTGATTTCTCTATTTTAATACAATTATTTACTCTTTAAAATTATTATCTTTTATTTATCTCATCAAAATAAATGTAATCAATTAACATCTATCTTGATGGAATATAATGAACTTTCTTGCAATTGTCTATTTTATGATTTCCTTTGCATATTTAACAAGAAACTCCAATCAATTTATAATCCTAATTAAATTGTACTCTATCTAAACACATTTTAATTTTTTCAAGTTCAGTTATACTTTTTTTAACCTCCTTCCAAAACTATTCTGAATTAATTTCTAGTATCTTACAACAAGTTTCACTTTAAACACCAACTTCAGACAGTTGTTCTAAAAAGAAACCATATTAATTATATATTCCATTATCATTACAATCAATTGGAAATTTTCTATTCTCTCTTTGCTAATAGCATCTAACTTTTCCTGATAGAATAAAATATAAGTATTTATTTTCTTATTAAGGTTCAATTAGAATCTCATTTGGCTCCAAAATTCTTTCTTTTGTAGCATTCATCAAAATATTTGTGATTGAAATTTTACTTAAACATTTATCTAATAAGGGTAGTTTTCTTAAGATGTTTGAATATTATGCATTGAGTAAATTATTAGATAATGAATTAGGAAGTTTATCATAATCTATAAGATTCCTAGTTTTAAATCTTTATTGAATTTATTTGTTTGAAATTGATAAACTTTAATATTTGAGATCAAATGGTAATTGATGAATTATTTTAGAAAATTCAATTAGTCCTGAAATTAAATTGTTTTAGTTTCTATAAAGCTAATTAACTTAATCACTTATAATAGTGAATTAATACACAATGAAAAATAAAATTATAATTTTTATTGGATAAGTTAAGAAAGATTTATCATTTGTTAGAATAAGGATATTGATCAAACTACAATGATTTTAATAGAATTCATTTAAACTCAAATGATTTTTTGTGACTTATGTTACAACTATAAGGAATCCACAAATAATTTAAAATAGATGTATTTATGATATTCTTACAATAAAGAAATAAATTGGATATTGATTTAAACAAATAGAAATTGAAAGTAGCTGCTTGATAATCTAATAGAATCTAAAGAATGTGACTAAATGTATGATTTACAAAAAAATATATTGATAACTAAGATAATTGATGCGAATACTTAAAATCTATTAAAGTGCAAATAAATGGTATAAAAGTGGCCAGCGGTAAATAATCTAAAAATTAAGCAGTCTTTTAAATGTTCAAACTAAAGAGTATAAAATTTAAAAATATAAATGGGAGTTAAGTTTGTAACTAATATGTTAATTTGTAATCTGCATAAGCCACTCCATATAAGAGATGTGGAAATGAATATAAATAATAGATATACAATAAGAATTGTACTATAATGATAACTGGTTTTGCATTAAGTTAGATATCTTGTTAGTTGTTTTCTTAAGGATGGGTGTTATCACCTAAAAAAGATCCAAAGTTATTAAATTAATCATCATCTTTGCATGTACCAGGATGAGTAAAAATTTAACTCCAATGTACTGGTTCTTTGATGATAAAATCATTGATATTTAATGGTGGTTTCTTGTGTATTAGACTCTCAAATGCTTTATTGTCTGACTATTCATTTACACTTGATTCTTCATTTATTAGATTTAGTGGTGTTGTTCTTCCATCCATAGCTCCTGATGTACAAAGTGGTGATTTCTACACATTATGAGTACCTATTCTAATTTAATGGAAGTATTCATACTATGTTAAGAATCGATTGGAGTAAAAGAACTATTCAAATCACTTGGTCTTCTAACTTACATTACAGGCTAAGAATTTAATGAGTTTATTTGTTGCAATACTGGAACATTATTTGAAGTGTCATTCACAGATATTTCTGATTTTGTGTAATTCTTGCGATGATAAGAACTCATTAATATTTAATTATATTATTTTAAATTTACAGAATCAATCTATTTAGCTATTACATGTGAGAATTTTAATACAATTCTTCTTAAATTATTATATAAAATAAATAAGTTTCATCCATCTCGTTATTAAATTATTTAGATGGCTCAAATTTCTTTTTCAATAACTCATATATTCTCTATTCTTTATTAAAATTTGATCTATTAACTTACTCTATCAATAATTAGAATTTAAAATCCTCAATAAATTATAATTCTCAGATAATATATGATTATTTATATTTTATGAAGAATTAAAAAATTGAAATTGAGAGAGAATAAATAAATCTCATTTAGTAATATTTGAATTACTTACTGAATTATTTTAAATAATTAAGGATCTAGTTATTTATACTCAAATATGAACATTATTTTATGTATTATTATTAAAATGATAATATTGATAAATTATGTATTATTATTAAAATGATTAATAAGATGATAATAAACATAAATAATTAAATATTAGATAATTATAATCAATAATTAAACGAATTAATACTAAATATTGTTAATATATATATAAAGTGAATATAATAATATATTATTTGTAATTTTTAATAATAAATTGAATGGGTAATCAATAGCAAATGTTGAAGTTGACAAAGACTAAATAGTTTAAACGTAAATTGCAATTGATAAAATAAAAATAGCAAACTCTGTAATAGTGATAACAGGAGCATCAAGTGGAATAGGTCGTGAATTAGCATTACAATATGCAACAAGAGGAGTCAAGTATTAATATAATAGATTGATTTAGATTGATGTTAGCTGCAAGATCAGAAGAAGAGTTAAAGGAAGTTTGTGAATTATGCGAATAACTGGGATCAAGAGCTTATTATAAGATCACAGATGTATCTAAAGAAGAGGACTGCAAGTATTGAATAATTTAAATTTGAGAGATAGTTGATAGATGAGACAGTGAAAATATTCAATAGAATAGATATATTAGTGTTGAATGCAGGAGTAAATGCTCATTCATTTTTTGAAGAATTTAAAGATTTATCTGTTTTTAAGAAAATTATGGATATAAATTTCTATGGCTATGTTTATTGTACTAAGTAATAAAACGAAATAAATATATAGATATGCATTGCCACATATAAGAAAGAGTTCAGGTTAATTTGTTGTGATGTCTTCAATATCAGGTGAGATTGGATTACCTTATAGAGTACCATATTGCAGTTCAAAATTTGCAGTTACAGGATTTTTTGAAGCACTTCGAACAGAATTGGAGGATTTCAATGTTGCAATAACAATAGTATGTCCTCCAAGTGTACGTACACCTATGAGAGATCATGATTTATTAAAGAAACATTCTCCAAAAGATGAAAGTGAAGATAGAATATCAATATCAGAATGTGTTTCAATGATTTTAGATGCAGCAGATAGAAGAGCTCGTAAAGTATAAATAGAATTAGAAATTAGATCTTCTTCCCATTCAAAGCATATTTGAGTGTTTATGTAAGACCAATATTTCCAGATTTTGTGGATAAGAGATTAAAATAGAAGGCTAAGTTGTGAGAATAAAAACAATTGTCATTATATAATTATCATAGTCTTTTTTTACCACATGAACCACAATATTTATGATTGTTGGCAAATTTATTACCACAATTAGTACAGAAAATACTACATTATAATTTATTTCCACTATTCATACGAATACATATTTGTATATGTTTTTCATATGCTTTTTATTCAAAAGTCTTCTAACATGAAGTACATTTAACTATAGGTACAGAACGGGACAATATATTTTCAGATCTTTATTTAATTTTAGGTAGAAAAGATGGTTAACTTGAAGAGAGTTCTTAAATTAATGTTTCATCTGCTTCTTCTTCTTCATTTATTTATGCAATCACTTTATATTTATCTAGTGTTTTTATTCTATTTTAACATATATGTGTTTTAAGATTTCTAAATTTCTTATTACATTATTAACATGATAATAAGATTGATTATTTTGGGAGAGTTTAAGTTTTTTATTTCTTGGATTTCTTAACAAAAGGATGTTCTTATGTACAACTACGTAAGTGTAATAATAAACGACCCTCAAAGAATTAACGTTTACAATAAGGACATTATTCTTTTGGTATCATTTCTATCTAAATATCTAAAGGTGTAAATGGTCTCTCAATCTATTCATCTAATTATTCTTTATTAAAAGAATTATTTAATGCTTATATTGTTGATTTTGATATTGCATCTTCATCAAATAATTCATTATTCTCATTATCAAAAGCAATTGTTAATTTGTTCATTAATTTATATATGCTAATCAAAAAATTAACTAAAGCTATTGCTAAATATCAATTCTCCAAATAAATTCTTGATTTTGCTAAACCTAATCCTACAAAATCATAATTTATTTAACATAATGTCAATTGTATGGTATTACATCCAATCTTTTATCCAAATAAAGGTCCAGAATTAGAATTATATATGGCTGAAGAAGCTATTGGTTTATCAAAATCATTAAATTGGACACTTGAATAAGGACCTTTTTGGAAAGATGAATACACTAAAGATATTAGAAAAAGTTAAGGAAAAATTAATTAAGATGATTAAGATATTTAAGTTGAACAATTATCAAATTTAGATGAAGATGATCTAGGTCATGAATGGAGAAATAAAATTATTAGAAATTCTATTGCTAAATCATCTCTTGTTAAAGTTCCTCGTATTCATTCTATTACTTTTTTCACTAAAGGAAAACTTGCTATGTTAGGATAACATATCCAATCCAAAAAAATTAATGCAGTCTTTATAAATCATGAATTAACACCATTATAAACTAGAAACTTAGAAAAATTATGGACTTAATATTCTAAAGGAGAAATAACATCTACCAATATTAAAGAAGATATATAAGAGTCTAATGAAGAAAATAATGAAAATTATGAAAATATTTTAAATTATGATGATTAATCAGATAATGATAATGATTTTGAAGGTCTCTCTGTCAAAGTTTTTGATAGATTTACTATGATTTTATAAATCTTTGCTAAAAGATCAACATAAGGAGTTTCTAAATTATAAATTGAATTATCCTTTCTTAAATTTGCTAAAACTAAATTAGTAAGGAGTGGAAGTGCTTTTGTATCATTATCATCAATCTTTAAAGGTGATTTAATGATGGCTAAAGAAGTTTATGTTGAAGTTGTATCAGCAAAATAAAGAAGAGCTCTTGGTAAAATGAGTGGATCAGGTGAAAGTGAACTTTAATTATAAAGAAGACTAATAGATGATAGAATTGCAAAAGTTAAAAAACTTATTGAAGAAGAAAGTATTTAAAGAACTAAAATTAAAAGAAAGAAACTCATACATACTGTTCCTAGAATTGCATTAATTGGATATACTAATGCTGGTAAGTCATAATTATTAAATTGTATATTATAAAAAGATGTAGTTTAAAGTAGAGATTTACTATTTTAAACACTAGATACAACATCAAAATAAATAAGGTTAGCTTCTGGATAAAAAGCATTAATGCTAGATACTATTGGTTTCATTACTGATCTTCCTCATGATTTGGTAGAATCTTTTAAGTCTACTCTTGAAGAAGTTGAAGATGCTGACATAGTTTTACATATTAGAGATATTTCTCATCCTTGCACAGAACAATAAAAATAAGTTGTTTTGAGTGTTCTTAAAGAGTTGGGTTTTAATTAAGATTTTTATAGTAAAAAAATGGTATTTCTTGTTTTTAATTTAGATTGAAGTATGGAATAAAATTGATTTAATGAATTACCCTATCGATTATGAATCAATTGAATCACAAGATTACCCCATCGTGCCTATAAGCGCATTGATGAATATTAATATCAAAAAATTGCTCTAAATTATGGAAGAAAAATCTAATTAAATTATGAATAAGAAATAGTACAGAATTAGATATAATATTGATTAACATTTTGAAAGGCTAAAATGGTTTTATGACAATGGAAATATTTCAGGAGTTAAAAATGAATAGTAAATACCTCCTGTGAAGAGAGGAGATCCAACTATTATAGAGTATGATGTGATCATTGATGAAATCACTTACAACAGATATATAGCCACCTTTTAACCTGAAATGAGAATCAAGAAAAATAAAGGCATGCCTCCATCAGATTGGAAATGATTTGTTTATAATTTTTATTAAGAGTCTTCTTAAATTAAATACTTGAAAAATATATTTAATATTTTATTTCAAGCCTTTGTTAAAATATATCATCTAGCTTAGAGGTAGAGCATTACTCCCATAAAGTAAAGATCCGAGTTCAAGTCTACGGGATGATATTTTTTTATAACCTTTATAATCATTATATATAAAACTTTATTATAAGGCTAATTTCTTATTAAAAAAGTAGATAGGCTTAGAAGTATTATCTATAAAATGTTAAAGGTTAATAAATTTTTATTATTTTTATCACGTAATAGGCATTTTTAAGAGCTTGCTTTTTGTTGTATCCATTTTATTTCAGATCAAATTTAATTTGAGAAATTAAAGTTTTTATTAATTAATTTATTCCTTGAAAAAAGATTTTATAACTTTCTTTAACATATTGCTTTGAAATTATGTTTTATTATTTAAATTATTTATTCAATATATATTATCATAATTATATAAACATAGCTGCAAGCTACATTCACAGTTTAGTTTTGAAAAAATTAATTTTTGTGTTTAATTTACTGTCCATAATATTATTTACAGATTTTCTAAATAATATAGCCATATTAATTATAATTAATAAGATTCATTTATAAATATATAAATATAAATATTTTAGAGATCGTAAAATTTTGAAATTAAACATTTTATATATATAATATTCACCTTAGCTCAGCCAATACAGTCAAAAAGCATAAAATTGGAAGAAGAATCGCCAAAATTAATATTAAGTTAAATTACTACATCTTTGGTTCAAAAGTTATTTATTTATCTTATACCAACTTTTTCTGATTTCTTAAGAACTCTGCAATTGTTTGAATTGATTTCTGTTATTAATCAGCCTGTTTATCATTATCAATAAAAAAATTCTTCAAGTTTTCCCTTCTCTAAAGAAAAACTTATTTAATTTAATTGGCAGCACTTGAATAATTTTTATATTTAGAAGTAACTGCAATTTCTTGAGGATTACAAGAATATTTATATAATTGATCATAATCTCTTTATCTTTTGTGAAATTCTTCCTTAGTTTCAGTATAAATGTGTTGATCTGTGAAAGTTTAACATTTTTGTTTGTTTAATAATTTTGCTATTGAATGTTTATTGTAGTAATTGGAATTATGCATGCAATCTGATTTCATATGTATAAAAGTATTTTTATAAAATAATTAAGGAAAATGAATTGAAATGAATCGATTAAAGATCAATAAGTTTAGATTGTGGAAATACTGGAATTGGATTTTGTAAGATTAGAAAGATGGAAGGAAAATTTAAAGAATGTTGATCAATTCGATTATAGTGAATATTTAAAATTAAAATTAATACAAGAATTTCTAAGAATTTTTTTTGAGAATGTAATAATAATAAATAAAAATAGAAAGAATGAAATTTTTGTTTGAACGGTATTTTTATAAATTTGTTCATTCGTTCCCAATAGTTTGCAACATTTCGATGATTTCGTCAATTGCAACATCATTGAGTTTTTGAACTTTAATCTTTTTGCTTTTAATTTCAATAGCGTTTTCGTAGGGTGTGTTACCCCATCGATCTCTTTCGCTAAAGTTAAACTTGGCAGTGAATCTCAAAAATCGGATAATTTTTGAATTCATAGCCATAACAGCAAGATGGCCGATATTTCTATTATCGACATTAACAAATTCATTAAGATTTTTAATTCCTCCATGATATAAAAGTTCGAGGATTTAAAGATCTCCTTTAAGTCCAGCAGTCAGTATTAAATCAACCATAATATGATGAGGTGCTTCAATGGTACCTCCATTTTATTAAAAGAAAAGAATTAATTCTTTATCTCTTGTAATAAGAATATCATACATAGGTGTATAACCAAGTTAATCTATAGGATTAATATTAACATGAACTTCTTCAATTAGATATTTAATAATTTCTATTTATTTTGTAGCAGCAGCAAGATGTAAAATAGTTCTACCATCAAAATCTGGAATATTGAGATCCCCTTCATTTTTTCTAAGATCTTTGATTAAATCTAATTATCCAGTTGTAGCTAGAAAGCATCCTAAATTAGGTATGATATATTTATTCATAATATCCATATTTTAGCTAATTTATTCATCTCCTGAAGTTTTTTGTAAGGTTTCTAAGATAGTTTAGATAAAATGTTGTTTTTATCCTTCAAATTTCTCAAATTACCTAACAGATTCAGTTTCTCCTTATAAATTTTATGGAAATTTTTCAATAATTTCTTAATTATTATATCCTTTTCCAAGTAGATATCCAATTTTAGCTAAGGCACTTTCAGGAGTGATATCATATTGAACAATAATGCCATTCATAATTTTTTTAAAGTTTTTGATTGGTTATCCTTTAATACATTAAGATATTTGAATTAAGATTATACCTTATTAAGATTATGCATGTAACAAGGCGTTATAAAATTCTTAACTATGAGGCATTTCACCAAAATGATAACATTCTAAAATACAACATCTTAAATTAGGAGTGTTAAATATATGTTTAATATGTTCAACAGTTGTAAAAGGAGTAATTTTAACAATGATAACATCTGTAACGAATTAAGGTGATAATTCTAAAGTGCTTTCTTCATTACTAAACATTTGTTCTCCTCTTCTTAACACTAAATGCCATTTAATATCAATGTTGATTCCAAATTCAACTAAATTAGGAAAGTTTGGACTTTCAACACAATCAAGTGAATCACATTTTAATTATCTACATCTATTAGCTCTATAAGCTTTATGATCCATAACTATCAACACTTCTGGGATAAGAAAATGTCCAGCTAAGATCAATGAATCTAAGATGTTTTGGAATGCATCATTTCTCATAAATGACAAAGGAATCAAAGAACCTGTGATAACAACAGTTTTTTATAGGTTTTCAAGCATAAAGGACAAGTTTGTACCTAGATAAGTTATAGTTGCAATTCCACTTAGAATTACAAATGCACTAAACTTTTCATAATTTTCCTTTATTATTTCTGCTATGTGTCTTATATCAGAGTAAGACTATAGATAATAAGTTGATTTTTACAGTTTATCTTGAGTTTGTAATTTAGTCAAGCTCCATTACTTTATAAACTGTTCTTCTTCCATATTCAGAAACGGGTGTGGTAAGACAACCATCTTAGTTATGATACTATTAAATGATTTAAAATAGTACTTATGTGTATTCTAGATCACATAGAAAAGATATATGTTTCATTCTTTATTCTAATCTTCCTTTAACAACAGTCATATGATTTTCATTAAGTTCTCCTTCAGCTGCTGTTGCTCCAGAAGCATAGAGTAATAATACTTTACGATCATTAAGAACCTATAGATTTTGGTTTGCTCCACTTCCTCCTGTTATTTAAGATAGAGTTGAATCTCTTCTAGATTCCCTTCTTCGAAATATTGGAGATTCAGTGTCTGAACTCATTTTAATATTTAATGAAGAAAAAGGCTCTTACCAGAAAAAGAATGAATTATGAAGATGCATTGAAAGTGGCAGCTAAAGAAGAAGTAAATAATATTTCTATAAATAAAGGTGGCCTTTTTTGGATAATGTTCAAAATTTAAAGAAAGACCACATGATCCAGCTCCTATTGATAGAGCTATACATTTCCTCTTTTTGAAAGAGAATGTAAGTTACTTCATTCCTTCACAACTTAGAATGTAGATAGAAAGACAGCTTTACAATTTGGAATGCGAAGACTTTGCAAAATTGATAGTACTAGACAATATGATGGTCCAGCTGATCATAGAATCATGAAAACAAATAAATTACTCTCTGGAGCTATTAACGGTTGGTATAATGGAGCAGCAGAGGCTAAGTTTGATTTAGGTTCTGGTTTCACTACTGATATTGTAAATAAGCAAGACAATAGCTTTAATTTAAATAATAATCATCCTATCGATCTTAGAGTTTAAACTTCAGAAAGAGATAAAATTGCTATGCAAAGGTTTCAATTCTCCAAACTTAATTCACAGAGACTAACGTAAGAATTATGTAAATTAAAGGAGGAAACTCAATAAAAAAATAATCAACCAAAATTATATGTAGAAGTGGCTGGATAAAAATTATTTCATATTCTCGATTCAGATAACTATAAACCTACTCTTTTATAAGAATTCAAAGCTTTCTCCACTATTGAAGATATTGCTCGTTTACATGAAGTCAAATCACTTGATAAAATTGATTCAACGAGCAATCTTCAAGAATCTAGTACTTCAAGATTGAGACAAAGAGCAATGACTAATTTATAAGATTATAAATAGATGTCAATGACTAATTTATAAGATTATAAACACATGTTTCTCTAAAAAAAGAGGTTATCAGCATAACCAGAAGAAGAGTCTTAAAAGATATACAAAAAACTATTAAAATAATTAAGATCAGACGAATAATTTCTTATTGTTCCTTCAAAACCTAAAATAAATATGTAAAGCAATCATGCAAATACCTCTAGAAGAAATTCTTAATAGTCTTTCTTCTTTAATTTAACAAATAAATAAACAGTTCCATCTAACACTAGTGTTAGTAATTCATAATAAAATTTTGAACACAATTCTAAAAAACCTTTCACTCAAAGAACTTCATAATAAGATAAAATCACTGGCTGCTTTGAACAAAAAGTTGAAAAATTTGTTAAATAAAAACTTCTGATTCAAAATTCTAAGTCATTATCTCCTGAAATAGATTGCACAAATTTATAATAAAAACAAGATGTAAATTTTGATAATTTAAATTAGTTATTTAAATAATTAAAACTAAAAGAAATTCAAAGAATATAGAAAGTAAGAATTAATTCTTAGAGATGAATATTAAGTTATCATTAATTAATCTTGAATTTTATTGGTAATAATCTTAATGAAGTTTCTGCTGTAGAATCCATCAAAGAGGGTTATGTTTGATTTCTCTGATGAGATAAATTTCTGTCATCAAAGATTTTAAGCTACAATTATAAACTGAATTCTACCTGACTTTCTTTTTTGATATTTAATGAATGGCTTTCATATCTACGTAATTTTTACTTTAATCTTTTAAGTTCTAATTCTTTTGTTGAACTCGTAATTTAACTAGCTCTCAACATATCTCGTAAAATAGTATTTTCTTGTTTTAGATTATTGTTGTCTCTCTTCATTTAGAAATAATGTTAGAATTAAACATTTGCTATCATTTCTTACAATTATTTAAGTTCATCTTAAAGTACTGCAATCTATAGAATGTGAACATTTTTACTTCTTTTTAGTTATCCAAATTAATTTACTTTAATTCCTTCTCTTGATTCTATTTCTCATGCTCCTCTTGATATTTAAGGGTATCAATTTGAGATAGCATTTCTTAACGAGTTCTACTTTTAAGGTACATTTTTTGTTTAATTACTTATTAATATCATCATAATCATCTTCTGCCCTGAGAAGAAGCTGAACGTACAGATGATCTAACAGAGGGTACTCCAACAGATGATGGTTATTTACTAGGAACAGTTACATTTTTCTCTTAAAAGACTGCATCTATAATTGCCTGCATTTCTGGAAACTCTTAGACTAAATTACTAAAGTAATTGATAGAATGTAAAATATTTACAAAATGCAAGTCTTTAATGTTTTATTTAAATTATTCTGAATATCTAATTCTAATGCACTAATATGAGCATTTGATTCATCAAGAACAATTCTTTTTTATTATACTTTTGCTAATTTTTAATTCTTAATATTCTCTGCTCTTGTAATTTTATCTGATTAATCTTATAATTCTTTTTCTATTTTTTATAATTACATCTCCACCTCCCTCTCTTAATTATCTAATATTTCAATCTATATAAAAATAAAGATATATACTCTATTCTAAATTTCAGTTAATCTTCTCATATCTTCATCTATTTCTTATTATAATCTTTATAATTCCTTTTTCTTTTTAAATAGATTCTCAGAAGCTGCTCTACATTATTCTTCCAATCCATCTCTATGTGATACTTCTTTCTAAGAAATACCCTTATTCAAAAAACTATCTCTATATTTACTATTTCTATTCTTTAAATGAGATAATGTATTATCTAAAGCTTTCAATTCCTAATCTCTCTTAATGATTTCAGCATTCAATTCATCACCCTTTCTCTACAATTCTTCTCTTTCTTATGAAGCCTTAATAATATAATAAGCTTATGAATGTTCTTCAATATTTTAAGTATCTTATTCTCCATTTGATGATTTATTTTTCTAAACTAAAGATTCATATTTAATTCTTAAATTCTTCACTCTATTTTATCTCTCAGCCAATTCAACTGCTATTTTATGTCTCTCCTCTTCAGCTGCCTTATGTTCAGCCACTAATACATCTTTGTGTACTTAAATCTCTTATTCTCTCTCTTACATTGCCATTTCTAATTGATATTTACGATTCTCTAAATTAAATACTTTATCAACAGCAGTTGTCACTACTTTTTAAATTTTCTATATTTCCAATTTCATAAAATCATGTTAAACCAATACTTCCTCTTTTGACTTTACTATCTTACTTAAATCTTAATATGTCATATCATTCTCCAAAGTTAATTCATCTATTGCTTACTTCAATTTTGTCTATGATGCTTTAGTACCTGTCAATTACCTATCTGTTCCTCTTAAATCATCATCTAATCTTTTCAAACTCAATAACAATGTTTTAAATTCTTTCTTTTATAAATTCACCTTCTCTTCTATCTCTTTTATTTCATTTTCCAAATCCTTCTTCTCTTCTAAAGTACGTTCTCCTTTTGCTCTTGCTACTCTCCTTTCCATTAATTGTATCTAATATTCTGCATTATACAATAATTCTTATTATCTTTAAAATTCTTAGATCAATTTATTTATATGAGCTTAGTAATTACGACAAGCACTCACATTTGCTTAAATTTCTCCATATAGATTTGCTTCATTTTCTCTCAACTTAAATAAATCTTAAGTAGCTTTGAATAAAACTTCTTTTTGTAACTTAATTTCTTTATCTAAATCAATTCTTGATTTTTCTAAATTCTTATATCTATCTGATGCCATGCTTCTTTATTTTTCAAATTCCTAATGTTAAATATCTTCTAATTTCAATTTCTACTTCTCACTAGCATATTTTTTTTGAGCATTATTTAATCTCTATTTTTTAATCAAAAGTTCTTATGACATTTAAGCCAATCTATTTCTCTTATTAGATAAATCGGTAGCAAAAGCAGAGAGTTAATTTTTTTGTATTTCAACATCTGCCTTTAGATTATCAATAGCTAATTCAATGTCTTTATTAGATTATCTTTATTGAATAATAGTTCTTTCTAATTATTAATTTTAAACTTCAACTGATTTATTCTCTTATTTTTCATTCATCAATTATGATTTTCTATTTTCTAGATCTTATTAATTTGCTTTAATTTAAGCTTTGATATCTGCATATCTTTCTGATTCATCTCTAATAGCTTAATCTCTTCTTGCAATATTATCTGTTACTTCTTACCATTATTAAAATAATTTATGACGTTCATCATGTTATCTTCTAAATTCTTCAGCTGTTTTATCTAATTCAATTTAAGCAGTTTATGTTTCTGTAATTTCTCTATCTAATTCATTTTATCTTCTACTAACTTCGACTGTCAATTTTTCAATTTAGAGATTAAGTTCTTTAATTTTAGCTTCATCTCCTCTCTTATACTTCTCCATAGTTAAAGAGTCTTCTTCCTTTTATCTGGCAGCTAAAACCCACTATTCTAATTCTTCTTAATTCCAATTCATTTCAATCTTATATTTATCTAATCTTTCATTTCCTCTATAGATTGAATTCTAAACATCATTGAGTCTCTCTTATTACTCGATCATTCTAAAAATAACTATCAATACTATACATCTTTTATTATTTAGTCATTTCATTTTAAAGTCGACCAATTTATCGTTCTGTTATTTATTTCAAATGGTCTTCAGTTTCAATTTCTTTGTTTTTTGTGTCAATCTTACATATTATTCAATTCATACCAAAGCTTATGTGTGAAGTAATTCTTATTAAATGTTCTTTAAGTGTTCCGAAAGCACTTTTAACTTATCACTCTTTTCTTCAATCTTTGAGTTGATGTCACGAATTATGTTTCTCTTATATTTTATCTATTATTCAAATTACTCATATAAATACCTTCTCATTTAGTTCCTTATTTGCTTCATTGGCATACTCAGGAAAGTCATCATCTTCTTCCTCATTGAGAAGCTCTTAATTTTCATCATTCTCGTTATTGTTATCCATTGATTATTAATAATATATATTATTTTATATATTCTTCTCTCTGTAAGTATCATTTTTTTATTACACTTTTAAATTACATTCATCTCATTCTCTATATACTTACTATCATTAACTGTTCTAAAGAAACAACATTATTTTTATCAATCTTATCACTCATAAAGATAGACATTATAAATCAAATCATTAAATCTCAAACTTATATAAGAAAATTAAAATTCATAATTCATTGAAACACAAGAGAACATTAATTCAAAGAAAATTTACCACCTTTTTATAAACTATTTAAATTCAATTCATATAATTGTTAATCTAGCATTTTATTAAATTGATGTTAATGAGCTTTTTCCTTATCAAAAAAGTATAAAATGGATTAGCAAAATGCTTTATTATTAATATCAAATGTTAAACCAGAAGTAAACAAAATTAAAAGATTATTTTAAGACATAAGTGCATTATAATAAGATATCAATGAATTAAGATCCATAAAAGATAAGTTACTATAAACTATCAATCAGATCCAGGTGTCAATTCAAATAAAAAAATAAATTAGATAAAATAATTATAACTACTAATTTAACATTTCGAACAAATTTGATTAGAATAAGAATGAGGATTTCTTATAAACCAAAAATTATGATCAATCCCAAAGAAAATACTACAGATGATTAGTAGATGAAAAATGTAAAGTGATAATAGTTAAACCAAAAAATTATATGATCAATCAAAAAATAGATAGAGAGAAAAAAGATGCCACATAAAAATCTTAAAAAATTGAATAAGATTTAGGAAATAAAAATTTTTTTACTTAATAAATCAAATCAACAATTAGTAGTCTATTAAAATAGAAGAGAAATGAAAAGAGTAATCTATATATTATAGGATATCATTGGAAAATTTAACAATCAAAGTCTAGAAATAATTTAAAATTATGCAATTCATATATTTAAATGTAAGCATATTCGATTATATTGAATTAAATATAACAAATTAATGATCAAAATAAGAAATTACTAAAATAAATAGAGCTATTAGAAATTCTATTTAAATAAGAGACTAATATATAAGTTGAGAAGGAAAAAATGTAATGAGGTATAGGTACTACTCTCTTAACAAATTTAATAGGAAAAGAATAAATCAATTATTTTGAGAATGAATTGAGAAAACTAAAAGAATAAAATAGATTGTTATATAATAAAATAAAAGAGAAATTAGAATTATTTTTTGTTGATAATGAAAATCAAAATGGAAAGATTAAGAAAATTAATTATAAACTCAAATTGAAGAGGGTTCTCAAGATTTCAATAAAGTCAATAATCGAACTGTTTTATGGATAGATTCAATAGATAAGATTTTTTAATCAAACGCTGTTTGAATTTAAACTAAGTTTGGAATCTTATCATTTTATTTGAAGAGTTACTGGAATTGACAAAAAAAAAACAACAATATATAAATCTTCTCATAGACATCCAATTGATATATGAAAATGTTTTATAAATTTTTAATCATCCATTAACTTAAAAGATTGATACATATAAATCTGAAATGTAATCATGATTTATAAATGTTCAATTAAATTCTTAAATTTGATTCTTTAAAAAAAATAGGGGTATGAGTAAAAAAGAATGAGTAGTATTAAAAATAGAAAATAATAGGATAAAAATATTATTATTAATTAAGTAGAAGAAATAATGATAAAAAGATGAGACACAATAAATTGATGCTAAAAATGAGGCAGATGTTGAAATTAAATGATTAAATTTATTAAATTAATGATAAATATTTTGAATAGATAGAAGGAGAAGAAAGATATTACTGGTTTGGATTAATTAATACATATAAATAATTATTTTATTTGTTTGATCTAAATAAATATTTATGAGTAGCAAAGATAAAATTGCCAAATATAAAGTGAAAGTTAATGATGTTATCTAAAATATGGTATATGAGTTATTTAAAAAACAACCAGAAAATTATGTAACTTAAATTATTTAGGTTAGATTGATTGGATGATATAATATTTAGAAGTACGAAGAACAAAGCTTCATGTAAAAGGCAGTTAAAGTCAATAGATTGAATATCATATATCTTCAGAAGAAGAAAATGAAGATGATGTAGATTAATTAGAAAATGCTATAAAAAAAGATCAACAATTTCGTACATCTGTAAGCGCTGAAGTATATGGTCTTCACAATAAAAAAGAAGATTTTAAACCTAGAGTAATTGCTAAAAATTAAGATTAAAAAGAACGAATAGAAAATAAATTAAGTGGAGTATTTATGTTTTAAGCATTGGATTAAAATGAAAAAAATATAATTATAGATGCAATGGAAGAAAAGCACTTCAATCCTGGAGATTGGATAATAAATTAAGGAGATGATGGCAATGAATTATATGTTGTAGCTTAAGGTCAATTAGACTGTTACAGAAGATTCTCTAAAAATTAAGAACCTTAATTAATTAAATAATATTAAAGTGGAGATATGTTTGGTGAGTTGGCTCTTCTATACAATGCACCAAGAGCAGCCTCTATCTAATCCAATACTGATTCAATCCTTTTTGCACTTGATAGATCTACATTCAATGCTATTGTTAAAGAAGCTACTGTTAAAAGAAGAGAACATTATGAAGAAGTATTATCCAAAGTTGAAATACTTAAATCTATGGATTCTTATGAAAAAACTTAAATATGTGATGGTTTAAAAGAATAACATTTTAAACCTTAAGAATATATTCTTAAAGAAGGAGAAGAAGGACATAAATTCTATATTGTTGTTAAAGGAACTTTAATTGCATTCAAATAAAATGAAGAAGTTCTTAGATATAAAAGTGGCGATTATTTTGGTGAATTAGCTCTCATTAATAAAGTACCTAGACAAGCTACTATTTAAGCTGAGGTAATATTTAACTTATATTCTAGACTGATTCTATTGTTGTCTATTTAGATTATCAAGCATTCATAAGACTATTAGGACCCATTGAAAATATTTTAATCAGAAATTCAGATAACTACAAAAAGTTCATTAATTGAAAACATATTCAATCATAACATAAATTATTTTATCAATCAATTTCCATTTATTTTTATTTTATAATAATCCTCTATATATTTATTTTAAAATCTAATTTTTTATTCTTTAACCAGTGTTCACAAATATTCTCATCAATTAATATCTAATTTGAAAGCTAATTTAATTTTATGATTTCAATATTCATTATATTTATTTTCAGCTAAAATCAATTTTATTCATTCAATAATAAATACATTTTCAATTATATATATTTCATCAATATTATATCTGTATATTATTCTAATTCATTCATTTTTTTGTTGTTATGAGATTTTATGTAAATCATCAAAACTAAAATTAACATCTCGATTAAATTCAGTAAATTATTTTTAATATATGGTAAAAATTATTTTAATATAAATTTAACTAATAATCTATTTTTATATTATTTATATAAACAATATATATTATTCTAATATTATAATCCTTATAACTTTATAATGACATTATCATCAATAAAAATTCAATTCTTACTAATTGAAATAATATAATAATCTTTCTGCTTATTTATATATATTTAATATATATTACTTATTCAAATAATTTATACCAAATAATTAATAAATTTATTATAAATATTAAATCAAGGACTTGAATAAATGCTTTTCATAGATTTGACTTTTAATGGATCCATGGGAACTTATATATTCTCTTGAATAAAATCAATTTCTTCGTCAAATTATTAAAAAGAATTTTTTTTAATAGCAAACGTACCCTCGCTTTTAGTTTTAACAATAGATTCAGCTTTAGAATCTTATCTGCTTTTCTTATCCATAGATAATTATGATGATTATTATTATTCTTTTTTTGATTTTTATTGAACAATTTATAAAGAACTGCCTATTTTTTCATATCTTCTTAATAATAAAGATTCATTTAGATCAGATAATTTTAATTAAGGAGGTCTTGAAAATAAGGCAAAACTTAGATGCATAAGGATTTTGATAAATGTAATTATATAGTAAATAATAGTAATAATGTCAGTAGAAGTAAACATATTGGATACTCTGTTTTAATATAAAAAATCTTTTCTAAATTTTCTAAGGATGATTATCTGAATTAATATAGCAAAGTCAATAAATCCATGAATAGATTAAACAATTTACTTATAGTTCCATAAACTTCCTCTAATATATCTACCAGATTAAGGACTAAAATTTCTGAGTACTTGTTCAATATTTAGCATAAGATCTAATTGTACTTTGAGCATGCAAGATTAAAGGAAACTGGCAGAATCGCTATTAGGAGTATACAGAAATAGTATAAGAGATTTGAAACTAATGTAAATTTGAAAAATTGCCTTTAGGAATACAAAGCCTATCATAAAACTAAGAACAATAATGATATTATTCTTAAGTTTAATTAGATTATTCTATTCATTTTCTTTAATAAAATCTAAAATCTCGAAATTCGCACCTATTATAGTACATTCAAGAAAATAAGTAAACGAAATTATGAGTTACAAAAAACATAACAACAATTCATTCTTATGTACAAATTAGTATCTTTAAAATCTTATCATCTCTGTAGTTTAAATGCAATAATCTGGGGTTGCTTTTTATCTTATTTTTATGGCTAATATTAAACTCCCAAAAGCTTAAGCTATTACCATAAATATAAAAAAAGAAGTTTCTGCAAAAAAACCTATGTGAAGATCATTTTAAAAACATTGTTTTGATATAGTTCCACATTCAATCAAGTGATTATTAATTTTGATTCTTTTTTATAACACACCCATACCTAAAACTATTTTTATTATTTCTACTATTGAACACCCAATCATATAGAATTTTATTTTCATCTATGATTTTCTTGCATAACTATGTAAAGAACTACTATATCTGAAATCATAACTTAAACTTGATATTATATTAAGAGTTTTATTTATTAAATGCACTAAGAATTTCCCAAATTTACCCCATTTTACTTATTCAATTAAATTAGTCATAGAACCAATCTTTGATAACGAATTTAAATTCCTATTTTATAAATAGACTTTAAATCTCAATAACCAATATTTAAATAATCCATCATCAAATTAATTAGGCCTAATTCTAAATAATATATTTACTGACAGGCTTAATCCTAATTATAGCATACTTTAATAATGTTGTAATTTACAAAATTTTCATTTATTATGTTAATATACATATGCATTTTACTTAAACTACTCATGTATTTTGTACTATCTGAAAAATCTATTAACTCTAAATATGGAAATCGAAAATATTAGGATCCAAACCAAATAAAAAATTAATCACTTAATCTTGTCTTTGTAATTATCAAAGATTTTAGATAAAGGGGCACTTCTTTAGTTAAATTACACTCATTTGCAAAAAGTACATATTAATTAACAATTTATATAGCAAAAGCTTCTGTTACATTCTCCCAATTATTGTATATATAAAGTCTAGGATTCTTTTCAAGTAGCAAAGAAATGCCGGATACATATTCTTTAAACTGATTTCCATCTATTATTAATAACCTAAAATGTCTTAATGGTATTATATTTTCACTTGTCATATCCTTAAAATATTGTTCATCAATTTTATTACTAATTTCATAATTCTATTTATTACTTTGATAGATTTAGTTTTATTAAAACACTCTTATTTTAGAGTATTGGGTTAAAAATAAGTTTGAAACCCTTCCATGTTAGTTCATTTTATATTAATGATATTTCCTTTATATATTGATTAAATTCGACTAAATTTGCTAAAGGTTCACATTAATTATCTTTAATGTTACAATTATTAAGTGTCAAAGATTATATGTTTTCAAGCATTCTAAGTTATATTAAATGATTCAGCATGCAAATAATATTAGTTTTTTTTTCAGAGTTATAAAATAGGTCAATATTTTCTATTATTTTATTTTCAGAATTATTAGATAGATCAATATGTTACAAATATTTTAAGAAATTGTTGATAATTTGTTGATTTTTAATTTCTACTATTTCCCAAGGTATTTATAAATTCTATAATTTTAAATTTTAAATAGAGCTTTTCTGACCTCCAAGTTCATGCTCAAATTATTCAAAAATGTTAAAAGAAATTTCATTTTCAGAGAGATCAATATTTTTTATTGAAGAATGCTAGTGTAAACAAGGTATTAATTATAATATAGTATCATCATTCAATTTACAATTTTTAAGGTGAAGAGCTAAAAAAAATAATTTTTAATTTATACTTGATACACTTTAATTTGTTAATAATCCATCACATAACAATTAGAACTCATCATCTTTAATTGTATTTCCACTAAGATCTAGTTCTATCAATCTTGTAGATCTTCTTAACAATTTTGATACAAAAACAAAAAATTACCAACTGAGAGCAGATTTTGTTACACTAAAATATTTGAGATTTCGAAAACATTCCAAACAATCATTTAAACTATCCATGACCCTTTAATCTTTTTCTTTAAATGTTTAATAATCCAAAATTAAAACTATTAAATTCTTTATTAATTTAATTGAATTTAATAAATCTGCTAATTGATCCTAAAATAAACATGTATTCGATATTTCTAAAAATTTAATATTCCTATAATTATCTTATATTGTTGTTAATAAATTTTAAAAACTATCCTATCGAAATAATATTTTATTAATTGAAATTGATTCCACTTTAACATTTCCATATTACATTACATTATTCATAAACTCTATAGAATAATTATCTTATAACTCTAATTTTTTTATTGAATATGATTCAGATATAATCTTAGTTATAATATGTAAATCATCAGCTGTAAATTATTATTTTTACATTTTTATTTAAGGGAAATTACGACATGTTTTTAGATATTTAAGTCTTGCAGCTTATAGAGTTTAACCTTTAATTTAATTTTTGGAAATATCAATATATTATAAATAAGGACTGAATAGCAATTTAGGAAAATCAGAAATAATCTTTTTAGTTTCATAAATTAAATTGTTACTAATATTCAATTATTTTAAACTACGACATTTTGATAACCCAGGTATTAAATAGATTATCTTAGTTTTTAATTTGTTTGAAGATAAATCCAAATACATAATAGATTAATTTTTAGAGAATGCTTCATTTAAAGTTGTAAAGTTCTTTACTTTCATATCCCCTAGATCATTTCTTGCTAATAACAAAGTTTGAAGAGTTGAAGTATGGGAGAGAAAAGTTGAAAGCGAATTAATTAGATCAGTTTAATTGATTTAGCAATTATTTAGATTTAAATATTCTATCCTATTGAATTACTTAGATAATGAATTAAGAATAGATTAAATCATACAGTTATTTCTAGAGAAATCAAGTTCTCGTAAATTTGTACACTTGATTTCAATTAATTCTTTTCTTCCACTAGGTATATCATTTTCATCTTATCTTAATTTTGATAATACTAATGTTCTTAATTTGCACTCTTTCATCATTGAAATTAATGCATAAACTAAATCATATCGCAAATAATTAAAAGATAAATCTAAATATTACAAACTCAACAATTCGTGATTAAATAAATAAACTAATATGCCTTCTCCACATATATAATTATCTGCAACAGAGAGAGTTAATAATTTTTAATTTTCTATTAAAGCATATATCAAAGATATAAACCCTGAAGTTCTAATGTCATTATTATTTAAATTTAATTCCATCCACATTACCTTCTTAGAACTTATAACTTAAGATATTTAATAGGCTCCTTTAGTCTTAATAGAATTGTAGGATAAATTTAAAGAGAGTACATTTAAAAAGAAATTTGTTGGTATTTCTTCAAATCTATTATTTCTTAAATCTACTCTTTTAATTTTCTTATTTAAGACTTCTTTATCTGAAAATTCTGATAATTTATTGTGGGATAAAATAATTTCTTCAATGTTTAGTTTCAACAAAATTATTTCTAATGATTCTATACAATCTTATGTCAATTAATTATATTCTAAATTTAATGATTTTATGTTTATTTATCTAACTGATATATATTTTACATCTTTTAACAGTTCCAGACCTGAATTCCCTATCTAATTCCATGAAATATCCAAATAGTCTAAGCACTTATTACCAGTATAATTAATTATTGCACTCCTTAATGCAGAAATGCTTTCTGATTCTGAATAATTAAAATTTACATAAGAGATTAAAAAACGTCTGAAATAAAAATACAAAAGTTACTTAAGTGATTTCAAATGCTTTAGATTTTATAATATAGGTGATAGCCAACTGTGAATATTACAAAAACTTAAATTTATTTCATATAATGGATTCTTGCCTTTTAAAACATATTTACAAAAGTCTTCAACTGATGTTACTGTAAAACCCTTGTTATTTGAGAGATTTAAATGTGTCAAACCTGTATGATCTATCATCTAAATCAAGGTTAAATTTATTACTGATTTAAATATACAGCTCAATGAAAAAGAATTCAAATTACATCCAGCCAATTGCAATACTTGAATATTTGTATTCTTCTATACTAAATTTGCTAATTCAATTGCAAAATAGATATTAATATTGCATCTTGATAAATTTACTTCACTATTCTTTAAAACTTTATTTACCATATTTTATTGTTGCAAGCCAATTCAGTGCAGAGTTCAGAAAAACATGATAGAGCTCCAAGATTGATATTCAACGAAAATTCACTAATTTAATTTTCATTCTGTTTATCTTTCTTTTCTTCCTTTCTTTACATCTTATATACTATCTCCCATAATTTTGAGATCAAATGTTTTCTTTTCATGTCTTTTACCTGATTCTAATGCAATTCCTAACTTACGCATCCTTGCATAGGAAATTAATAAGATATTTGGCTCATTTTTAAAACAATTATAATGAAAATTAAAATAGTTCATAAATTTATATCATCTTCAGTTATTCATTCTTTAATGAAGGTCTAGACTTATTTTAAAATTTCTATTTTGAGTTCTAAACTCTTTTTTGTTGAAGCTTTATTCAAAAAATTATATTGATATTATAATATATACCCATCTAATTGTGATACTATTTGTTATAATTATTTAGCTTTGTTCTCACAAAAAATAGATACAACTATTGTGATTTTTCTTAGAATTTTCTTTATTTTATCATTTCCGATATATCTAAAACAAATAAAAAATTATCTTGGTTTGACATCCTTTCTCTGATAAGTTCAAGTATTTATACAATTTTTTTGCAAATAAAACCAATTCAAAAGAATTATAATTAAGGTCCTAATTTTTTTTCATAAAAGTTTTCAAATTTTCTTCATTGAAAATTATCAAATGGCATGTTGATGTAAAATTATAATTCAAGACATCTTGTACTTTCTAAAAATTGATAAATTTTAACAAATCACTTTTTTTTATTGCTAAAGTTTAATATTTATTTAAATCCAAATATGAAAACAAAATGTATGAATTAGACTAGATATTTATTGTTTTCATAAAAAATGATTGAGAACAAAACGAAATATAGAATTATTAGATTCCCCTTTAATTTTCAAGAAATAAGTTGCGATGAAAAAACAAAACAAAAAATAATTTAAAAAAATGAAATAATAGATTTTGGAATTGTTATTAACTTACATCTAACAAAAAATAATTAAGTTAAAACATAATAAATAATTTCAATAATTTAAAATTATATTATAGTATAATCTTCGGATTTACCCAATTATTTATCAAAGTATAAAATTTCTGAAATTAATATATATTTTTAATTTATTAATTGAGAAAAGCATATATTGCTATATATTTTATCTAAATAATTATAATTCTTTGATATTAAAAATTATGTTGCAATCAATCAGAGGAATGTAATAATAATTTATAGATAAAATAGTAAGGTATTAAAAATTAGTATAGAACTTTCAACGTTTATAATTTAAAAATAATTAATAAAATTTATCATTTTATAATTAAAATAAATAAGCATATTTAATCTGATTAGAGGCTAAAACATGTATTTAGATAATAGATCTCTTTGATATGATGTTGAAATGAAAGTATTTAAATAAATTTGGAGATGAGGAATAGAAATAGAAATTAGATAGAGGCTTTATTATTTACTATATAAATATATGACTTCATCATTTTAATACTAACTTAACTGCTTCTACAATATTATGTGTTTTAGGGAAACTAAGTTCTTCTAAATTGAATGCATAAGGTGTTGGTATATCTGCACCTGTAACTCTAACAACAGGTGCATCTAAGTGGAAAAATGCATTAGCTAGAAATATGATATGAATAATACTTTCATTAATAATACCACATATTTCTGCTCCAATTCCACATTGTCCCCATCCTTCTTCTACAGTAACAACTCTATGAGTTTTTTATAGACTTTGAATTATAGTATTTCGATCTAAAGGTTTCAAGGTTCTTAGATTAATAACTTCACATGAAATTCCTTCTCTTTCAAGTTCTGCAGCAGCTAACATTGAATATCTAAATTTAATAGATTATTTTACTTAACCATTTTTGAGAATGTTACAATAGTGACATCTTTACCTTCTCTCATAACTTTTGCTTTTCCAATAGGTATCAAATAATCTTTATCCATAACATTTTCAGGGACTTCAAAAGATTCATTATACATAATTTCGTTTTCAAGAAAAACAACAGGATTTGGATTTCTGACTGCTGCTTTTAAAAGACCTCTAGCATCATCACAATCATATGGAGATAATACAATTAATCCTGGTACTTAACTATACCATGCTGCAAAACATTATGAATGTTAAGCTGCTACTGATGCTGCTGCACTAAAATATTAATAAATTCATAATCATACCCATTAATTCCTCTAAATACTATAGATGTATTTAGACCACCAGCACTCATGTAATTTAATTTGGCTGATGAATTGATTACATGATCAATAGCTTACATTGCAAAATTGAATGTCATAAATTCAACTATTGGTTTAAGTCCATACCTAATAAAAAATGAGGTCAATTTTACATTGCTGCTCCTACACTCAAACCTGTAAATCCAGCCTCTGTTATTGGTGTATCCCAAATTCTACTCTTTCCAAAACGATCATATAAACCCTTAGATACTTTATAAGCACCTTAAAATTAACCCACTTCCTCTCCTAATTTATTGTTATTCCTTATTAATATACCTATCAAAAACACATTTGAATCTCTTTCAATCTCTTAACCCATTGCACTATTTATGGCTTCTCTTACTGTCATCTTAGCAAATCCACTTCTCAATTTATTAACAATTCTTAACATGAATTATTTATATTTATCTATAATTCAATTTATATAATCCAATATACAATTTATATTAAAAAAAAAAAATAATTTAGAAATCTATTTTCTTAATTGCTACTGATATTATATTTAAATACCCAATGTTTAACCAATATTTGATCAATTTATTTATAATTACTCTTCTCCTATCTAATGCTATTTAAATGTTAATCATTTAGATTTCCTCTAATATTGTATATTCCTATTTTGAAAAATTTCCTCTTTTTTTAAAACTTTCATTTTTCCTCTTTTTCTTTCATAATCTTCAAAAAACATCATTATCAATATTGTCTTATCATATATCAGATTAAAATTATTACGATAGTTCATTAATTCAAACTGTTTGATTGAGTGCCTTAAAATCAATGAATAAGAAAGTTCTTAAAATTTTTTGACTACTTTACATATACTACTAAGATATAGAATAAAGAATATATTAATGCTTAGTTTCTTGATACTTGTTGCTTTTTAATAAAGTTCTTTAAAGCTAAGCTTTTTTTTATCAATCTCCTTTCTATTATTTTTACAAAAACCATACAAATAGCTATAGTTCAGAATTTCTGAAAGTTATATACCTGTTTTCTTTGTAAAGAGTAAGGAAAGTGAAATTGATATTAAATACTATAATTATTAAGTATCATTTTGGACATAATACGAAATTTTCTGTAGATAAATTAATCATTTGACTTTAAAACAAAAATGTTCGTACATTCTTTCGAAAATAAAGCGACTGAACTCATTTTTTATTCAAAATAGAGGACTGATTATACTATCTCTTTGATCAAGAAAAAAATTCTAATATATAAAGAATAAAAGCAATATATTTAAAGTATAATTATACATCAAATTTCTGTTTTAACATCATTGGTATGCTCTATTTTATAAAATAAAGGAGGGGGTTAATAGCTATAAGGATAGTAAATAAAACTAATTTAGTTTATATCAATACTTTTGAGCAAGTTTGGGTAATTGCTTCTTAATTAATGTAGCTTAATCTAATTGTTTTTCAACAATTTTTTTGTTCAACTTTGGTCGTTTTTAGCGCTCTTTCTTTTTCCCAATTCTTCCTTAAGTTTTGTAAGTCTTTAAAATTGCTTTTGCTGTCGATAACTTAATTTCACTTGCTTAGGCAGCTAATTTGACTGAAACCCCTTCTTCTAAGACCTATTTTATAAGGAGATTCCTTTTCTCATCAGTTATAACACTATATTTCTTATGAGGCACTTCGGCTAAAAATAATACGTACTATGTTATTATTTTGTGATCTCAGGTTCAGTTTACATATTTCTGACACTTTGTACTTGCAAAGGTGGGTGAAAATATAAACTTTAACTTTTTGGCAACATCCCAGAATAATTAAACATGAAGATAATATTTACTTTTTTTGAAAAATAACCTTTTAATTGTTTTAATTAGTGATAAATAAAGATTCAAACTAAGTAGTTATATAAAAAAGACAAGCAAAGAAATGGCAACAAAACCATCATATTCAAATACTATAGAATATATGTTTTATGCTGTTCAAATTTTATAATCAAGTTTCGGCTACTAATAGTTTTAATAAAGTTGAAATTTAATAGCTATTTGACACACTTAATCTCTGTTTTAAATTCTACTGCACACTATCTAACATTGATTATTTAGTTTATAAAAACTTTCTAATACACATTTGTTAAGATCAGTTGTTTTTAACAATTAGAAATATATAAACCAATATATATGAGTCATTTGTAATTTATTAGATAAATTTACCAATATGAATTATAATACACAATATTATATCATTTAATATAAACATAAGACATATTTTATCTCAAAATGCTATCTAATGACTCATTTCTCATTATTTCGTTAAATATCTAATCATTTAATTTCTTTAAAATAAATCAGTCATAAATTTATAGTTATGAATTCAATTGAATAATTTAATTCAAATTAGTGTTAAGCAGGTTGTTTTCATTCATAATCATGCTTTCATCGATCTTCCTAAACTATTCAGAGGGTATTTAAATTAAAATGTTTAGAATAATATATTATATATTTAGCTATTGTTTTGAAGTTTGAAATAAAATTAAACAATTAAATTTATACATTATTTCATTAAATTGCAAAAAAATAATTACTTTTTTTTTTGATCAAACTTCTACTTTCTGATAAAGAAAAAAGAAGAACAAAATACTAATAATTCCTTTGCTTTTTATTAAAAATTCATCAGATAAAATCCTCTAAAAGTTCTACATTCAGAAAGGAAATTCTTATAGTTAATATTTTAATTTCCCTCTAAAAAACAAAATTTAAGAAGATTAGGTGGAATTTATATATAAAAGTATTATTTTTATTTATTATGTTTCATGATTGAAAACTGAAAATAAAAGTACATTTATTGGACTTTTAGAAACCTCTCATTATTTATGTCATTATATTAAATATTTGTTAGGAAAGAAGTAATAAGATATGAAAAATAATAAATCTGGAATATCGTTAAGTATGGCAGGATTACTCAAATATTGTCTAAAATTAAATCGAAGTTGTTGGAACTTATGCTCGAGTTTGTTAATATAATTATTATTAAATTTTGTAATCAAATAAATTCAATATATTTATAATAATATTTAACTATTAAGATTTGTATTATTTAACAAATCAAACTTGATATTAAGATATATACTTCTCTTATTGAGTAGATGAATTTAGAAATTAATTATGATTATTTTTTCCTAAGTTAATTGAGTCATATATTCTTTTATATAATGGAGATTTATTAATTCAACAATTTACCATCTATTATTAAAATCTCATATTTTTGATAGCTAAATTATTTTAAACAAAAGAATGATGACTCAGTTGCTTGAATCAATTTTAATTCAGATTGGATATTTTGAAGTATAAATAAACTTGTCATTTCTTCCAATATTTTTCACTATAGGCAAATTGTTTTCATTAATGTTTGTGATATACCCATAATACTAAGTGGTTGAGTTTTATAATGATAAACAATCATTGAGTGAAAATAGGTTTTACTCATTGTTATAATTTCAAATTGAACTAATAAACTAAGGGCTTGGGAATTAAGAAATACAACATTATTTCTCTTTGATATTTAATATTGTTATTTCAATAGTAATTGGAGTCACAATTATTTTCAACTACAATTAAAATGATAGAATAGATGAGTATGTAAAATAATAAAATATACGAACTATTTTAATAAGAGCCATATGTCTTATCAATACTTTTATAAATGTAACAGTTTTATAGCCTTTATTAACTATTGGTTTGTTTAACATAAAAAACTCAATAAAAAATCAATTTTACATCTGGATTATAAACGATATGCTATTTTTATTTTACATACATTTTACCTAAATTCTGCATTTTCTACTAACTGAAGGCACTTTAATTATAAAATGCCATTCCTATAAGAAGTTATAAGTATCATTTGTGTAATATATTGCATATCTATTAATTTTATTTTAGCCTTACATTTTTACATTTACTATACCAAATATCACAAAATACACATAATCAATAATGTATATATTAATAACACTCTTTGAAATACATTCTATATTCATTTCAAAAATATATTCATAATAAACTCAAATTTTTCTTGTAATAATTATTCATTCATGTGGAATATTTATTTCTCTATGTACTTTATTAAATATTGATAAACCTTTTATATATGTACTATTGCTTAGTCCCTTTTTAACATATATCGGTGTGTTTACACATAATTAAAATTTGATTTAGATCTAAAATAAAGAACCATTTGAACTATCTTAATTGGATCTAAATAATTTAATTTGTAGAAAACTCTCAAATTAAAAGACTCCATTGAATTAAACTTGTATTTTAAACTCAATAAAATTAAGCAAACATTTATAAAAATGCTTAAATAACAAATGTTTCTGTCATAATTAACAACTGTTCACAACTGTTCCAGAATAACTTTTAATTTTACCTGACATTATTGAAGAAGATATTAAGTACAATTTGATAAAAAATTTAAAAAAATAAGTTCAATAATAACAACCTAAAGATATTTTTTATATTTTATGTCATATTTTGTTTGCTTAATAATATCATGGTGAAGTTTATGAAATTTACTCAAAAATTGAAAATAAGAGCATTATAGATAATTTAAATAGATTATAAAAGATTAAATGGAAAGTTTTCACTATGATTATAAAACAAAATCTTTATAATAGTTTTACTGCAAAAGTTGAAAATTATAGTAAAGAAAAGAATAATTTATCAATAAAAATTAATTAGTTTGTTCATTCGGAAAGTTTCAATTAAACTATAAAGGATGGGTTGATAAAGATTATTCAAAGAAAGTTAGATTTCTCACAAATAATATTAGATTAATAAAAGTAAAGTGATTTTTTATTTCTATATTATGATCTAATTTAACAAATAGAAAAATAAGAAAAATCTTTAAGAATGATATACGATAAATTTTCAAGTATATATCATTCATATTCAATTAGGTTAAAAAAATTAATCTTAACTTATGTTCTTTTATGGAGAAATTAAGTATGATTGGAAAAAAGCATTTGATTAATTGTAAATAAATGCTTTAGACAATAAATTATTAGATCAATCACATGATATCGATATTAATAGATTAACAAGCAAAATGTCATATGTTATATTCTAGTTTGAGGAAAGAAAATTAAAAATTAAATCATTCTCTAAAAGGGCTCCTTAAACTTTTGGATATAAAAATAAATCATTTGATAATATTGTTAATTCTGATATTTTAATTCCAAGAATAATTAGAGATTATCACAATAATTATATTGAATAATTTTTATGTGATGGAAAGGGAAGTTTCTTTAGACAAAAAGCATAGATCATTTGTTAATTGAAATCTGGATTGTTATAAAATCTTGATTTTTTTTATGATTTATACTTTGATATTCATTAGAGTTTTAGATTCATTGCATTTTTTTGTGTAATAGAATAAATTGAACCAACGATTTTAATAGATAAAAATAACAGAATTTAAGGAATTAATAAAGAACTATTTAAACAGTTAAATTTTAATCCAAAGACAATAGAAAACTTGTAAATAGAGAAAAGCTTCTATAATATTGCTGCAATAAATTTCATTCCTATCAACATTTTAAATAGTAATTTGAAAATTGCATCGTTTTAATTTAGTTTTCCAAAAGAATCATTTTTCCTTTAATTAGTTCAATAGAAAGTATCTTTATAGAAAATTGATACCAATTTAATTACTTATGAGATTAATTGTGAAATTTTTCATAGAGAAAACTATAAAATAATAAAATTTAAAAAAATCTAAGAAAATGGTTAATTCAGATAATAAGTATCAATGGATGTATAAAGTATAAATGATAAAATATTTGAAATCAACAATGAAGAATCTATCCTTTATCCATATGACTGTAATATGGTGTCTCCAAGAGGCTCAAATACTAATAATATCATTTTTGAAACATAAAGAAAGACAGATATTAAAATATTTAGTGAAACTGAAGATAAAAATTATTTGGTTAAGTAAAGTTAACATGAAATTATCCATGAATATAGTGATTCATAATTCACAGTATAAGATGATAAAACTATATAAATTTTAGGAAATATATATGAAAATGATATTAGAAATTAAGAAAATATAATAGCAGGGGGATCATAAGCATCTTCAATGGCTGGTTTAAGAAAATCAGTGTTTTACAGAAAATATTCATTAATAAATATTTTAAACGAATCTACAAATACAGGTCCTATTCTTTTAAAAATTATTGGATTATTATTGATTGCCTTGGCTTGTTAATCCATTTTTTTAATAATTGTAATTTTTTGTCTATACTTAGAATATTGTTTATTCCAAATAAGATTTTGATTCTCTTAATTATTATTATGAATCAATATAAATCAACCATTATTTTATTGAACCTATGCAAAAATTCTTTTTAGCTCGTTACATGCTCTAAGATTATTAAATATCTTCCTATTTAGGAGAACTTAATGATACTAAATTGAAATATTATAAAAGTTTTATTATGCCACTTTTAATTGATTCTTTTGATTAATTTAAATAAAATTTTTAGGATCATTTTTAGGATGAAAGTTTATCGGAATTTATTAAAGATAAATATGTTGTAATTAAATAATAAACATATCATTATTCTCCAATAAAATTACAAGAATATAATATGACGCTTTTTAATGCTTTTAGTATACTTTTAGATGCTTTTTATAAGTAATAATAAATCTATGTAAATTCATCTCCAACTAGTGGTACTAATCCTCATAATACCTATTAATATATAAATTATATTTTATTTGTGACAATATTTGATCAAATATCTGATTAAATGTATTAGGAATCTATATCATAGATTGATTTAATAGTTAAAAGATGGTTAACAGTATTAATTCCACTTTCAATTATCTATAGTTCAATCATGATCTTATTAACTTATTATCATAATCTTTACAATCAATTATTATAAAGATTTTTTGCATTAAACAATTTTGTAGAACAATCTGCAATTGAAAATGATACTACGAGGCAACTTTTTATTCTATAAACCTTAAAATAAGGATCAGAATTAATTCATAAATATAAATTTAATCTTATAGGAAAGGAGGAAATGTTAAGAAAAACTAAATAGAAGGAAAAAAAAAATGAAATAAACTATTAAAATGAATTTAGAAGAACAAAAAGCAGTGTTAAAATTCCTAAAATCCCTTTGTTAATTATGATTCTTTTTTTTTCAATTTAGTATTCACTTATTGTAGGACCATTAACTTATGTTGGAATTAAGTATATGAGAAAATTTCCTGATACAATGAATTTTTTTAAATCATTCTCTGATATTGGAGTATATATACCAGCTGCATTTTCTTAAAAAGAGATGCTTTATTATTTTTTTTATTTTTCATATTTCACAAAAGATGATAAAGTATTTTTTATAGAACAGATTTAAAAATCAGTTTAGAAGATTGATACTTTTTTGAATTTAAAGTTGGATGATATTAATTATTAATTCTCGTCTGAATTTTTGGACAATTATGAATATTAAGAAAAAAATAATCTCTGTATTTTATTAAATGGCACTAAATATTTTGATTTTGAGTATTTTTGTTATAATTCTTAAAATGGAATTCTGAAAATAGGATTAATTCCAACTTTGAATGGCTTCAGTAACCTTTTAAAGAATGAGTTAGATTTAGATTTCCCAACATCAAGGACTGTCGCTCCTTAAGAGGAATTAGAAGCAGTTTATTTATTTTCTGACATAATATCAATTATTACTCAATAGATGGCCTCTGATATTTAAGATTAAGCATTAAAAATTGAGTAAATATATAATGTAAAAATATATTTTAAAAAATAATAGGTTGTTAATGGAATTGCCTTGACATTTACATTTCTATTAATATTGATAGTGTATTTGAAAATATACTAGACATTGAAATTTAGACTACTTAGAACAAAAGCCATTTCATTAATGTATCCACTTTAAACAATATTTTTAAATGATCATTATGAGAGAGAACTACGTAGAATTGTAATATCTGAATAACTTATCTGAATTTGATCAATAAATTTACTTATAAAAATCTTTTTTTTTATCATAAATTCAATCATATAGAAAAGGATATTATAAAGTTAAAATTTAGATTTTATGATAATTAATTTGAAAGGAAATAAATATTTATTACAGCTTAAATTATTCTTATTTTTTTACAAATGGAATAATAAATGAAAATCAAAATTTCAGAGTGGAAATTAAGAAATATAAAATAACCAATATTAAAAAAGATTATGAGTTTATTAGATTAAATGACTTTAGAATAGTTCTTTAAACTGATTAAAATAGATGATTTTTGAAATATATATCAGAGAAAAAAAGAGACAGAAGAAAAAAGTTAATGTCTTATTATAAAGAAATAACAAATTTTAAATTCTAGAAAAAGTATAAAGAGAAAAGAAACTGAGTGAGTATATTTACAATTTTGAATTCGAAAAATAAATATGCAATTAAAACCTATGATTCGGCAGAAAAGAAGTATATAAAAATAGAATGATTAAAGTAAATGGAATGTTATATATTAGTCAGATAGGAATGAAGTCAGTTTTAAGATAGAAAAAATAAAATTAATTAAACTAGTTGTATGTATCTTGATATATGGATAGAAACGATATAAGTTAATTTGATAATAGTTTCAATAGAATTCAAGAAAATGAAGCATAATAAAAAAAATTGAAGAAAATTTTGTTTTGAACTTATTGTTAAAGTCTACAGATATAAGGAATTAAGAGATTATAGTGAATAAATAATTTTCATTTTTGTATGTTTATAGTTTAAGAATGAAAGATTTATTGAAGAATCTTTGAAAAGAATGGATTAAAATAAAAGCGGTAGAATTTTAAAAATAATTTGATCGATATTTTAAGCACTGATATTATCTCAATTAAGGATATCGATATCTTAGAGATGAGAAAGTAAGATGATAGTATAAAAAGGTATGGTAATTATTGAAATCTTTAGATTAATTATTAAGAATTGATGATACTTTTAATGGATAAATTTAATGAATAGTTAAAGCAATGAGTATTTGATTAAGTTATTAATAATTATAATGAATCGATAATTCTAGCAGAACTGTCCATTTAGAAAGCAGTACGCTGGATAATTTGATTTCTTAACAAAGTCTGATAATACTTTAGATATAGGGAAAGTAAAAGTAATTTAACAATCACCTTCATTTGCAGAATATGTCAATGGTTTGAAGGAAGGAAGTATAAAAAAGAATAAACGTCATCACACTGAAACTTTATAGAGATGTCCAATTCTTCCTAAGATTGATGCTGTAATTCCAGATCTTTAGACAATGAAATCACATTTCGTTTTAAGCCTCAATAAAAGCACAACTACTTCATAACATTCATATAGCTATATATAACATTCTCATCCAAATACTCCAAGATCAAGAATTGGAATTCCTACATCAATAACTCGAAGATCTTTACCACCATAAAAATAAGGAAAACTATCTCCAATAACATCTAAGAGTTCTTTTTGCATTAAATCTAATAGTGAAGAAGATGATGGAATATTTCTAACTAAAATTGGTGGTGAACAAGTCATTCAAGAAATATCTAAATTATTTCATTAACATTCTCAAATTCATCCTGTAATTTAAAGTAAATAATTACTATATATATCTAACAGAAATTGATGATCCATCAATGTATGAAGCCAAATTTGCAACATTTCTGGAGTACATCATGGGCAAACCAGTATTTTTTAACATTGAAGCTCTTAAATAAAAACATATCCCCTTAAAAATAGATCATGAATTATATAATTAATTTAAGAGCTACTTACTTGTAAATAATCTATTATAATAAGAAAGAGTAGCTTTATTCAAAGTAATAAAGGACCTCCTGAATTAATATTTGAATTCAGTGCACTTATTGAACAATACAAATACTGTATTATAACTTCAGAATAAACATTTGCCTAAATTTATAATCAAAGGACTGAGAATAACAAAGATGAAACACCTTAAAGCATTGTTCATTTAGCTGATCTAACATATTAAAAAATTTTAGAAGATTAAACTCTTTGTGAATACTTTGTTGGTATCTAAATGGATGAACAAGCAAAAAAATTAGGAACTATTTTACATTAAATGATGGGTTGGAATTGCAGTGTTGATCATGTTTTAAATTATTTAAGAAAATCTCATTAAAGTATGAATCTTACTAATGTACATTTCACTTTATTCAAATAACATTTAGTTGAAGCTATGAAAGAACTAGGATTAAAAGAAAGTTAAATTGAATTAATTACCAGAAGAATGGATGGTTATCGTAGTTGCATTGTTAATTAAGATTGTTTATTAGATTTCTATTTTTAATCACCTACTCTTTTTAAAGTGTAAGTGAAAAAATATGAAGTTTTATTATAAAGAGATCCTAGATTTAGAAATTTTCCAAATGTGTCTCCTCTATTAAGACATGCACATTTTTTATTAAAATTTATAACTCATTAACATTAACCACTCTTAACAAAAACAGATATCTAAACATTACATAAGAGTTGTGTTATTCAAAGTGAGTGGTTAGATGGTTTCAGAGATAACTTTTTTTTATTAATTAAAAATTATAATTTAGATAGATTGATACTATAGGATTATGCTGATTTATGGTTTTAATTGAGATTTATTGTTACAAATTAACGTAGTATTGAAAGTATTGTTGGACCATATGGATTAGATTAAGTGTAATACAAAGTTTAAATTAATCTATAAGATAATGAAATTTATAGTGATCATTTTAGAAATGCTGAATACTAACTCAAATCTCATGTTAGAAAAATCATTGGATTTATTTTTAGGAATTCTTCAATTTATAAAGCAAATGATTTAAGAGTTATTCATTATCCATTAAAAATTGGAGAATAAACTTTTAATTTGTTTGTATAATTAATCAAATAAGTTATGCAAGAAGAAAAATTGGGTGCTAATTTAATACTTCTTGCAGATTAGATTTGTTAGTATTATAGAAGTAGCATTTGCAATTTGTGATTTTATCTATTAATGTACTAATATGTATATATTATATATGTCTCATTATGCAAATGGGAAAACACCTCTTTGTCTAAGAATAGCCTCCAAAGCTGAAGCACTTTATCCCTTTTATCTCAAATATCCTGCTAGGATGACTGTACTATTCTTTTTGTTATAAACACCATTCTCATCTACCTTTAATTATTGATTCAAACTATACTTATCCGACATTGATTTATACACTGGAATAATCGCTGCTATTCAGGATCATATTAGTATATTGGCATTTTCTTGGTACATAAATGTCGACAACTTATTTCTCATCATTGATCATTCCTGCATTTTCTTGAATTCTGTGAGCCATAATATTAAAAAAAGATTTAAATTTTTTTATATATTTAATTAATTCGCAATGTCTTCATCTAAACACTACTCAAAGCAAAGCTTATATATCCACTTTATATTTAATTCCTCTTTTTCTTCAAAGAACCAAAATAACAGTCCTTTCCAGACAAAGCTAATTTTATTAAATATTAATATCAATAAAAATAATAAGGTAATTCAATCATTCTCTCCTATACATTGTTATTTTACTACAAAAGTCAAGACAGTTCGTCCAACCTTTTTATAATTAAGAGTATTACTTATACAGCTACCTTCTCTTGTTCAATTTGATATGGTTATATTAATTTTACTAGAGTTCCAAATTTACTGTTATTGTCAAAAATGATGAAATTACCATCCTAAAATTTAATATAAGCATGCAATCTAGATACTGAGATATCTGAGATCTATATATCACATTGATGTCCTCTTCCCTATATAATAAATCCCAACTATACTATTTTAATAGGCTCACTATTCTAAAATTGTATCACATACACAGCTTTTCCATACTTCTTTTCCTTCTTATGTCTTGATTGCATTATTAAATATGGTGTTGATGGACGTTATATTACATCCAAAGAAAGTTCTCGATCATCCATCTTTATTTTCAAAGGCAATAATGATTCACAAAGCTCACATTGTTACCTATATGCATTTATTAAATACTATTTCCATCTATATGATTATGCACTATTTAACTGTTTTATTTAACATCTGCTTTCAATCCATTATCTCATACAACTAAAATGAACGAATTCACAGCTTCCTTTACAGTTACATGGAGAAATAAAAGGATCTTCTATTGTTTAAGTGTCCATTAGACAAAATCGACAGATTGCTTAATTATTGGAGACATACGAAGCAGTTATTTCGAACCAATCCTGACTTTTTATTCGAGATTTACTTTTAGCATTTCATTTGTGGCTTAATTTACTAAGTTGTCTTTATCCTTTGTTTCTAATATCACATATTCCATTCTTCCCAATTTTATTATGTCTCCAGGCTCCATTTTATATCCCTATATTCATATTATAAACTATTCATACTTTCTATCCTCCTTAATTATTTTTTAAACTTCTAACTATTAAAAAATTTTCATTTTCATCATATCCACTCGGATTTATGAAAAACTTATTATCCTATTCTTTAACTGTTGTTAAATATTATTGAGACTCTGATTATTCATTTTCTGGACAATGAGTAGTGACTTCTTAACCTATTTATTATAATCATATAATATACCTAATCGATAAATCTTCCGCTCTTACATTATAACATACTTTTCAACCGTGAGAAGTTAAGTTTCATAATCAAAAAGCCCATGAGAATCTTTTTGCCAAGTCGCAGCCTTCATCTCAACACTAAATTAATTCAATAGCTTTACAATTATTGCATGTGAATTTATTTATTTTATATATCAATATTATACAATTTACTTTTTCTCTATAACAGAAATTTGTAATTAATTATTCATAATTTATATATTACGTTTTCATATCTTATAACAATCAGTTTATATATTTGCATATAAAATAAATGTAAAAACATTAATGATTGTGTCCCTACTTTTTAATAGAGATTCAAATTCATAATTAATTGATCAAATAATATAAAATCTATTGTACTTAATTTTGTTCTTTTAAAATAATATGATTGTTAAAATTAAATTTAATAAATACTTTAAAATTTGATCATTAATCTCTAATTTAATTAATGATACTTAAAATCAAAAAAATTTTATTAAATTTCATTTATGCTAATCAATAAACTTAATTTTGAAATAAAGGGTAATCAATTTTGATTCTTAATTATTTTATAAAAAAAATGCATACTGTTCTATACAATAATACTAATTTATAGAATATTTTAGCAACAACATATTAATATTAAATTAAATGAAAACTATCCTTTATACTATCTTACTTTTCACCTTAGTTCACTCATAATGCTATTTAAGAACTATCCAAACTTGCCTTTTAGATGAAAAATGCTAATTAGTTAAAGAATCATGCCAAGATCGCCCAAACAAATGTTAAGAAATTGATGCCACAAATCCTAATAATTGCAGTGGAATCTAATGTTATTATGATTTTAATTTAAAATCTTGTTAGGTAAAACTCATTATAAATGTTAAGCCTTATGAAGATGAATTTGAAATTAGATCAAGAAGAATTTTAGACCATAAAGACAATCGGGACAATGAAATATCAGAAAGTTAACATTAAGATTAGAATTAACATAATGATATCCCCAGTTAAAATGGAGGATTCCAGAATTAGCCATAAAACAACACTTAATAATTTCCTACTAAACCACAATAGAATTCAACTATATTAACAAATAGTACTTAAATTTATCCTCCAGAAACAGAATCAAATTAAAATGATCATTCAACAAATTCTACTTCCTAAAATATAACTAATTCAAACACAACAGTTTTTGAAGCGATTCCATTTAATTTCAATAAAGAGAAAATTCTCAATAGTAATTTGGAAGAAAAAGATTTAGTTATCAGTACAAGTTTCTCTTACAGATTGTTGACATGTTTTATTGTAGCTTATTTGTTAATTTGATTATATAAATTAAAATAATACATGCTATTTGTAATTTTTATAATTAGGATGATTAATGCTTCATGCATAGATAGGACATTAGAACAATGTCTAATTTTAAATTTTACTGACAAAGAGTAATGTCAGATTTCTTCTGGTTAATGTTCACCGAGATCAAAAATATGTTTTGAAATAGATGCTTCGTATCCTTTAAATTGTAAAACATCCTAATGTTACTATGACAAATTTTTAAATATATGCATGGTAATTTTCAATCATGATAGTAGGATGTTCAATAATCTCGAATTCTAGAAGAAATCGGACAAAGAGGAGGTGGAAATGGGGAAGGTGGAGGTAATATTGGAAGTAGAACAAGAGATAATGATAGAGAAGGCAATAATGATGAAAAATATGGTTCTGAAGATGATCATGAATCAGATCATGATGATGATGATGAAGAAGAAGATAAAAATTAAAAATATAATGATGAAAATTCCCATCAATAATAATAAAATTAATAGACATAATAATAACCTTAAAATCCATAATAGCCATCATCGCCATCATCGCCTTAGTAACCATAGTAACCGTAATAACCTTAATAACCATAATAACCATAATAACCATAATAACCATAGAACCCATAATAACCATAGAACCCATAATAACCTGAATAATCACAAGAATAATAATAATAAACCTAATCAACATAATAACCTTAAAATTCTGATCCTAATATTAATGGAAAGTAAATTTATAATTTTATAATAAGTTAAAATATCAATTAAGAGGGTAATGGATAAAACTCAAACAATTCTCAATAAGATGATAACGATTCGACTTAAGGTAAATTTATAATGTATTAATTAAGAAACTTAAATCATATAGAATGAGCTTGATGATAATTCAGAAAGTAATTTATTTAAAATATTGATTCTAGATATTAGTTTGAATAATATAAGGATTGAAAAATCTATTGAAGAGGATATAAGACATAAAATCTAAGAAGCTGAAAATGAAAAATCGTTAGAGTTAAAGAATAAAGGAAATGGTTTAATTTTATCATTTGCTTTAATGATAATTTGGATATGATCATTATTTAATTAAATGAATCACAGTCTCTATACAGTGCATCCCACTTACACTCCTATCAACCTAAGACTAGCAGAAGAGTATTTCAATACACTTCCTTCTGGTGATATCAGCAGACAATTCTTTGATGGTGTTCAATATAGAGCTGTAAAGGGATTATTTGCTTCTTATGCACTTAATAGATTCACATAGTATGGAAAATTAAACTCCCTATACAAGTTCTATCCTTATTAGAAGATAGTCAAAGAAACAGAGGAAGAATTATGTGAAGATTGGACTTCAAATATTAGTAATATCGAATTAAATATCTTTTTAGAACTTGCAGCGATTGTTACAGGAGCTTCATGGACTTTCCTTTATTAATATGCTAAAAGAGGATAAGTTTTGAGTATTTTGAGAGAATACGGATCAGTTTTTAAGACTCATAGATTATTAAGATAATATCTATATACTCTAGTCCTTCCTTTCGCAATTGCAAATGAGTATACATTTATTCATTATCATGATCACATTGAATAATTATGGTAAGTGCATGCAAATAGGTATTCCTTAAAATTTAGATCAATAGATTAAATAAGAAAGATTTATCCGATCCAGCTGGTACCTAATATCCAGAAGAATTAAGAGCACCAAGAAGAGATGTGTTTATCAATAAATGGCATTGATTTACACCATTATAAATCTAATAAACAATATTATTATTTAATAACTAAACAACTCAGATACATATCACTATCTTAAGTCTTATTTTTTTATATTTTCTTTCCCCTTTTTCGAAAATATTTTGTTTTTAGGTGTCACTAAAATTACCATTAAATCACATTGAATAATAACTCAAAATTAATTATCAAAAATTTTTAATCAAATCAACTCTAATAAGAGTCTATAAGTCATTCAAATTCATATCATTTAAATTAGAAAAAATTTGATCATTATTTATATAAAAATAAATCTTATATAACTCAATATTTTTTATCTATCATAAATTGAGTTGAAGATATTCGATGAAAAATAAGAGATAAGTAATTTAAAGAATGTTTATTCTTAATTTTTTATGATTAAGTTAATTGAATTGGTAGTATTAATAGAAATTAATTTAAAATTGCGAATTCACTATTATTCCTATTATTAACATAATTTATATTTACAATATTAACATGGACCTTGAAAATTAGAATTAGGCAGCCTTTTTGGATTCAAAAGATATGGTTGAAAAGTTAGAAAAACTCGAAATTACTTCAGAGGTAAATGAGTTTCAATATTAAAGAGTTTTGATAGTAAAATGGCTTGTATACAATATTTTTCATATATTCTAACATGGGATATTGTGAATGCGAGATTTTTCTTTTACAAATATTAAAGGCTTTTAGAGTCAGACCAATTAGGAATAGAGATGACAAAATTTTTGAAACTAGTTTTCGAAAATAAGCATTCAGAATTAATAAAAGGATGTGATAAATTATGTGAAATTTTGAATACCTAATAAGTGTATAAGAAATGGATAGAGGAATTAAAAAATAGAGTATAGGAACATTTGAAAGATTTAATTGAAAAAAATTTCTAATCTATTAGTGCAGTTCGTTTAAGTTCATTTGGGTAGGATTATAGAATATTAAAAGGATAAATCCTTAAGGAAAAGCATATGTGAAAGTTGAAGAGAAGTAATAAGCGAATACACCACTAAACATAGAGAAATTGAGTTAGATTGCGAGGTTGATTTAAAATATGGAGAATAAGTGAAATTATAATCTATTTAATACATAATTGTTATAGAAAATTCATATATATATATAAATCAAGAAAATGTAATAGAAAGAAATAGAAGAGACCTAAGAGGAAGTAAAAACCATTAAAGCTATAACTCCAAAAGTAGGAATTTTTTATTAATTACAAGGAAATAAAAAAGATAGTGAAACCTCAATTTGAAGCTAATCCAGAATTGTTTTATCCAACAAAAGTGTTCGATAAATTTGGTTTTACTAGATGCAAATGTCCTAAATGTGGGGCATATTTTTGGAGACATACAGATAAAAAGGTTACTTGTGGAGATTCTAAGTAGTTCATGTTTAAAAATTATATAGCTGTGAAGGAAAATATTCTTTTATAGGAGTAGGGACAGGAAAAGGGGCTAAAGGTCATAAAATCTCATATGCTGATGCTTGGAATGGATTTAAGAAATCGTTAACGAGTTCTAGAGTACCATGCACAGCAATAGACAGATATCCTGTAGTAGCAAGATGGAGAAATGATGTTGATTATGTTGCTGCCGGTATTTATTGTTTCCAACCATTTTGTGTTACAGGTGAGATGGATCCACCAGCTAACCCCTTAATATGTCCTTAATTTTGTGTAAGATTTAATGATTTAGATAATATTGGTTTAACAGGAAGACATTATTCAGGATTTATAATGCTTGGAATTTAGACATTCAATTATCCTGATAAATACGTATTCTTTAAAGAAGAATGTGTGGAATTCAATTATAGATGGTTGACAGAAGAACTAGAAATTAATCCAGATGATATAACGTTTATTGAGGATGTCTGGGCAGGAGGAGGAAATTTAGGTCCATCAGTAGAATATTTTGTAAATGGTTTAGAAGTTGGAAATATGGTGTTCATGTAATATAAATATTTTCATGATGGTTCTTATGAAGAATTACCAATTAAAATTATAGATACAGGAATAGGATTAGAACGCATACCATGGTTAATTAATGGATCTCCAACAAGCTATCATGATGTATTTGCTGGAGCATTTGCTTTTTTGTCTTAGAAGTTAGAAGTTTAATATTCAAATGAAGTTTGGAAAGCATTTGGACCTTATAGTTGCTTACTGAATGTGGATGAGATTGAAAATGTAGATAAAACATGGGAATATATTTCATCATAGATTGGATATGATGTTTAAACCATAAAAAAGGAAATAGAATAATTGAAAGATATGTATATAATATTGGATCATACTCGTACAGTAATGATGGTTGTAACAGATGGATCATTGCCATCAAATGTAGGTGGTGGTTCTAATATTAGAAATATTATAAGAAGAGTATTCGCTGTATTAAAGAAGAATAATTGGTGGGATAAATTAGGAATGGATGGATTATTGTAATTATTTTAGGAACATAAGAATGATTTAGCAAAGCTTTATGGTCAATTTGGTGAATATAAAAGTTTTAATATGATAATTAAACAGGAATATGAACGTTGGGCTAAAACTGATGATGATAAAAAGATAAAATTAGAGAAACTATTAAAATAAAAGAATAATTAATTAAGTATAGATGATTGGATATTTGCAATGAGTACACATGGTATACCAGCAGATACAATAAGCTAAATTAGTAAATTACCGATACCTGGTAATCTGTATGCAGAATTAGCTGATAGAGCTGCTAGAATAACCAAAGCACCAGAGGCTATTTTATATAATACGGTTCACTTACCAGAGACAGTGAATATGTATTATTAAACACCAAAGGATGGCAAATTTAATGCAAAGATTGTTACTATATTTTAGAATGTTTAATAATAAAATGCTTATAACATTGTAATATTAAATTAGTCTGCATTTTATCCATTTGGAGGTGGTTAAGATTATGATTAAGGTTGGTTAACAATAGAAGGATAACGATATTTTGTAAATAGTGTATAAAAGGTAGGGAAGGTAGTATTACACATATTGGATAAAGCATTACTAAACACAGTGGATTCTTATGTTGATAAAGAAGTGTTGGCTGAAATAGATTTAGATAGAAGATCAATATTACGTAATCATCATACAGCTACACATATTGTATTTGCTGCTTGTAGAACAATTCTTGGACCTCATGTTTGGTAGAATGGTGCTCATAAGAGTGTGAATAATGCTCATTTAGATATTACTCATTTTGCTCCATTAAGTAAAGAATAGGAGTAGAAAATCGAAAATGAAGTTAATAAGATTATTTTATCAGCTAGATAAATTAATAAAGGATTTATGAATAAAGCAGATGCTGAAAAAGAATATGGATTTAGATTATATTAAGGTGGTATTGTACCTGGAAATTAATTAAGAGTTGTTAATATTGAAGGTATTGATGTTGAAGCTTGTTGTGGTACTCATTGTGATAGTACTTCAGAAGTAGGATGGGTTAGGATTCTTAAAACACAAAAACTTTAAGATGGAGTTGTTAGATTATACTATGTTGCAGGAGTAAAAACTATATAAGTTCTCAATTCAGAAGGAGAAATGATTAATTAATTAGTTAAATTATGGTCTATCTCAAAAAATTAATTAGTGGAAGAAGGTACCAAAATCTTTTAAGAAAAAAAACATTATGAAGCTGCTTATAACGTAATTTATAACCCTTATTTTAGAATATCAAAGCTGAACTTATTAAATCTCAAATGAAATATATCATTGATGGACCAAATCTAAAAACCGTTATCTAATCTAATGAGTCTAATCCGACTGCTTATTTCAGTGAAATTGGAAAATATATTCAATTATTAAAGGATTTCAAAAAAGGAGTTGTTTTTGTTGCTGATACTTTTCTTTATGGAGCTTTTGGTGATCCAACTTTTAATCTTGAAGAACTATGTAAACAAATACAGGAAGAAAAAACATAAATGAATATTAACAAATTAAATAAAATTAGTGTCAAAGATGGAAAAGTATATTATTTTATTTCTATTTAGAAAACCATTTAAATTAATGATGTGTTAACATTTTCTGTCTTTGGAAAATTTAATAAGAATAAAGCATTGAACTATCTTAAAGATTAACAATTTGCATTATTCTGAAAGATATAATTTAATATTAATACAAATTTATCAATTTTCTAATAAAATAAAATAAATTTATCATTTATTAAGTGTTGGTAATTAAACTTTTTGCTTTTTACTATAATTGGTATGTTCAGCTGTATTTAAATCTAATGACATTATCTTCAATGCCATAGATTTCTCATAATTGTCTTATACCTAATTTGGGTTTGGTCTAGTCAATAAATTATTTAATCTATATATGATCTATCATAATTTATACGTGCTCTTTGACCATTTCTCTTAATAGGTAGTAGTCCAATGTTATGATGTTCCCAAATCTGATTTACGCATCTTCAATATATTATTTAGATACTTTTAATTCATAATCTGTTTAGTTAAGTCTCTAAATAAAAGATTAATCATATTTATATTTTAAATCTCTATTTTAAACAGATATCTTAATAAATCCGAAATCAATATTTAGATCATGTCCTAATCTAGTAAGATCATGTATAGCTTTAATCAAAGATGAATGAACAGATTGTACAACATCTTTACCAAGATAACTAAATCAATATTAATAATTACTAACCTTGATGCTGCTATTGGACCAGCATTACAGAAGTTCATTCCAAATCCCTTTTAATAAATAGAATGTTGACTCAATGGTTTTGTAATTTCTTCTTTGCCTGGATAACGAGCTAAAAAATATTTGAATGCATTGTCAGGAACAAAACAAGGCCTATAATAATTAAAAAAAATAAAAGTACCTAATTTAATGAATATGTTTTCTATCAGCTCTTTGGATGGCTAAGTCTTGTGTCATATTGAATCCTGAATGTTGGAGAGGTTTCACATAATCAGAAATGACTTCCATTGTAAATGCTCCCAACTCTTTCATATTTACTCCCTTTTACATAATATTTAATATTACATTTCCATTAAGCATTTTTTCTTTGATGTATTCAGCAGTAGCCTTAATAATTATGTGGAATTAAGCTTTAGGTTCAAGAGGCTTGTAAGATTACACAGTTCTGGGTTATGATTCCTATTGTTTCCCAGGATAGTTTTATGGATGTTAAAGAATCCTAATTTCAATATTAAGAGAGTCTATACCAATTGTAAATGTCATCAAGGTTCATTTGTCTAAGAAACTGATATTAAAATTATTTTTTATTTTCTTAATATCAAACAATACTTAAATAGAGTAAATAAAGTTAAACTAATAGAGAAATGATAAAGATCATTAATTATTATTACTGCTTATATTATTAATCATAAGAAATAATCTGGGACTCTTTTTGGCACAGTTTCATTTTCAGATCTTGGAGCTGGATCAAATTGTATACTAAATTCATATTATCACATCATTACAATGTTTAACGTAAATTCTCATCAACTTCCATTATACCTGCTTGATTACCACATCTATAACAATAGTTTGGAGCTGAAAAGATTGTTACAACATTTCTATCATGAGCCAAAGAATATCCCTATTTTTAATTAATTAAATATATTTACATCCATAACCAATTGATGAGCTCTTGCAATCATTTTTAATTTATTATTGTGATTAAATTATTCTGAAATATCTTATCCAAATGTATATCCTGCACCTCTTGGAGAAATACCCCATCCAGATCTATCATCTGGGTCACTCCAAAGTAAATCACACATTGGACCTTCATGTGGTACTTCTTAAACTCTATCTAATTGACGAATGTGATCCAATGTATCAATAGATGGTGAGATACCTCCATGAAGACAGAAAAACTGAATAAATTAGAGTATTATACTTATGATTCAACAACTGCTGTCAATGGCAAGTAATCAAACAACTCAGTGAAGCATTTCCAAACATTACTATTGCCATATTTACGAGAACATTCATCATAGAATCCATAAACTTATGTAATTTGTCTTGATTCGTGGTTACCTCTGAGAATGGTAATTCTGTCTCTATGACGAATCTATATAGATTATTATATAAGATACTTTCAACAATACTAGAAGTGTTACACACTCAACAGAATGATGACCTCGATCTACATAATCTCCCATGAAAAGATAATTAGTATCCTCAAATTAAAATCACTTCATTACTGGTGCTTTGCCACCTATTTTGAAAAGTTCCATCAGATCATGGAATTGACCATGTATATCTCCACAAATTATTACTGGTGCACGTACTGGTTATACATTAGATTCCTCAATCAAAATCTCCTTAGCCTATTATTATATAGTATCAAACTCAAAATACCTTTTCACATATCATTTTCACATCTTATTCTGGAAGTGGTTTGCATTAATACAAATGCTATATTTGATGGTCAAGGTTGTTTGCATCAATTGTATTTAATTTAGAAGCCATATTAATTTAATTTTTGAATCGATATTAGAACTTATCAAATTTTATATAATAAAGCTTTAATTGATTTTAAAATAAATCATTAAGAATTTAGTATGATTTGCATAAATTATGGTAAGCATTCATATGCATATTAATCTAACAATAACTCTTTAGCTCTTCGCTCTAGAAATCTTCCTAATAATATTCTCTATTCGTTAGAGTTCAATTAATTCATACGATAAAATATATCTCTCTCCATTGAATCGTATTTCTATGATCTGATCAACATCATTTTCAATTCAATCTCTCTAATTTTCCATAACCTCATATCATTGAAGTATTAAGCATTATTCTTTTACAAATACTCATTTAAATTTTATAACAAATTATGCTCTTCACAAATTTATGAAAATCTCTTATGTGAAATATATTAAATACTATTCTATTCTAAATCACATTCACCCATGAATAAATTTATTATCTATTATTCAGTTTTCTAAGAATCCAATTCTTATAACAATAATCTAAATTAAAGTTATGTAAACCTTTCCTAATCAAATAAAGTTAAAATTAACTAATATTTTTAAGTAATCTCTTTTGTTTTACAATCTAATAAAACTTACATATATGGCAAGATTTCTTAATCATAATCAACAAGTTGAACATATTTTGGAATAGTATTTTTTACATATTATCCGATAACTTCAGAAAGTTAGGATTATTGGACAACAATTCCATTCTCTGTAAATTCCTTATTTTGAATATTATTTAAAATACTCAAATAAATATTAAAACTTTAATCTCCAATTATCATTTAATGGAATAATTTAGCATATGTTGTTTTTTTCTTATAATAAAGTATACTCTTAATAATTCTTTGATATTTTTATAACCAAACTTGAGGAGGTTATTAGAAATTCTCAATTTAATAGAATTCATATAATTAAATGTGTAAAGGATAATTGTATTTTCCATATTTCACACACCAACAAACAAAACTAGACAAATATTTTAATAAAGTTTATCGAGTGACAATATTATCAATTTTGTCTCTTCTAAATTGTTAAATCTCTTATAATAGAAGTTAAGTTGCTGTTTATGTATTTTTAGATGGACATTTATTTACAAATAGTTTTTTTTCTATTGATAATAAATTTTTAATGGGAGACAATTAAGCTTCAATATCAACATCTTAATCACTATCAGATGAAGAATCATCAGGTGGAGCTAATGTATCTTAAAAAACTAAATAATGTTAAATTTATTAATTGTTACATATTTAAACTTAATGATGTTTTTTAGTAGGACTAATTGGTGGAGTTTCTCTAGGCTCTCTATAAAGATCAACTGATTAATCTCTTCTCAATTATTAAGGTTCAGTTGATTCACTTTAACCAATATCTAATGCTGATTTTTAAATTTAAGAACTTGTAGATTAATTTATTTGAGGAGGTATCAATAATTAAGGTTAAGAAGAAAAGAAAATTGTATTTGACTTCTCAGGAGGAAGAAGATTTATACCTGGTGATTAAATTTTTGGAAATTCCAAAAATATTTTTCTTTTTATAGCTTATCTTTTAATTGTCTCAATTTAAAAGTTTGGTAAATATTTATGAATTCTAATAATTTATTTTTACAAAAATGAAACTTATTTTAAAGTTAATTAATGTTTATTTATTAATAAATCCAATTTCTTTTCAGCATGAATTTATTTTCTAAATGATTATTTAGAATCTATTTATTATTCATAAAGATTAATCTTATTTTCAACTAAATTTGATTTACTTTCTATAATTAGAAGTTCTAAACTTCGAATCAATTTCACAAAAATATTATAACTATTTATGACATATTAACTAACAGATTAAAAATCATCTAAATGAAACTCTTCTTTCATTGTCAATATATTAAATAACTGTCTTGCTCTTTGTTCTAATTACTCTATCAAATTATTTAAATCTTAATCAAAAGTGTTTTTATTATATTAAATTTTGATTTCATTATAATCATCAATAAAAACTTAAATAGGATATCGAGACATTTCCAAATATGTTTATTCTTCTTTGTTTCTAGGAATACATTCCCTTTTTATCATTGAAAAGTTGGCTTCAACCGATTAATTAAATGTAACAATACTAGGTGTTTATGTACTCCAATCATATACTTTTTTTTTTAAATAAATTGTTTAAACAACTGCATCTTAAAATTAAAGTAAATCATAAGTATCTGTTTCTTATGTTTTGTAAGAAACTGAATTGCCTACACATTCATCCTTAAAAATAGTTTATTAATAATCTAATAATATTTATTCATCATCCTAATTTTAATTTAATATTTCTCTCCTTTCTAAATCATCTAATTTTTTTTAATACATTTCTTCATATATGATAGTCCTTTATTCAAATTAATGTTTAAAATCTTCAAACATCTCTTTTTTTGCATGTTGTAATTCATCTGCAAATTTTTCTTCAATTTATTATGAATTAAGAATATTCTAATGAATGTAAATAGAGGGATCCACTGAATAATTAATAAATACTTTCATAGCATCAATTTCTCTGATTAGATCTGAATTCTACAATTTAAGGTCATCACACTGTCTTCTTAGATTTAGTAGTTCTTACTCTAATTTTTAGCATTTCTTTCTTAAATATCTACCTTCCTTAATCATTTTATCATTTTAATCAGAATTTAATTTCAAATATTTTTCAGCCTCCAACAACTTACTACCTTTATCATTCAATGTTTTTTAGTACATTTGATGCAATTTCACAGTTTCTGATAGACAATCTTTTTCTAATTTTCTATTTGTTTCAGATTACTTCTCAATAATCTCTTTGACTGCATGAGTAAATGATGACCATATTTTATCAAGCATAGTTTGATAATCTATACACTTTACAGCCAGTTATTAACCTAGTTAAGTAATGGAACCAGTGTAGACCAACTCCATTTTTTCATAGAAATCTCTAATGTTGTTATACTGTTGTTATTATAATTGTTGAACCATTAGCTACTATATAAATTTAGTATACATCAGTCCATTATTCTAATTGTTTAAGATCTTTACGTTCATTTAATTCAAGTACCCACTTAGTTCTAGTAGTGCGATTGCTACTCACATTATTGGCCCTACTCATTAGGGATCTCATGGCAAAGACCTATGATCTCCTCATCTTCATTCATTACCGTTCCATCCTCACCCTGTATAGTTCTGCATATGTTTTGAAGACAAGGCAATTAGTTAGGGGAACCGTAACGCTAAGAATTACTCTCAACAGATGATATCTTGCCCTTCGAAGATAAATCGATATGTGTCTCTACTCGAAAATGAATACTCTTCAGTGGCTTTTGATTCATTGGTAATTTAATTTATTAACAACATCATCTTTTCAACTTCTTCTCAATACATTACTACAAACGCACCATCTCATTCACATAATTTTTTGATAGCGTTTTTGCTTATTCGGCTCTCAATGTATTAAAATAATTTGCAATTTCTCCCAATTCCTTCATAGGCAATTTTTCATCTAACCTTTTTCCAAAAGAACGAGGAGATATCACTCCAACATGTTCAGACATTCCTCTCGCTGTCTTAACAGTTGTTCTAGGACTACCAATAGTTGAAATTCTATTGATTATATATTTCATTTACTATTCTCTTAATGTTACTAATTTAGATAACAATGCTGATTCTTTTGACTATTTAGTAGTTGCTAACACATTTGCATACATCTTATTATCTGCCTTATACTCTATGAATTCAGTTGACTCAGTGGGATAACTCTATAAAAGAAATATATATACGATCTCAATTGTTACCGACTATACATTATTTAAATTAATCTAAAAACTAACTCTCTTCAAATTACAATAAATTCTACACCAATAACACCATTCATTCTATCAAAATATTACTTTCATACTTAAATTAATCATTATTTTTCAGTAATATCCAATTAATAATTTTAACTTTTCAAAAAATGCTATTATCTAAGTAAAATTACTTTAAATTACAAATATAGCATTATCCAAAGAATTAAATATTACATCTGTACTTCCTAAATTATTGTCTATAATCTTATATCTACTTATCAAAGATTATCATTCAATATTCAAAATCCCTCCTACTGACAGGTCTACATTATTATCTATATCATAAAATCTATTCTAATATTAAAATGCTAATCAAATTTCAAATTTTAGATGTGTATCTAATACTTGTTGCTGATTCTTTATAATAAAAACTAAAGCATAACAACTATGTATTATCCATCTATCTCATTTTAATTAAGATTCAAAATCAAATCAATATTTTTAATCTTATTATTAAATTTTTTACACTTCATTCCATTCTAAATTTTTAAATATTATTGTTAATACTTTTCTTACCTATTTTAGTAAAAATTAATATGAAAAACTCTCCTACTAAAAGTAATCCTAAAACAATTATAGGTGCAATCCTATAATTCTTTTCTTATTAGAAAATTGTTCAATTTATGAGAAAATAATTAGTTTTTTTAAATTATAATTTCATTTGTTCAATAATTTTGTAATGCACAAATTAATTACTCATACATTTGCTATAAGTCTCAACCAATTTAATTAATTTTAAATTATTCATAAATTCAAAATTTTAAATTTATAGCATCTTCAAATAAATAATCTTCATTAATTATTTATTATAAAATGTGATCAATTATATTTCATTGTTAATTTACTTATCCTCTTAATATAGAGAATTAATTTAGTTCATTCTCTTTTATAAATTGTGTTTTGTGTTTTTTTTTGTTTTTGAACTTTGCCTTCTCTTCACATGTATATTTAATAATGTCAGAATTAATTTTCAATTATTTTAATAAAATTTGATTGCAATTAGAAAACAATAATATGAAACTGATTATAGAAATAATCATTTTTTTAAATAATTATGATTAAGGTGATAAATTTGAAGGCCTTAATAATTCAATCAAATTAGGCAAAGATTTTATAATAAATAATGTATCATATTTCTTATCCATAATTATTAATACGTCTTTGTACACTTTTTAAGTGAATAGATCAAATAACTTATTTTTTTTGTAAACAAATATTTATTGAATTTTTTTGACTATCATTAATTACCTTTAAGTATTTTTTCAATTTATATCTATTGTAATTTGACAACAAAAATATAAACTTATATATAAAAAATTTATATTTAAAAAAATACGATTATAACATAATTCACAAAATTGAAGCGGCAAATTATTCTATGATTAATTAATTAATGATTAATAACACAACATTGAGCTTATAAAAAAAACGAGAGTTATTCGCTTTGAATGTTAAACGTATTGACAGAGAAACTCTATTTTAAAATAATAGAAAAAAAATGATGTAACAAAATACTAATGATATTGAAATTGATAAAACTCTTCATCTTTTGAATGGTGCAATAACAATTTATAATAAAAAGGATATTAAAAATTACTTTAAACAAATAAACGAATTTAATAACTTTAATTAAGAATAAGAAATAAAATTAGTTGAATTGATTGAAACACTTCTTAAGTTAAAAGTTGAAGATGATAATTCTGCTTTGCACAATGAATGCTTAAATATTTTAGTAAAATTAAGTTTGTTTAGTAATTCAACATAAGAATTGTTTAAAATACTTACAATACTTTATAAATTGATAGATAAGTACAACAACCATATTAATTAAGCACTTTCATACTAAATTTTAGATAAAATACTTGCATTTATTGGTATTAATATATATATCTATAATAATTAGGTAATATATCATGTAATAATGGATTTATTAGCGCATTTTCAGCAAATTTAATAGAAATCTTATAAAATTAGATAATTTTTGGATAAAAAAGATTATTATTTTAAGCATTATGGGCTTTGAATAATATTTTATATGCAATTCACAATGAAACTACTTTGTTAAATTCAATATTGATAAAGATAGGTTAATCTGAATTACCTCAATACTTAATATAATATGTTAAGAAAAATGAAAGTAAGTTTGATAAAAATTAATTGATTTAAATATATTGGTTATATGCAGAATTATCATAGATTATACCCTGTGATATTGCATAATTATAAGTGAAACAAACAGATAGTTAAGAAATATAATTAATAATCTTATTCATCTATGCTAATTTAACAGGATAGTAAATCATTCCTAAAAATTGTAATGTTAATTAGCTTTTCAATATGATTCCAGTTTCAAGTTCTTTAATTTAACGATAACTTTTAGTTATTATTTCTAATTTAGTTCTATTGACAGAAATTGATTAAGAAGCATTAAAGAATTTAATTTATTATGCATTTCCTATTTGTCCTGTAATCCTTGTATTTATTTTTAGATAGACACAATGTTTTTGCTACATAATTGTTAATTAAAATACAATTTATAATTAGGTTCGAATGAAAAAAGCACTATTTTAAGAATTATTGATGAGCTTTAATAGGATTAATTAATTCAAGATTTAGTAAAGCAATTAAAATTAAATAATTGAATTAAATCAAAATAAATCATGGCTTTCTAAAAAATTATTTTATAAATTTTCCTATTCTATTTATTTATCCACTATCATTTTATTTATTCTAATTTGTGTTAATATTTTTAGTAACTTCTAAATTGTTCTCTTTTATTAATCCATATTATTTAATGAATCCTAAATTAAATAATGTATTTGTAAGATCTTTCTTTCCATCTAAATGGATAGAAAATAAACCATAAAACTATAATATCATATCATTTCTACAAAATTTAACAATGTCTTCAAATGTTTAAAGTTTCAATAAAGTATCTTAACAATATTTGAGCATTCCAATAATAAATGTATGAATTATTTGTTCACCCTCAAAAAAGAAAATATCAAATATCATTCTGCTTATTTTCCAAGAGATTCCATACATAAGTAAAGTCAAATATTAATATTAGAAGCAAATATTCAAATCTATACCAAGATCTTAAAAATGTTAATAAAGTTGAGGCAAATCAGTTTTGAATTGAGATTCAAGAGCATTCATCATTCTAATAAGTCCAGGAAATCCTGGTAAAAAAATAGATCTCCAATTTTATTCTATCATGATGTAGATGAATATATAAAATACAAGTTCATCTCTTTTTGGGTCATATATTTCTACACCTTAGAAACATTTATAAAAATAAATTACCTTCTAAAAATTAATTATCATTTGATTAGAGATCAAAACAAACTAATAAATTTCCAGCAATAATATTCATTCCTTAAGTATATCCCAAATCTGGGTCATAATTAGCATATGCCATTAATATATTTCTTAAACTTTAAGTATTTTCTTACTTAATATGAAATTAGATTATTTACATTTGCTAAAAATTCACACCCAATTAAAGTTCTAGGAATGTCCTTATCAATTTATTCAAGAAAATTGTTATGTAACTTAGAATATTAATAAAAAGTTTTATTTGTTTATTCAATTTTTTCTTATATTACATCAACTGAACAAAAAAATTGCCATAATTCTCTTCTCTCTTAAAAAAATAAATTTTATTTCAATAATGAAACATGTATATCAAGAAAATTGAAACCTTAAAAGGATTTTTATGAAATTATTTTTTTCCAATCTTCTTCCTATAATAAATAAATATCATGTCCATTTTTGCATCTTTCAATAATAACAAAATCACTTATTTCTACTTGAATTAATTTATATTCAAATTATTCCTGCTATGTAAGAGGTTAATCATCTTTAGATTTTGCTGGGTTTTTTTAATCTTTATAACTCTGATTCTTAATCTTTAAATTATAAATATTGATTTTACTTATTCTTTGTCTTCACTTATTGATCTTTAAAATATTTTAGATTAATGTTTGCTATTCTTATCTTTAATATTTTATAAATTTCTATTTCTTCTCCTGCTTTACTAATTTTAATATATTATTTTACTTGAATAATTTCAAAAGGTAAAGATTCTAAAATATTATCAATGCATAATTTAGGATTTTAAGATTCACTCATTATATTTTAATTGTTTTAATATTTTCATATACTAATAGAATTGGAATTATTATTATAACTTATATTCATTTTTTTAATAACTTAATTATAGAATCAATTGATTAAGTTGTGTTTTTTTTCTCTCTTGGACTATTGAATTTTAAATTTGCTTTAATTCTTATTGGATTTATGTTATTCTTCTTGAAAATATATTCCATTTATTTAGGTAAATCTTGAAGTTCCTAAACTTCTGGAAAATGTTATGATTTATTAGATTAAGGGATTTTAACATGATGACTATTGAGTAATTCATTTAACTTTTTAAGGCTTAACCTATCTGATTAATAGATATCTGATCCATCAGTAACAATTCGTTTGCTTAATTGATTAATATCCTATTTTTGAGGACTTAAACTCATCTTATCTTATGAATAATTAGATTTCACAATATTATTTTGTTTTATATATATTGAAGGTAATTACTATCTTAGAATAATTCGTTTGTTTTATTCATCAATTGAGTTGTCACTTTTCAATTATATTAATCTAGGACTTTATACACAAATTTTTATTGAATTTCTCTAATTGAGTTTATTATTTAAAAGAGGTAATAATTTTTTTTTTATATCATTTGTTTATTGAAGTTCAAAATTTGAAATTTGGCTCAGAGATTTTTAAGTGGAAACATTCTTCTAAATTTTATTATTTTACACTGATTAATTAATTTACTAATCAGCACTTTGATTTTATGGAAAATCAAAATTATATAGCATTTTATTATTAATCAAAAGCCAAAATTAATTCGCATAAATGTTATTTATATGATTTAATAGTGATAAATAATAAATATTAATTCATTTGATATTATAGATTTTTATATTTTGAGTTTTAAGGTTTACCTTTACAGGAATGTATTCGTTGGCCTATCTAGCATAAGCTTCAAATTCTTTCTCTTTTTTCATTTATTAAACAAAATTAATCCATTATTACAAAATAAACTTTTTCCTCATCAAATTTACATTTGTATATGCATTTAAAAATTTAGTCTAAAGTCTTTATTATTAATATGTGAAATATTTCCAAGATTAATAATGTTTCTTTAGTGTTGTAATATAATATTTCATCAAACATTTAATATCTTTTTCTTTTCTCTCTCTTTTAACTACATTTAACCAACCCGTGAATAAAAATTGCTTATATTAAAGATCCATTTGCTTTTTCATTTTTTGTTTATATACCTAATTTTTCCATTTATTAAGAAAAATCTTCTATTTATGATTATTCATTAATTGAATAAAATTCTAAATAAATTATTACTATGCAATTTTATTTTATTTTAGAATTAAAAATACATTACTTTTTAATTTCTATTAATTTTAAAAAATATATTATCTTGCTATCCTATCTTTTTCATATTTCTCTAATTAAGTCTCTTTATAAATCTTTAATTGTTTCAAACACTTGTTTAAAATTAAATGATTTCTTTTATAAATGAACAATTATAACTTTTTTAACAATCGAAATTCTTTCAACAAATTTCTATTATTTTATTCAACCATGTAATCAAAATATTTTTCAGTAATAAACAATAATTAAGTTTTATTAATACTATTCAGTAGATGACTATTTTTTTCAAATTTTTCCATATCTATAACCAATTCCTAGGATAGTTTTTTAGTTATAATATGATTATTAATGGTAATCACTTCTTTTGAAGAATCTTTCTCTATAATTTTAGAATTAATTTAATTATTTAATTAACTAGATTATTATGCCTAATCAAATGATTAACCATAACTGATATCATTATTAGATGAATCTTATTTTGTTTATAAAGAATTATTATATTCTTATTTAACTTCAATAATAGTAGGTTATACATTAGGATTGAATTAAGCTGTATTTTAAGGAATAGTTTAATACTAACTCCATCTCTAAGTTGTTTCTACTAATTATGACTCTTAATCTATGCTTTCATAAATTGGACTTTAATTTGATTAATAATGAGCTTTTTCTTCTTAATGAGATGAATGTGTCATACTACTTGATTCATCTTAAATTTCTTCTTTTATACTATTATAAGTTCTTGAAGATTGTTAATAGTTATGATCAAACTTTTAACATTAAGTTCCCATACTAACTTTACCTGATTGTTAGAATTATCCTTATTCTTCTATAGTATCATAAAATTATTCAGAATCAATTGATTTTTCTTAAGTTTAACTTAAATTTTATATATTACTACTTTCTTGACTTGTATAATGACTTACTTAATTTCTATCCGAAATTGTTTTTGTATATGGATCAAGCATTTATGTTTAAGTATATTGCATTACACTTGAACTTTCAAAAGGATTCTTTTGACCTTCTTAATCAGTTTAAATTATTTCTTCTTGAATTTGACTATCAGGCAATTTAACTTCTTATTATCTACTAAATGACATATTTGGTTCATCTTATTTAGTTTTACGACTATCTTCAAATGGATTCTTAGGAGGTTCAGAACGTGGAGATGAAACACTTTATTAATGTTCTTCAAGTTCTAAATTTTTTTTTTTAATTTCCAATTATTGATTTGGTTTTTACACTACTTAAAATTTTGGTTATATTTCAAGTTAAGCTTTGTATTTATTTAGCAAATCTCTTGTCTTTACAGGCATACTCTTTACTGAAGGTCTAGAAAGACTTTCAAAATCATTCATTTATTATTCAGATGCTTATGAAACATACTCTTAATAATTAAGTTCTACACTCTTTTTATATTCATGTAAAGATCTTACAGCTTTCTAATTATTCAATTACTTATTACATCTCTTTTTTCTTGTAAATCTCTTTAAATTATTGGACGTTATTGCATTTAATATTAAAAAATATATATATAAAATATACCTATTCATTTTTATCATGATCATTATAACATTGATATTATTTTCATATTAAGTTATTATAAAATCTTTTTATTAAAATAATTTAATACTAGAGAATTTTGTTAACCAAATTATTTCTTAACTCTTATAAAATTGTTATTTGAATGATTATCAAATTTAGAGTTTTCAATAATTTAATTTATTACCATAAAGATTATATATAATGAGTGATAGTAGAAATCTTTTCACAATTCATTAATCTTTGATTTGGATATATTTAGTAATATATTTTAAATTATTTATTTTAGTACTTCATATAATCTATAATTAGCTTTTAATAGTCACTGACAGTCTTTCAGATACAATAAATATCTCCTATAATTGTTTAGAACTCAGAAAATTCAACACAAAAGTATTTTTAGAAGTCACACTTTAACAGATTATGCCATAAACATAATTATCACCATTAAAATGCTTGATAGAAAAATATTTTGAAGATGAGAATTTAGAATCCTCTTTTAGCCACTAATAATTCTATCAAATATCAATTTAATGTTAGCATAACATTTAGATTTTTATAAACATCATTTTGTTTACTTCTGAAGATTATTTGATTTCTCAACAAACAATATTAGTAGTTGTAAACTAAATAAACAATAAAAAAATGAGACTTTAAATAATATTAGTATTTTATTATTAATAAATTCGATTCTTTTGTTACAGAAAGTTTTTTTAAGAATTAATATATCCATAATTTAACATTTAATTAAATAAAGACATTGCATAAGATGTTTGCTATTTTAAAATGAACTTTTTAAATAATACCCTAATTATACTTTAAAATGTATATTTTACTTAATAAAATTGATCGCAATTTTTATCAGGTGAATGAAAAATTAGTGCTATTAAAAAAGTTTTACTAAAGAAAATTAAAAAATCTCAAGAATTGAATCATTGTTCATGCCAATATTATTTTAAATCTGACTGAATAAAATGAAAATACATCATAACTAACATTCTATTTTCATATCCAATCACTTTAAAATGAAACTGTATCAATCTATTAAGGAAATGATAAAATAATAGTAAAAAGAATTTTAAATTTATTAGAACTCTAATTCAACTAAATCTCATGTGGTCAATTATGTCAAATACTAAAATTGATTATTAGACAAGGCTGTTAAACAACTAAATAAATTTTAGTTTAAGAGAATTCTAATAAATCAAATTACGAAAAGTTTATTTCTATACCTTCTATTGATTATTGATTACACAGTTTTAATTAGCTTTCAAATGTTACTTTTGTGCTTGAATATCGTAGAATAATTTAATAAATTTTCCAAGCTTTATTTGCTATAAAAGTATATTTGAAAAATTAGAATAAGGAGTAGTTGTTGAACAATATTTTTGGTTTAAGTTTTAAACTTTTTAGTAATTAAAATAAATGAATTAAAAAAAAATATAAAATATATTACTTTTTTCTAAAAAAAACAATTTAATTTACAAGCAAATTAACAAATCTTAAATGAGTTTAATATAAAAATTAAAAAAAAAAATTTTTCATATGCTGAAAAAATTACAATTTATTTGGGAAAAATAATTTGATAACAAGTAATATTGAAAATGCTTCAATTTATAAATTTTTTCGATTCAATACATAAATTCAAGAATAATCACTAGAAGACAGATTGTTGGGATTGTAATGATTAACATCAATTCTAGATTCCATTTATTTCTTCTTTAATTATAATGATTTGATTTAGAACCTAAATGAGCTTTTTAATTTCGAAAAATTTATGCTATCAATGAAATTGAATTTTTCTGTTGTTAGAAATATTGAGTTTCATTTTTCTATAGCTTTTCATAAATAATAGGTTTTTCTAAAAATTTAATTTTTGCTTCTCTCACAGCTTCTTTCATTGAGTAAAATTTAGATTCTTTTTAAGAAGAACGATTTTTATTATTGGATTTAACTGGAATATATATCTTATTTAGCTTATCATACTCTATTTATCTGTCTAAAAGATCTTTTACGATTTCTTATTATGGTATTTATTGTTTTTTTTGGGAATATAAAGGTTTTTAATTTAATTGTGTAGGTATATTTAGACGTTATCGTGTATGTCTTTCATTTGCAATTGATATCATCTTTAAATAAATATAAATAATAATACTTTCAAAAGATTTTATGATCATTAATACTTCTTATACAAATTTTTAATAATTATTTCTCTATTATAAACTATGCTAAATATTTTTCGCTATGTACAAAAAAAAATTTCATCATAAAAAATGTTCAACTTAGTTTTAAATTATACGCTGTTTTTTAGTGAAAGAATTAACAAGTATATTTGTATGATGATTAACAATATTTCAACTGAGTTAATATTTTAAGTAATATTCTTAGATTAAATTTTATTTGCTATTAGAAATACTCATTAAATATATACATAACTTTAATTATTAATTAAACAAGATAAATTATTTTAAATAAAATAAAAAGTACATTATTTATATAATAAAGATTGATTACACGTATATATAAAATCATATAATTATCTAATCCTTCTTCAATTACTCTAAAAATATTACAATAAAGCAGAGAATGGGAATTGTTAAAGACAAAATCAAATTTAAATTGATTTAATTTATATTTTAAGTTGTATTTGAATTGTCTTTCTTTAAAAGTCTCTTTTAATTTCTCTATTACTCAGCAATAAATTTAATAGAGCTTTGTTATTTTTCGAGATAGTTTTAGTTTTGGTAAGTATAGGAGTTCATAAATTTTAATTTAGCATCATTAATGATAGATTTAAACTTGCTTTAATGAGAATCCATTCTTATTGGGGTATTTACTAAATTTTCAGTATCGTAATTATGAAATTTATATAAATCCTCATATTCCTTTTGTCTAATTATAAATTCACTCCTAATTTCTTCCTAAAACTCAAACTAATTTCTATTATTGTTTTTAGGTTTTTTTAAAATACTATTTTATTCTTGAAGTGACGTTTTTCTATGGGTCTAATGTTAAGACTTTGAATTCATTTTAAAGATTTTAATAATGAATGAAATTTTTTTTCGATTTGTTCTAAGAATATTCATATATATTTAGAAATGTTTAAGAATTTTAAACTTCTTATTTCTGTTATATTATATTTAAAGAAGCGATATTTAAATACAAAATTTTTAAATATCAGAATGGGCTTCATAAATAAAATTTAAGTCACTAAAAATTATGTTTATATTATATTGATAAAAAATTGTTGACACTATAGTTTATATTATATAACTTTTATATGAAAGAAATTTCGATAACATACATCAATTTATGTATTTTTGAAATATCATAAAAGATCAACTAAAAAATTCCTTTTTTAAATATTACCATGATTGTAATAGTAAAATTATATATAAAAATCTGCTATACCAGGGCTTTTTATTTTATATAGTTAAAATTTATTTTAACAATAAAAAATTTGAATTTCATAATTTTTAAAGTAAAAATATAAGCGTTTTTTTAAGGATTGTTTTGTTTTACGAGGATTTTATAATTTCCCATTATAAAGTATATTTTGTAATTTTTGTTAGAGCTAGTTAAAATAATAAAATTGAGGATGTTTTATTTAAATAAAAAATGGACTAAATTAATCATTATAAAAATCAACATTATCTGGTATTTATAAAAATATAATTAATTATAAGATAATATGAAATAAATATTTAAATTAATATATCAGATAGAGAATTCAATAATATTTTTTTTTATGAACTAAAAGCATATTTGTTTAGAAAATATAAGGTATTTGATGATAATCTGATGATTCTTAAGTTGATTTATCCATTTGTGGTAAAAGAACTTAAAGAGATTATTATTTTAATTCTGCTCTAAATATAGAAAGTTTTTTGGTTTTAAAATCTTAAGATTATTGTCTCTAAATAACAATAGAGCTAGCTTAAGAACGTTAAGATTGGCATCTTTATAATTCAATTCTTTTAGACCAGAGAGGTGATGTTTCAATTAAATCACCATCCTAATGTTGATTATAATCAACTTCATCTTCAAATAATTTAAATCCATTATTAAGAGTTGAAAATTTTATATCAACATTGTAACTACTTAAAGAGGGTCCCGAACGTTTTTAATCAGAACTTAAAATATTATTTATTTTTGTACTATGGTTCTAGATAAGTTAAAGTTTAATTCTGATGCTCAAAGAATTATTCATAAAAGAATTCATGCTTGAGAATTTCATCAGCATTAGGTCTTTATTTTGGATTCTGTTTCAACATAAGAGAAATGAGTTCTTTACAACATTATGGAATTTTGATGGCATCATCAAACTTATATTCAACATAGAGATTATTTTTAAGCATCTTTTCCTTTTAAGAATCTTTAAATGGATGTTAGTTATATATCCTAATAATAAAATTATAATATAATTTACAATTGATATAAAATGACTCCAAGACTAAAGATATCACATTTCTCTGTATACATTTTATTACCTTCTTTATATTATAATATTTCTGGAGCTACATAACCAGTGGTACCACATCGATAATAAATATGAGATTTAGCTTTTATATATGTAGCTAAACCAAAATCAGCTAAAACTATATCTAACGAATTTGTTTTGCATAATATATTCTAAGGTTTTAAATCTCGATGCATTACACCTTTCTAATGCATATAATCTACACATTCCACTAACTATTTGAAAATTATTCTTGCATCACGAATGTTATATCTTTAACTTTTTAGTAATTCACCTCCTTCCACTAATTGTAATACCATATTTATATGTTCTAAAAGGGAGATATATTATAAAATACAATTAGTTTCAAATATTCTATGTAATTTAATTATATTCGGATGAGATAAATCATTCAATACCTAAATTTCCTCCATTAGAAATTGAGGATTCAATTTAGAATTTTTTCTGATTCTTTTTATTGCATAGTAAAAACCATCTCTTAAAAATTTAGAAATAAAAACCTTTAATTTATAACATATTTACTTAGGCTGTCGATCCAAATCCTATTTAATTGATGATAATATATTCATTCTAAAATCCAACTAAAATACAAAAATGCTCCAATTATTATTTAAATTAGAGGAAATCCAATTCAGAATTTGTCTATAACACAATCTAATTATGATTATGCATCAGTTCAATTTAATATGGGTAGACATTCATACCCAATGATGTTGACATATACACATTTTCTAATTTTCTGAAACCTTTTAAATCCTATAAGTTAATATATCTTCTGATTATACTTTATCACCATAAAATAAATAGGTTCCTTATATAGTATAGTATCTAGCAATGAACTTATTGAAATATTTCCCCTTTTTATACAAACAAATACAATTATCATTGTTTAATGTAAAATTACTTTCATTTGAAATCAACTTTCTAAAATCTTTTTCCCAAAATGTATTTGATTTATTTTTTTTATCTATAAAGAAACGATTTAGGTACATGTTTTACTTATCCATTAACTTATTACTAATAAAAATATCTAAAATAATGAATTAATTAAAAAGTAATTAATAATAAGTTAATTGAAAATAAAAAATTAATTAATCATTAAAATTGATGATTTTAAATTGATTAAGATTGAGACTTTAATGAATAAATTTCCTGATTTTATATAATTAATCAATAAGAAAAATGATATCTAATTACAAATTCATATCTTTAAGTAAATAAAATGTTGAATTTATATAGAATTGAGAATCAAAATTCACGATTACTTTTTTTTAATCTAAATTTTATTCACTTATTATTATAATTATAGTATTTCATTATCCAATTTTCTGATTTCTTATTTATACTTAACAACAATATTGATTTGATTATTGAACTAATTTATACATTCTAATAAGTTACATCAATAAGATTTTTAAGAGTTCCAATTTCATCTCTCATTAAATCTGTATAATTTTAAAGAATTTCAAGTCCTCTCAAAAGTTCTTTCTCTCTTTGCTTAAGAATTTAATATTATTTTTCATTTTAAGTTTACATTCGTTTTTCATAGAGTAATTTTTATTATTTATTATATTCTGTAATATAAGAATATAATTTAGATTTGTAAGTACTTTATAAATGTTATTAGATATTTTTGTATTTCAAACCTCTAAATTCACGATATTTGAGTATTTCATTTAAAAATTAAGTGTAAGTGTCAGGAAAGGAATCTTTATATTTTTTTTCAATTTTATCAAATTATTAGCTTAATTCACTAAATTAATCTAAATATTTAAATAAAAATACATATCCATTAATTCAAAATTATAACTGATACACTCTAATTCTAATTGATCAATCTTTTATTGAATGATTTGTTAACATTTATTATAATCAGGATTATCTTAAAATTAACCTAATTGAATGTAATATAATGACATAGCCTATTCTCTCATTTAGTTAAGTTTAGAAGTTAAAGAGTCTACAGTGACTTCATCTGAGATTGAACAAAATTCTCTAATTTCTTTATAATAAGAACTTTCAATGTAATCTTTTTCATATTTGATTTATTTTTGCATAGCTTTAAAGAAACTGAATAGTAATATAAAAAATTACATATTTTCTTTAATATTGAGTTTTGCTAATTCTGAAATAGAACTTTTAGTAATAATTTCAGCAACAGAGAAAAATGTTAGAAAATCTATTTCATAACATTGATAAATCTTTTTTTGTAATGACATTTCTAATTCTAAAGCCCAATTATTTAAAGTTTCTACAGGATTATCAATAAATGTTGAACTTGAAACATTAGGATAATGTGTATCTTCAATGATTGTAATTTTAATATTGTTATAGATTTGATACCATTTAAATTAATCAATGCTAGGAGATAAACCTTCAACAAAATTGATAACTTATAATTAATAATATTGATGCTAATCATTTTTTGTAATTTAATAAAAATTTTCTAAAATCTCATCATCATTATTATTTAAAAGAAATACAATTTCACTAGCTAAAAGAGATGCTACTGTCATTAATACAGTATCTGCATGAATGAATACATTACTATTATCAACTAAATTTAAAATTTATCTTCTTAACTATTTCTCTTAAAGCTATTCACCTAAGATACATAAGAGCTAATATAATTAAATGTTTTTATGCTCATTGTATATAACATGATTCCAAATATAAATACCTTTTTATAGTTTAGTATCTATAAGAGGTAAACTCTTATCTAAATTCAATTTAGAAATTTAATTTATTTCTGATCTCGCAACAACAAATACAATAAATGAAGCAGGTCCAGTTCTAAAAAGTGAATTCTATATTTTAATATTATAATTAACTTACATATCTCTTTAAATCCAAACATAATTTTATCTATTTTGCATCATCATCCCACTCTAAGAATCTTATAGGCTTAGCATCTACATGACTCTTCTTTAATTGATTCGGTTGCATAACAACTGTGGTCTTTTTAACTATCTTTTAACTTATAAAAGGTGACAGTTAGTTAGACTAGAAAATATTCATAATCCTATAAGTGATTTTAACTAATAATTTAATAATCAAAATAAACAAAATCATTTTTACACTTTAATCCTCATTCTCTTTAAAAGTCAAGTTAAATTATTCTTTATATATTCTCTCTCATCATTAATCAATGTTTTCTTTTAAATTTAATCTTCATCAATTTCATTATCTAAAATATTTCTTTTTTTTATCTATCCCTCTAATCCTTCATTCTCTATTGTTATTTAATTCTTAAACTAAACAAAAATAATCATTTTAATTAAACAACCTCATCACCTGATTATTACAGTTTGTTCCTTACTTTACAAATATTAATACTTTATTTGATCTTATTATTTCCAACTTAAATCTAATATATTTGATTTTATATATTCCAATATTAATCTTAAACCATCTATTCATCACTTTATTACTTTACTCTTTATCTTACTAATAAATAATCTACTTCGAAATATTTTCATAACAATAAAAACTCATTATTATTCTATTTTTATACTTTTAATTTTTTAATATTTCTTATAAATTTCTCCACCTCCTCCTTTTTCTTACTTCATTATAACTCAATAATTATTTGGCAATAGATGAATATATAAAATTAAAAATATTATAATCTTTTTTTTCTTTTAAGAGTCTATTCTATCAAGAGTTTGGGAACTTATATATATTTAAAACAAAAATTTACTTTAAATATTCTTTATAGCAATTTGTAAAATAATTAATTTAATTTTCTAGAGTTATTCTACCTAATTAGTAGCTTGATTATCCATCAAAATTATCCTAATTATATGCTGATAAAATGATTTTCTTTATNAAATGTTTTTATGCTCATTGTATATAACATGATTCCAAATATAAATACCTTTTTATAGTTTAGTATCTATAAGAGGTAAACTCTTATCTAAATTCAATTTAGAAATTTAATTTATTTCTGATCTCGCAACAACAAATACAATAAATGAAGCAGGTCCAGTTCTAAAAAGTGAATTCTATATTTTAATATTATAATTAACTTACATATCTCTTTAAATCCAAACATAATTTTATCTATTTTGCATCATCATCCCACTCTAAGAATCTTATAGGCTTAGCATCTACATGACTCTTCTTTAATTGATTCGGTTGCATAACAACTGTGGTCTTTTTAACTATCTTTTAACTTATAAAAGGTGACAGTTAGTTAGACTAGAAAATATTCATAATCCTATAAGTGATTTTAACTAATAATTTAATAATCAAAATAAACAAAATCATTTTTACACTTTAATCCTCATTCTCTTTAAAAGTCAAGTTAAATTATTCTTTATATATTCTCTCTCATCATTAATCAATGTTTTCTTTTAAATTTAATCTTCATCAATTTCATTATCTAAAATATTTCTTTTTTTTATCTATCCCTCTAATCCTTCATTCTCTATTGTTATTTAATTCTTAAACTAAACAAAAATAATCATTTTAATTAAACAACCTCATCACCTGATTATTACAGTTTGTTCCTTACTTTACAAATATTAATACTTTATTTGATCTTATTATTTCCAACTTAAATCTAATATATTTGATTTTATATATTCCAATATTAATCTTAAACCATCTATTCATCACTTTATTACTTTACTCTTTATCTTACTAATAAATAATCTACTTCGAAATATTTTCATAACAATAAAAACTCATTATTATTCTATTTTTATACTTTTAATTTTTTAATATTTCTTATAAATTTCTCCACCTCCTCCTTTTTCTTACTTCATTATAACTCAATAATTATTTGGCAATAGATGAATATATAAAATTAAAAATATTATAATCTTTTTTTTCTTTTAAGAGTCTATTCTATCAAGAGTTTGGGAACTTATATATATTTAAAACAAAAATTTACTTTAAATATTCTTTATAGCAATTTGTAAAATAATTAATTTAATTTTCTAGAGTTATTCTACCTAATTAGTAGCTTGATTATCCATCAAAATTATCCTAATTATATGCTGATAAAATGATTTTCTTTATTTATAATTAAAGATTAGAGAGAACAACATTGTTTTAATAAAAGTGTTTTTTATAATCTTTCTAAGATAATTGCTATAGATTAGTTACAAAATTATATATATTAGGATCAGGAGACATTATTAAAAATTTTAGAGAAAAATAGAAATATAATAAAAACATAAAATAATAATTCATTAAACCTCAATTTAGAGGAATGAATAAATTATCCATAAAATATTTTTTGAAAAAGGACTTCATTAAATAAATGAATAAAATATTATTTGTATATCAACAACAGTCTTTTTTTTTTGATTCTTTCTTTGTATTTTTAGTTAAATTGATTTTATAACTAGTGTCTTCTGTTAAATTAGGCAAAGAAATCTTGCCATTACTTTATTACATAGCTAGATCAGCTAATCGTTGAAATGCTTCATGAACATTTATATCTAATTTTGCTGATGTTTCAATATAATCAACTCCCATTTAACTTGCTAATTCTTCTCCTTATTATTGTGATACTATTCTTGAATCACTAACATCTTTCTTATTTGCTATTAAAATTATTGGAATTTCATTTTTTCCATGTTATTTCAAAGAATTCATCCAAAAAGTTACTTCTTAAAATGATTTCAAATCATCAACAGCATAAACAATTAATACTCCATGTGCAAATTTATAATAATTTTATGTTAAAGTTCTAAATTTTTCTTATCCTGCAGTATCCCAAATTTACATTTTCATTATTTTACCATTTGTTTTTACTTCTTTAAATTTAAAATCCACTCCTATTGTAGCAACATGATTTTCATAAAAATTATCATCAGTAAAGCGCATTAAGAGATTTGTTTTACCAACTGAAGAAGATCCAAGAATCAGAAACTTACACATTATATCATAAGAAGCCTATTTTGACATCTATAATTTCTAAATTCTTTCGATTTAAAACAAATATTAAATTTAATAATTTTGCAAATTTTATAATATTTTCTTTGAATTCTTACCTCAAACGATTTGTATTAGAAAATCAAATAATTACAAGAAAAGAAAAAAATAATTTAAAATTATGGGTTTTATCTTTAGTATTACTACAAACGATGTTCTTCTAAAATTATCCAAAAAACTTAAATTCAAAAAATAAATTAGTTTAATTGTGATAATAATTAATGACAATCATTTTTAATAATTGGATTTAATCGCTTATGAATTTAATTTAAGAAGTCAAATAAATTAAATAATAAATCTATTTACTTGATATATGATTTATTTGCTTAAATGAAATTTCGAATTATATTTTGTAATTCTTTTATAAGTGAAAAAAAGAAATCAAGAAAACATAAGCTACCATTCTTAAGAAAATTATTTTATAATAATATTTATTTTAGTTAAAAGATCTCTTTAAAAATTGGATTTAGTATTGTAAATAGATTTATCTAGATGTTATTTATTATAATAAATCCATTAGAAATTAATAATAACAATATATAAGAGTACTGTTAGTAAGGGAAAGTGCATGCATGATGTTATTTATAAATTCTATTTTTATAAATAATTAATTTTAACAAATGTACCTCATATCTAGATTAAGTAAAGTTCATAAATCTCAAGAAGATATTGCAGCTATTCAAGATTATATGAGTCAATTACAACAATTTCATGCTCCATATGAAATACTTAAAGAAGTATAAATAATTTTATATAGCTATGTTATAGTATGAATTATAAATCATTCAAACATGGTGAACATGTAAAGAATAAAAGTGAATATGCTTATTTCATCCTCAAAGGTTAAATATTAGCTGATAATGGTGATACATATAGTATTGATTCATGGTACGATTTAGATTATTCATTCTATGTAGTGGTACTAATTCTCATTTAAAAAGGTCGATACACATTGTATTATAGTACCCATTAATATTTACAAAAATTTTAATCATACTCATGGATCTAATTTTTAATATCGCAAAAATATTTTATTATAAAATATTACTTCTATTGATAAAATTAACTCTAGCAAAATTTAAGAAAAACTAATCAGAACTTTTATTGAAACTACTTTATCTGCTGGAAACATCATTTATAAATAGAATGAATCTGCTTAATATCTTTATGTTCTCTCAGAAGGAATTTTACAAATTTCTCGATTTTATGAAAAAAACATGACTCATTATGAAAAATAAGTCTTACCTAAAAAGTATTGGCAAACAGAAATTAATATTTGTTAACTTACTAATTCAGGTGTCATAGGTGAAGAACTTCTTTATTAGGAATATGCATTTTATAATGTTAAAGTAATCTCTAAAATTGCAGTTTTATAAATGATATCAATAAAATAGTTAAAGAACTTTTTAAATATTAATGTTGTCATTTAATCTTTATAAGATTTATTTCATGATAAACATATCTAAAGAGAAGAAATCTATAATCAATAATGTGAAGAAATGGAAAAGAATTGGCAATCTACTTCTAAATAAATGATTATCAACTCAGAAATCAAAAAAAGTTTCAGTTTCAAAGTTCTTAAATCTAACTCTGAAAAATAAACTAAAAATAATTCTACGAATGCTAATAAAATAAATATTAGTAATACTCCTAATCATCAAGATGAAGAACTTGCTGAATTTTAAAGAACAAAAAGTCCTGTAAAAAAGATACCTAATTTTATTCAACAATATTTTAAATAAAAATAATTAGAATCGACTAAAAAAACTAATGAAATAACATTATAATAATTTATTTAAAGATAGCAACATTGTAATAATCCATACTAATTATTTGAAAAAGTTCATGATCCACTTAATTATATTTAGAAAGGATCAAATTATAAAAGATAACAATTTTCAGTCTTAATTTAAAATGGAATTGTCAAAATAAAGAATCCTTAAATTCCGAAATAACCAAAACGACCTATTACATCATATCTTGGAGATGAATCAAGTACTAATAATAATAACAACAATAATGATAATTCTTTGTAATAACCAGCAAGATTATTAGTAAAGAGTGTACATACTCCTAAACCTATAGTTAATTCTTTGAAAAAGTTTTATAGATGTTAGTCAGCTAATAAAACTAAAGGATTCTCTTTATTAGGAAAATCATATTAATAATAATCAAGTAAAATATATATCGATATTAGGCCCAAGAGACAATATGTTTTACTTAAGAAGTAATTCAAGCCACAACTTTAAATTAACTCTAAATAAATCCTCAAATTAAAGTTAATAATTACNGAAACATCATTTATAAATAGAATGAATCTGCTTAATATCTTTATGTTCTCTCAGAAGGAATTTTACAAATTTCTCGATTTTATGAAAAAAACATGACTCATTATGAAAAATAAGTCTTACCTAAAAAGTATTGGCAAACAGAAATTAATATTTGTTAACTTACTAATTCAGGTGTCATAGGTGAAGAACTTCTTTATTAGGAATATGCATTTTATAATGTTAAAGTAATCTCTAAAATTGCAGTTTTATAAATGATATCAATAAAATAGTTAAAGAACTTTTTAAATATTAATGTTGTCATTTAATCTTTATAAGATTTATTTCATGATAAACATATCTAAAGAGAAGAAATCTATAATCAATAATGTGAAGAAATGGAAAAGAATTGGCAATCTACTTCTAAATAAATGATTATCAACTCAGAAATCAAAAAAAGTTTCAGTTTCAAAGTTCTTAAATCTAACTCTGAAAAATAAACTAAAAATAATTCTACGAATGCTAATAAAATAAATATTAGTAATACTCCTAATCATCAAGATGAAGAACTTGCTGAATTTTAAAGAACAAAAAGTCCTGTAAAAAAGATACCTAATTTTATTCAACAATATTTTAAATAAAAATAATTAGAATCGACTAAAAAAACTAATGAAATAACATTATAATAATTTATTTAAAGATAGCAACATTGTAATAATCCATACTAATTATTTGAAAAAGTTCATGATCCACTTAATTATATTTAGAAAGGATCAAATTATAAAAGATAACAATTTTCAGTCTTAATTTAAAATGGAATTGTCAAAATAAAGAATCCTTAAATTCCGAAATAACCAAAACGACCTATTACATCATATCTTGGAGATGAATCAAGTACTAATAATAATAACAACAATAATGATAATTCTTTGTAATAACCAGCAAGATTATTAGTAAAGAGTGTACATACTCCTAAACCTATAGTTAATTCTTTGAAAAAGTTTTATAGATGTTAGTCAGCTAATAAAACTAAAGGATTCTCTTTATTAGGAAAATCATATTAATAATAATCAAGTAAAATATATATCGATATTAGGCCCAAGAGACAATATGTTTTACTTAAGAAGTAATTCAAGCCACAACTTTAAATTAACTCTAAATAAATCCTCAAATTAAAGTTAATAATTACAAGTTTGTTATACAGACAAAAAAATACAATGCGAAGAATCATTATTGTGAAGCAAGTTTTTATATAGTTACAAGATCATTTAATTCTTTATTTACTTCTTACATTTAATCAATTATCTCAAGTAATTTCTATCTTTTTTATTTTTTGATATTTAAATCTGTTTATTATTGAATTTATTCTTCAATATCTTAATATTATAAATTTAATGCTGACAAAAGTTCATCCAAGAATTTGATTCTTTCAATAACTTCAATATATTTTTATTGTTTTCTATTAATTTTTTAATCAGTCTAAATGATTTCATCTGTATTCAGATTGAGATCTTCATTTTTTTACTAAGATGGATAATTTTCTTCTAAAGTCTTAACAATCAATCTACTTACACCACTACTTTATGAATCATTTCCTTATTATTTTTATTATACAAAGTTATTATTTTAAATTGATTATGATTAAGTTAAAAATTGATGATCAATTATTTTATTTAAACTCTTGCTTTTTATTTAACGTAAATCTCTAACTTTTTATGGTTTTATTTACATTTCTTTAGATAATATTTATTAAATATTTTATTTTTTTGTTACTCTTGGACTTAGAGTTGATAAATTAGATTTAAAAGATAGAGAAAGTAATTATTATCTTAATTACTCTATTCTAATATTGGATTCTGAAAATTTCTAAACTCTTTTATATTCTGACTCTTCAAGTTTTTTCTTTATTAAATTTTATTTCAATTTTAAATTTTAAATCTCTTTTTTAAGCTATTCATTTTCTATTGTTATATTATCTATTTAATATTTTAATTTATTATTTTCATCTTCCAATTCTTAATTAATTATTATATTACTTCTAATTTTTTTATCATTATAATATTCTGCATATTACTCAATATAATTATCAGTCTCAAATAGTTTCTCTTTCAACTTTGATAATTCTGATTATAATTTTTCAGTTATTTCTAACAAAAATCTTTTTTCATTTTATTCTTATTCTAACAGAAACTATAAGTTGGAATAGTTCTATTTAATTATAATATTTACTTATTTTTCTTATTAAATTGTTATTGTATATTAATTTACTTTATTCCTATAATTTTTGTTGTTTTCTTCTTAAATCCTCAATTACTCAGTCCTTAAATAACATTAAAAAACATACAAATTTTAGATTTCTTCCATAAATTCCCTAAATTTCTGATCAGTTTATTATATAATATTTAGTAAATTATGCTATAATTATGCTATTTTACATTCATAATCTTCAATTTTGATATTACTTGTAAATTCCTGTTACATGAGTTTTTACTCTAGTTCTTTAACCAATACAATGTCATTTGTTTTTAAATGTAAACTTGTTTCTTTTCGCTTTATTTCATTTGATTTTAAATTACTCTTTTTATCATTTGATGACTAATGATGAATTTTTTATGTACCATCAAAATCTATAAACTTGAATTCTCTAATTCAAGCTATTTAATCTTTTCTTACAATGCTTTCATTGCATTTAAATAACTCTAAGATACTGAAAAGTTGTTAGTCATTTTTTAATCTTCTAATGTAGTCATTTTTTAATCTTCTGATGGACTTGAAACAATGTGATATTTTTTTTAATTGTCCTTTCCTCGAACTTTATACCCAGTAAAAAGTTAAGAACTTATAAACTGATTATATCTAGGATGCTTATCTGAAAGCACAGAATGAAAACTATCAGCTTACATTAATATATTTTATTATAAATATTTACTTAAACTGATATTATCAAAAAAAGAAGTTATTATCCTAAAAAGAACATTATTTAAATAAGTGTCAAAGATTTATTTGATTACTCTATAAACAAAAAATGTACTAAATTTAAAAAAAAATAATAAATTATTTAAAAAACTTCTCGGTGAGAAAGACGACATATATTTTTTTATAAACTTTACTCTGAATTATTATTTTAATATATGTTATATAATTGACCCATCAAATCAATAAAAATTTTTGTGCAGTGAAGCTAGATAAAATATATTAATATATGAAACATATTATCATTATAAATACTTTCTTATGAACAGTTCAGTAGCAATTAGGATTAAAAAAATAACCAAAAAAGCTCCTATTAAGAATATACAAACTTTCTAATGATAGTCTTCCTCTTTAGCATTCTATTCTTTATTTGGTGATTTAAAAGACTTAACTTTTTTAACTTGATCATCCCTTTGTTTTATATAAAATGGTATAGTCTAAAGCGATTTGAAATAATAGTTACTTATTATTCTTGTCTTCTGATTATAGAATTAGGTGTGGTTTCAATAAATCTAAGTTTAGCTTAAATGACCATTTCTTTTAATGTTTGAGGTCGAAATTCTTCTGGATTTTCTTCTTTAATTTATTTGAAATTCATCTTTTCAAAATTAGAGAAATCCGTAGTCATTAATCGCTTTATTTTCTTATTATTTCTGGTATTTTCTTTATTTGAACCAATCCAAGCCTCGTTTTTATCAGAATTATCGATATCAATGTATCCAAAAGATCTTTATTGCATTTTAGAGATATTAAAAATTTTTAAATTAATTAATATAAACAATCTAAAATAAAATGAGTTAAATTTAATATAAATAAGAAAATGGAAATATTATTTGAGAATATTTAAATAAAAATATTAATCATTTATTTTAGTAAATTTATAAGTTATTTTTTAATGCAATTTCTTTAACTCTTTGGTTTAAGTCTCCTTTTGCTTAATGAATAGAAGATTTTTTTAATTCTTCAAGTTTTAGATTCTTTTCATGATATTTTTTAGAATCAGAAATAAAAAATTTTATGATTTAACTTTCTTTTATTTCTTATATACAAAATAAAGCATTAAGATATGTTTAGAGATTTTGTTTACGTTTTTCTATATTCTCTTGAATATCATATATAAATATTACCTGGATTTTCATTAGTTTATCCAAATAATTTCCTTGTTGGGAAAGATGGTAATTTATTTTTAAATCCTTGATCAAGAAGAGCATCATGAATATTTTTAATTTCAGAATATCTTTATTTATATATCCATTCATCACCTACTAAATTATTCTTGAAAAGTAGAGAATAAACAACTACGTCATCATATATAGCATAATTATCAATTTTAATACTAATATTCATTCTAATATTATATTGACAAAAACTTTACTCTTAATTTTAAGTACTGTCAATAGGTAAATATTCTTAAACAGGTGTTAAACTTAATATTTTATCAATACTAAATAATTCATTAAAATAAGTTTCTAATTCAATTTGCCTCTATTTAATTCTTTCAATATTTTTATTAGTTTTACTAAAGAGAGATATTCCAGGAAACTATGGTAATTAAAGTAATAATTTTAATAGTATCACATTCTTCTATAATCGATCATGAAAATCTTTTATCTAAGAATATCGATTCATTGTTGTTTTTGTTTCATTTTCATAATTTACATTTGTAACTGTGATTTAATAGTAGACATTTTCATTTTATATTTGATAATCAAGTTACACTCGATATCTCTTGACTAACATAATAATCTTGAATTATAATATATATTATTCTAAATTATATGAGTTTATATTTTACACATCCTAAAAATTAGAATTTTGATTTAAATAAGATTTTCTACATTTTATACATAGTTTATAACTAAATAGTTTTTACAGTGATGAGATGATATTTAAAATGAAATTTAGTTTTAAACATGAGAAATTGTCAAAAAATTAAATAGCTCTTTTTTAAAGGCTCATCTAAATTTTGGAAAAAAGAGCAGTAATGATAAATTTTGATTACATTAAAACATATTCAATAATTAAAAAGAGAATCAGTAATGTAGTTGCTAAAGAAATACTATAATTGAACTAAAGATCTTATGAATTACATTCCATCTAATCAATTAATGGAGATAATTAGAAAGGGAGTTTAGTTAGGGCAATATAAGAATTGAAAATCAAAAATATCACTCAATAAATCAATGAATCATAATATACAACATCAAATACAAAAGAGGAATTAAGAAAAATTATTGAATTAGATAGAAGAAGAAAATGTGTAAAACTAAATTTAAAAGATAATTAGATAGTCCCAAAATCTAATGAAGAAAAAATTTATGAAGCTTGCCTGGCTGTTATATTTATAACTTTCTTCTTTGCTCTTTTTTATACAATGGTCCATGAATTTAAAAATTGAATCTTATATAGATAAATAATCAAATATTAAAATTTATTATATTAGAGGCTTCTAAACTTATATTAAAAATACTCATAGCAATCTGTAATACATATATAAAAAATATCAAGTAAAAATTTAAACATGTAATAACATTTAATTTATATTATTTTTTATTAAAAATACAAATATAAATGGAAAGATAAAACATAGAAATAAAAATATTAAATTTATTTTTAATTATACATTGAGTTAATGATGACGCTAATCTTTTTATTATTTAATTTGAATTAATTTATTATTAAATTTTTTAATCCTTAATCAATGATTGATTTAAGTTTTAAAGCCCTTAAAAATATATATAATATATTTTAATATATAAAAGGTGAAAATTATTGTTGCGGGAATTATTCGAATATTTTTAATAGTTTTAATTTCTAATTGAATTTTTACAATAAATGAATGAATAGAAATTGCGAGAAATAATGAAAATTTATACTGTCTCTAAATAAGTCAATAAAAAAGCTGAGAAAAACTTTCTCAAGATTTCCAGTCAATTTTATAAAATGCATAAGGCTGACATGACTCCTGAATTTTTGAATGAAATCAATTCCTTAAGATAATAGATTAAAGAAGAAAAATAAAATATTTCTAAATAAACCTCTCCAATTATTACTCCTCGTCTTACTGAGAGTACTTAATCTATACATACAAATTAAGCAGTAGTATCAGATTTAGTTAATAAAAATAAATAAAAATTAGATTCTCTTATTTTAGAAGGTGTACATACTTAAATATTCATACTTTATATAGATGAAATTAAAGATTTGAAGCAATGTATTATATTCTATAAATTTTATTTAGAACTAAATAAAGCAAATCAATAAATAGAAAACTAAAAAAAGCAGTATGATATTAGACTTGAAAGTATTTATATTAATTATTTATTTCAGCTCTCAATCATTAATTATAAGATTAGAAGATAATAAATGATGATTTAAAAAAAGAAATAATAAAATAAAACACATAAATATAAGCGTTGAAGTAAATTTTATTGAATAAAGTGCATAATCGATAAAACACAGAAATATCTAATCCTCAAAATCAGAATCTAGAGTAAAACTATAGTTTCAATAATTCGATCTCTAATTCTTTTATTACTCAGGAAAAAAGCTTAGACTTTTTTAAATACGAAATAGAATAAGCCCTTCAGAATTATCGTCGAGAGAAATAAAAAACTTAAGGGAAGGAAACAAAAATGTAAAAATGATATTTTTTCATTTATGAAAGTTCTGATAAGATAATAAAATATTTTCTTTTTTTATTTCAAACATTTATAATCATGTTCAAGTAAAAAAAATAATTTTTTTTAAACCATTTAAGTTTTTAAATAGGTAAGGTTTTTCATAATAAAATATATGTTAATAAGAGTCATTTAAATTTGATAACAACTTGATTTAGAAATATTCTATTTACATATATATTAAATATCGAAGTCTATCTGAACTTTAAAAAATAATAATTTAATAATTTAAAAGTATCATTAATTTGTAAATGATATTTTAAATAATTACATAAATTGTAATTATAAAATTAAAAAGTTAACAATATGATGATAAAAATGATTATAAATTTTGTAAATTAAATAAAACATTATATATGTATTCCTAACTAAATTATAGTAGTAAATAACTTATAAATGTTTCTATAGCAATAAGAGTGATAGGTATATTAAAAAATTGTGATGTATTTAATTTTATAAATTTTTAAAAAGGGTTCAACATTTTTCATCATGATAACTCCAAAGAAAACTCTTGGGACCTCTTCCAGCTGCTCTTTTAACAAATTCTGCATCATTAGGAGGTTTCATCTGATAAATATGATTGAATAATAAACCTTTTTAGTTGCACTTGATAACATCGATTATATTGATAAACAAACAGAACTCACAGTGAGAGCAGCAGACCATTCTATAAATAATTATTTATCTAAAATACCATCAAATAAGATTGATAAACAAATAAATCCATTTGAATATATATGTTCATGTTCAGGAGGTTTGCCAATAAAGATTACCTAATTATTCATAATTATATTACTTCAGGAGATTCGATTGGCTAATTTCAAAGAAAAAAAAGAGCTAAATAAGTATAAGTATTTCTACATATTCATTTGAAAACTTGAATTGTAATCTAAAATTATTTAAATTATATTACTCGAATTTCTCTCCTTAATATAATGTTCCTTTTGCACCTTCAAAAGACACAATCCAATGTTTTATATCATTATTTGGCATTCTAACATTAAATTAATCCACATAAGATTTTTGCATCTACTCTAAATCCTTTTGTAGTCTCTTCGCCATTCTACTTTACATTTCTTTAAAAAAAATTATATATTTTTATTTAATTTATATTAAATTAAGAATTTTATATTATGATAAAATTGCAAGGGTTATAATCAGAAAAACTTCATCTTTTGAAATGATAATAATAATAATTCAAGAAAAAATTGAATATAATAATATTAATTATATTTTTAACTTTAATGAAATCAAGTACTAGTTAAAATTTATAATAAATTATTTTAATATTAGTTTATAATTATTTAACCAAAATTCTAGAGGATTGCCGCTTGATAATTAAATTTTAAAGACAAATGCAAATTTTATAAAATTGCTATATACTCAAAAGGTAGGATACCTAAGATTAATAGTTCAATTCACAATTTTCTTCACCAGAAACAGATTACAGACAAACTTAAAAAGAAATAATTTCTAACAAATCATAAGAGATTCAAGAGAAGGAAACCTAGCAACTTTTATATTTTACACCAAAAAAAGGAAGAAATTAAGAAAATGTGATTTATTATACACCAGAGATTAAAAGAAAACCATCTAATTAAGTAGATTTAGAACATAAAAAATTCAAATAGATAGGCAACATCTTGTTTGTAATACAAATTATAATTATAATACTATTGGAATTAATGACTTGATTATTATTATTTTTTTTATCTAATAAATATAATATTACTCATATGAATTAAGAGGTAGTGAATTATAACTTTAAAAACCTAAATATACATTCAACATATACCATTAATTAAAAAATAAGAATATTTATGACTTAAAAATTATAATTAATGGATTGATATGATTAATAAAAAAGGAGATCAAAAATTCATTTATTTGTTATTGGGATTAAATTTTTATTGTTGCAACAAATAGATAATAGAGAGAATAATTATTATTTANAAATTATTTAAATTATATTACTCGAATTTCTCTCCTTAATATAATGTTCCTTTTGCACCTTCAAAAGACACAATCCAATGTTTTATATCATTATTTGGCATTCTAACATTAAATTAATCCACATAAGATTTTTGCATCTACTCTAAATCCTTTTGTAGTCTCTTCGCCATTCTACTTTACATTTCTTTAAAAAAAATTATATATTTTTATTTAATTTATATTAAATTAAGAATTTTATATTATGATAAAATTGCAAGGGTTATAATCAGAAAAACTTCATCTTTTGAAATGATAATAATAATAATTCAAGAAAAAATTGAATATAATAATATTAATTATATTTTTAACTTTAATGAAATCAAGTACTAGTTAAAATTTATAATAAATTATTTTAATATTAGTTTATAATTATTTAACCAAAATTCTAGAGGATTGCCGCTTGATAATTAAATTTTAAAGACAAATGCAAATTTTATAAAATTGCTATATACTCAAAAGGTAGGATACCTAAGATTAATAGTTCAATTCACAATTTTCTTCACCAGAAACAGATTACAGACAAACTTAAAAAGAAATAATTTCTAACAAATCATAAGAGATTCAAGAGAAGGAAACCTAGCAACTTTTATATTTTACACCAAAAAAAGGAAGAAATTAAGAAAATGTGATTTATTATACACCAGAGATTAAAAGAAAACCATCTAATTAAGTAGATTTAGAACATAAAAAATTCAAATAGATAGGCAACATCTTGTTTGTAATACAAATTATAATTATAATACTATTGGAATTAATGACTTGATTATTATTATTTTTTTTATCTAATAAATATAATATTACTCATATGAATTAAGAGGTAGTGAATTATAACTTTAAAAACCTAAATATACATTCAACATATACCATTAATTAAAAAATAAGAATATTTATGACTTAAAAATTATAATTAATGGATTGATATGATTAATAAAAAAGGAGATCAAAAATTCATTTATTTGTTATTGGGATTAAATTTTTATTGTTGCAACAAATAGATAATAGAGAGAATAATTATTATTTAAATATAGAGCTTCTTTTTAAGGATTTTATAAAATGGCAATATAGTTAAATGCAAAATCAGAACATTATTAAATAAAGAGAAATAAAAAATTATTATGCGTGGATGGAATGAATATGAAAAAAATAATGAATATTGTCAAAACAATTATGTGAATCAATTAGAATGAATTAATAATATATAATAAATGAAAGTTAAAGAGAGATGACTATTATATTTAAAAATGAAACAAATTTTTATTTTTGTAAAAAATCTCTAATCTAAATGTCAAAATCTAAATTTTATCTCTAATAATTCTTAATTTTTCATCTCTATCTTTATTTCTCTTAAAATAACTTTATAGAAATTATGTATAAAATGAACATTCCATCTAAAAAAATTTCAATCTATATTGACAAAAGTTTTAAAGTCAATGAATGGCAAGACTTTCTTTTTCTTCTTCGAATAAAAATAGTACTAAATTTTTAATTTATTTGTTATTAATTTGTTATCCTAGTGATAAATTTGTTTGAAAAATGGTACATAATATAAAAAAATACAATATTTTCTTAATATTGCGAGTGCTAATAACTCATAATCTATCTCTCTAAATAAATTATTACAAATACCTTTTTATTTTTCAGATATTATAAATTAGAACAGAGATAAATTCTTATGCATGTTCCAATTAAGCTTTAATAACCTATTTTTTGATTTGATATCTACAAATGCCTTTTTAAAACTTAAACCATTTTCATAAATATTTAAATATAAGGATTAGCTCATAAATAACTTTTTTAATTCTGTGCATGTAATTACAAATGTATTTAATTCATGAATTTTTCTAAATTAATATTTTATTATTAGCATTTAGTAGTGTTATCTATTTAAGTTAAAATCTTGAGAATTATCCATTAAACTTGATTATAATTTGAAATATTTGTATTCTAACTTTTTGGAAATAAGTAATTCAATCTTAAATTTCATTAGAGATATAAAGTTGATCTCAATTTTTTGAAACTAAAAATTATATGAAACTAAAATTAATAAACTTCAAACCAACTCTTTTAATATCAGTAATTTAAATTAAATATATTTAAGAATATTCTTTAATTTCATTTGATTTGTGCAAGTTTCTTTATTTAGATAACTATATTAGTATATCCTAGCCATGTAATTGGATTTATGGAAACCAATTAAAGTTGGATAAATTTAATTATACGTATTAATACATATGAGCGGCTTTAAATTTGCAAATCTTTTTTTATCTCGATTTATAAATTTAGGTATTATTTGCAAAACATGCATCATTTTTTACCCAATTAACTCATCTTTGACTCCTACTCATCAATGAATTACTGGAATACATATCAGAATCTACAAAACTCTTACTATAATAATAATTATTATGCTTACTAATAGATGGCGTGTGCTTAACCTTAACCTTACCCTTATTATCATTAGAAATTTTCATAAAATTTAGAACAAGGTATTGCTTCTTTCTAAATAAATACTAGCATTTTATTATGAAGACCCAATCTCTACTTAATGCACTAGAAGATCAATCATAGAACATTAAGATGTGATATAATAAGTCACTAATGAAACTCTCGAACGATACATTATGATGATTATAAATGAAGACGAAAGTTTTCATAATATAATAACGAAGCTAAAAAATAACAATTAGATTGCTTTATGTAATCTGCTTGAAATGTTAGCCTAGAAATAAAAATGTTAATAAAAAAGTAGGGAGGAACTTGTTAAATATTGCTTAAGAAAAGCATTGAAATTTATATTCTAAAGAGTATAAGAAAAATATGATAAATCAAGTATTACTTTTATACATATAACATAGAGACAAATTTGAAATCTGCACAAAAAATATTCATGTAAATTGTAGAGAAAGAAACTCAAATTAGTATTATGCTTCCATTCAGAAAAAATAGCAAAAATAAAACAATGAATTCAGATTTTTTAAAATAAATTTTCTCTTCTAAGACATTTGTTATTTACTATAAGGAATTTTTATGTATAATTATTACTTATTTTAGGTTGTCTGGAATAGGAGATACAAAAGGATTCCAAAAAAAAAATAGCATCTCTTTGTAATAAAATTATGAATCATATTCGAGATGAAAAAAATGTAATTGATCATGTTTAAACAATTTATAGTTTGAATTCGATGTAAAAAGATTGCCATGGTCTTATTCAAATGTAGAAAAGGTTAAGCAAGCTGCTCAAGAAATGTTACTTTATTCAAATTTTGAGATTAAATGAATTTTTATATATTAATTTAATCCCTATAGATGATGATTATTAATAAAATTCTTATTTAAAATACTCTTTATCAATCATAAGTTAAATCAATAGGATTTTAGAAAAAATGCCAGTATTTTTTTAAATAGAAATAAATAGAAAAAGAATAAGAAGCTTTAAGGAGTTTTAATAAAAATACTTTTTTCTAGATAAATATCTAAATAAATGGTAGAAAAAATTCCTTAATAAAACTATGAATAGCCATTGAATTAATTAATGTATAATTTAATTAATGATTAATAATTTATTATATAAATATTATTAATATTAATAATAACAGATTATAACATAATTTTTAAAAATCATCCAATCAAAATAAAAATAACAATAAAAATAATTTAGATGATCTAAGCTAAATTTTATTATTCTAAATATTCTGAATAGCAATGATTATTGCTCTAAGTGGAATTGAGTTAACATCTCATTTTTAATGAATTCCATTCACATTATTCTGTCTTCAATTTACATAAGCTAGGATTTTAATATTGTTAACATCTATTTTTTTGTAAAATAAAATACTCAATATTTTAACATTGATTTTAATTCCACATACATAATCCTTTATTTTAAGTACAAGATTCATAAGTTAAATAAGAAGCACAAACAGAGCATCCCCTAAAAAATAAATAAAATAATTTACTTGGTTCCCCAGATACATTAAACTCCATTAGCAAAAGTACATTCATACTCAGACTCTTTATGTTTACACTCTAGTACTACACATTCAAAAGAATCAAAAATAGTAGCATCTCTTTATGAAATAGGTAAAACATGTCCATTTACTAGTGCTATACATCTAAGAATAATAATTGATATAAACCTCTCCTTAAATCTAGTATTTCTACAGCCTTTGACAGTTTAGAAATCTTTACATTTTGTAACTTAAACACAATGATCATCTTACCAATCACATGATAATTGGCCAAAGGATTAACAATCATACTCACTAGTGGAATCTTCGCATCTATTGAACATTTGGAATATGAATTTAAATACTTTTACTCAATACATTTTCCATTCACGTTAGTTTTCATTAATTCATATTCATAATTAGATGTGATAGTTCCATCCCATCTACATCCATATGATTTGTAAATACAGAAGTATTCATTTGTATATTTAGAACAAGGCAAATTATAAAGCATTGACTTTTCGCATTTATCTGTATTCCACTCGCAAACTGGATTATTATTTGAATCTTTCATTTAGTAACATAAATTGTTATCACTAATAGATTCACATGTAATCTAATTTACAGAACATGTTTATCCCCATAAATTTAATATCAAAACAAATAGCAATAAAGTATTCAACATTATATATTATTATTTATATAAACTATTTTGAGTTAAAAATTAAATCAATAATTTTTTTTAACACTACTTCTTCTAGATCCACTATCTCTAATTTAATTTACTTTCGAACTAGTTTTTATAGATGAACTTGTTTATGTTAAAAATTTTCTCTTTTATATACTCTCAATTTAAGCTTCTGTCATTGTTATATCTTCTTCTATATCATGATATTGTTTATTAAGATCTTAAAATTTCTTCTTCCATTTAGCTAATTCTCTATTTTATTCCTCGATTTAACCATTTGCTTCTTCTTCAGCATTTTCTAGATTATATTATGCCTGATCAACCTAACTCTCTAAATTTTATATCTCTTCTTCATTCTCATTTAAAATCCCCTTTAATTTTTCAATTTATTATTCTAAGTATCTAATTCTCCCTTCATCTTCTACTATTACTTATTTTATTTCATTCTTCTTTTAAGGTCCACGCTTCAACATCAATTACAACTCAATCAATTATTTCTCCAAAAGAATCTATTTACTTTTCCATGGCCCTTCTATTTCATCCATTGCTATTACATTTATTGGTCTATTTATATGATGCACTTCATGTATTATAGGTACTTCCTCTATCTCTCTCACTTATTTATAATCTACATTTTATACCAACATTCACTTAAGGAGCTTATTAAACTACTTAAATAGGCTCATTATATAATCTATACACTGGTTATATAGATTGTGTATAATAAACTTTTTATTAATTTAAAGGAGAAGAAGATCTAACAATTGGTTGTCTTATTGATTAACCAATTGATTATTAAACAAATTAAACTGGAACTCTTTATGATTGAGATGTTGTTAGTTAAGGTTATGATAAATTTCTACCATGTGTAGAATAAGTAGCTAAACGAGCTATAATATTTTTTATTTAAATCTTACTGCTACTTCCTTATTGTATTTGAGAATTTGCTATCCCATAACTTGTGATCGACTAATCAAATTAAGGATAAACTTCAGATTTATAGTAGCTATATTTTGGATCATATGTATATGAACTATTCATTATTTCAGAAATAAAATTTAATTATAAATGAAAATATTTAAATGTTTTGATTCCCCAAGCAATTTAATATTTAGAATTCTTCTTATTAGTCTCCATTTTAAATGATTCTTTATATAAGATTATGTAATAAACTAAAAAGCTTAATTTCATTATTTGATATTATTTTCAATAACTAAAATAAAAGAGGCCTAAAATAACAAAATTAAAAAATTATATTAATAATCAATTATAATTTCTGTATACATTGATTTGCTTAATATCCTTCCATCCAAATATTGCATTCCATTATTAATCATATACTTAGGTAGATTTATCAGGGTAAGTAGCATAAATGTGAACATAGAAAATTAAAACAACAATCTTGATTATAATAATATTTACTTTTACAAAAAGTAACAACCAACTTAATATTATTTAATATTTCTATAATCCATATTCTAAATGATCATAATGTGCATTAAACTCTCCTAAATATGGCTACGTAATTAAAATTAATTTCTTACTGTACTATAGATAGCTAGCCAAATTATATCTATCAGCAAAGCAATTCCCAACATTACCATAATTATTTTAATGTGAAGCAAGGATTAAAGCCTATAATTTTTCTAATAAAATAAAAAGCAATAGAAAATAACTAAAAACTAAAATAGATCATATTGTTTACATCAAAATTTAATGTTCTATACATACTATTTAATAATCCAAACACTAAATAAAGTATAATTAATAAAAGTGAAATTTAAACCAACCTATCTATTTAATTTTCACTAATCAATAAGGGACTTGCTTATTATTACTAATTTGGTTATGTTTAATATGTAGATATAGTTAGATTATTTTAAAATTTGATTGCCTATTTGAATGGAGAATTTATGATATCTAAATCAACAATGTGATCATTTATTTCTTATTCTAATTAATTGATCTATGTCGTATTTTCATTTATTAAGTCTTATAAATATTTATTCTATAAATCTTGGTATAGAAATTACTTTTGAAAAAATCCATTAGATTTTGAGATGCAATTTAGCTCTGACAGCAGAATTAATTTCATCAGATAAATTTACAGTAAAATCATGGAGCATTTAATCCCCAAAAGTATTGATATCTATATAAGCAACTCCTCCTATTCCTCTTTTTTATTGTAATTCTGTATCCAACAAGATAAATTTCATTACTGCTTGTTCATTAACATTGCTAATCTATTAAGTTATATAATTACAATTCAAAGGATTCATTCCAAACTGGTTTCTACCTTTTAGTCAACTCTAAAATCAATTAATTATTTACATGTATAAACAACAGATGACATGCATTCTAAACTAATTTATAATTATCCATTGCCTTAATACAAAATTTCAGCATCAAGAATTTCTACATTCAATTTACTTGATTAGATGACATTATTTGTTTATGATTATCTAAGTTTATCATTATATGCTCGGATTTCACTAATCATAATTCAAATATCAAATACATATTTTTCTAATCTATAATTTGCTAGCATTTGCTAATTTTATCATTTAAGACATCTTAGGCCTTTTTGAAGACATTTATTAACTAATTAATAGTGCATTATTATTATGTTTATGCTTATGGGATTTGTTCAATCAATTATTAATACACATCTCTATCAAAATAACCATTAGCACATTTTGAATCCAAAAATGATAATATTTCACCTACATTATATTTTTGATTATGTAATTATGAAAATTCATTGAATACTTCCTAAACTTAATTCATATTTAAATATATAACGATTATTAATAAATATTTTCAATCTATAATTTATTTTTAGCATTCATCTTATCAGATTGTAGATTACATAATTTACATTTATTAATCTGACAAACAAATCATTATTCGCAGACTTAAATATTATTATGAAAGATAATTATAATTGTTTTTAATACCATAAATCTATTTAAAGTTAAATATCTTAAAGATATTAATTTTTAATTAGAATTATGAATCTTAGAAAAGTACTTTTAGAAAATAAAGAATAAAGTTGATTTTTTTGAAATAATTTAATAAATTAATTTTCTAATTTTAGTTTTTTTTGTCATTTAATATATATATATTTTGAAAGTATCCTGTAAAAATTGATATAATAATTGGAAAAATATTAGATAAGTTAAATACATAATGAATATTAGATTTCAATATAATAGTAGTATTTGAGTTTGAAATAGTAATGCTCATTTGTATTACCGATATACCATGCCAAATCTTACTCTTTTTTGACTATTGGTTTTACTTTTTTGAGAATTGGTTATTGATTTTTCAGATCCAATAGATTTCAAAATAGATTTAGGTTCTTGAGATATAATGACAGCTTCATCTAATTAACAAGATAACCTATTCATTTTGATAAGTTTATTTGATCTCTAATCAGGACTATGTATTAATAATGCTGTGTTATGTTTCTTTTAATGATTTGTATGTATGACCTTGACTGGACTTAGTTACCTATCAGCAGATTTTCTTCTATTGATAATTGTTTTATCTTATTTCAGCATTCCCAAAAAATAAATCTCTTCCTTCTTATAGAGATTTTTAGTCTTGATAAATTTAGTAGGAGACTAAGCTCTAGATAATTTACTATTTTTAACAGGCGATTAATCTTCATCTTACTTATCTTCATTAGTCATTAAAATTTCAAATTCTTCTTCCTCTAATCTAGCAATAGTAGGATTTTTAGATTCTATACATGGTTTAGATGGACTTTGAGATTAGGAATTCAATAGAGGTAACATACATTAACTATTGCAAGGCTCAAATTGTTATTTAAAGTTTCTAGCTACTAAATTTACCTCATCTATAGAAGGAACTTATTAATGACAGGCACCATTACCCATTTTATATATAAATTAAAACTTAATTATTCAATAATTAACCAACAACAACAAAGTTAAAAAATCTTAATAGAGATAAACTTCTATTATAGCATATTTCATGGCTCAGTTTGCATTTTACTCTGTGTCATCCTCATTCTACTATTCTGAATTATAACATTTTATATTCAAACTAAGTTCCTTAATGATTTTGTCACTATTTTTCTTTTGTTAACTTCTCAAGTAGGAGAATTTTGATTTTTATAAACTTATCTTCAATTATTAATCTTTGTTTAGATTTTAATAATAGCTCTATTCTATTTAAGCAAGCCGTATATGTATTTATATTCTAATGAAACCTCAAAAGGATTACAAAACTTTTTTTTTAGCTTTTTAAAAATTGTTGATAAATTTGAGTTAATCTTATTGCATTCAACCCCTTTATTTAATAAGACATTTATTTCTAAATATATATTAATATTATTTCAAGATTCTAAAACAACAACCATTTTTGATTTTTTCCATTTTCTTCTTACGATATTGGCATCTATAAAATTATGGAAACTATCCTAATCATTATTTCTTTGAAAATTTTTTTATATTTCGTTAAAATTCATGTGATGCATGTATTAATCAAAATCTCTCTACAAATCAAAGTTTTCAAATATGTCCTTGTATCTTGCCATATATTAAAATTAATCTTTTTATAGTTCAAATATATACTTTAATTATCAATTAAAATAGTATTAACCTCCAATGTATCTGTTTCTTATTCATTTTCCTCTATTATATCTTGATTTTTAATTAAAGTTATGCTTTACGTACCTTTAGTTACAAATTATTTATTTAATCCTTTTGAAATATTGATGCTTTCATCTCTTGATAATTCTTAATCAAAGTCTGTTATTTTTTTTTATTAATTAAATGTATCATTCAGATTTTTGATATCCAAGCTCTCTTTATAATTGACTTCAAGTGATCTTGAAAATTCTTAACTTAAAAATACTGGAATTCTTCTCTTCGGTTAAATCGATAATTTCTTATTTGATTTTTATCTAATTCCTTCATAATTTTTAGGAGTAGTTCGTTTAATTTGATTGTTAATTTGTTCTTGCATTTTAGGATCTTTTAAAAGATGGTATAATACACTATCAGCTATCTTACTTTCAAAACTTAAAGTAGAAATACGCTTTAAATGATTCTTCCTTTCAATATATCTTCTTTCTTACAAAAACCTCTTTTTATACTTTAATAAAGTCTTTGTTCTACTAGGGAAACCTGTAAGCATTGGACAACTGTATAATAAATGAGTTGATTTACTACATCCAATACATTAAATGTGAAATTCATCGAATCGACCTGAAAATTTCACTAAATCTTTGAGTTAACAATATTTTTCCTATAAAATTAATAAACACTTATTACATATCCAAATTTTTTAGCTATTAACTAAAAATTTTCTTTACTTATTTTTAAAATCCTAGTTGGTTTTGTTGTTCTACAATTTATTGAATAATGTTAATCAAGCAAGAAATCTTATTATCCAAATATTTCATCTAAACCATCGATTTTTTAAATTGAAACAGAATTAGTTGATCCTTCAGGCAATTAAACATAATATTCAACTTCTCCTTCACATAAAATAAATAAAAATTGACTTTATTCTCCTTTAGTAAAGATACTCTACCAAGGAGTTAAACGTTCTTCCTAAAAATCTGCCGCTAGTGCCTAAAGAAAGTCAGAATTAAAGTTTTCGTGAAAAAATGGAATCTTTGATATGCTTTTCATATTGAGATCTAGGATCATTTCCTTAAATAATATAATTTATATTTACATTGAATAAATTACTTGGTAATTATTGTTATAATTTCATCNTATCTGTTTCTTATTCATTTTCCTCTATTATATCTTGATTTTTAATTAAAGTTATGCTTTACGTACCTTTAGTTACAAATTATTTATTTAATCCTTTTGAAATATTGATGCTTTCATCTCTTGATAATTCTTAATCAAAGTCTGTTATTTTTTTTTATTAATTAAATGTATCATTCAGATTTTTGATATCCAAGCTCTCTTTATAATTGACTTCAAGTGATCTTGAAAATTCTTAACTTAAAAATACTGGAATTCTTCTCTTCGGTTAAATCGATAATTTCTTATTTGATTTTTATCTAATTCCTTCATAATTTTTAGGAGTAGTTCGTTTAATTTGATTGTTAATTTGTTCTTGCATTTTAGGATCTTTTAAAAGATGGTATAATACACTATCAGCTATCTTACTTTCAAAACTTAAAGTAGAAATACGCTTTAAATGATTCTTCCTTTCAATATATCTTCTTTCTTACAAAAACCTCTTTTTATACTTTAATAAAGTCTTTGTTCTACTAGGGAAACCTGTAAGCATTGGACAACTGTATAATAAATGAGTTGATTTACTACATCCAATACATTAAATGTGAAATTCATCGAATCGACCTGAAAATTTCACTAAATCTTTGAGTTAACAATATTTTTCCTATAAAATTAATAAACACTTATTACATATCCAAATTTTTTAGCTATTAACTAAAAATTTTCTTTACTTATTTTTAAAATCCTAGTTGGTTTTGTTGTTCTACAATTTATTGAATAATGTTAATCAAGCAAGAAATCTTATTATCCAAATATTTCATCTAAACCATCGATTTTTTAAATTGAAACAGAATTAGTTGATCCTTCAGGCAATTAAACATAATATTCAACTTCTCCTTCACATAAAATAAATAAAAATTGACTTTATTCTCCTTTAGTAAAGATACTCTACCAAGGAGTTAAACGTTCTTCCTAAAAATCTGCCGCTAGTGCCTAAAGAAAGTCAGAATTAAAGTTTTCGTGAAAAAATGGAATCTTTGATATGCTTTTCATATTGAGATCTAGGATCATTTCCTTAAATAATATAATTTATATTTACATTGAATAAATTACTTGGTAATTATTGTTATAATTTCATCATATCAATTTAATCCTAGCCCAAACAATCATTCCATAAATATTCGAAATATCTTCTTACCTTTATTTGCAATTCTGAATTAAATCCTCTGATCCTTAAATATTTTTTAAGGTCATTCAAATCTAATCTTATTTGTTAATCCTTTTTTTAAATAGAATTTATTATTTATCCAACTGAAGATACAAAGAAACCAAATGTACAGCAGGAGGTTATAGCTACAAAAATGACTAAAACTCTTTCATTTAAATTTGATGGAGCAAAATCACCATAACCAATTGTAGTCATTGTAATAACACTCCAATAAAATGTTGTTATCTAATTATTTTTAATGTCTTACATAACTTGTTATAAGATCAGCATCTTCAAGATGCTCTTGAATTATCCACGAAGTTCTTGTATTTTATTTGCCTACAAAATATAAAAAGCAACAGAAAACATGAGCTTCTAATACAATCAAATACAATAGCCTTATTAAATCATAAATTGCCCAATGATTTGTAGCCAATTCTAATTTATCTAATATTAATCCAACTCTTTTTGGAACATCAAGTATTTTGACTACCATAAATAACTGCAAAATGCTATTACTATTCTTCTCTATGAAATATGCTAAAGATATAATTATAAGTAATGTGTCTATAAAGATATCTTTAGAATGATAAAAATGCTTTAAGATTTTATTTCTGTTAGTTACTAAATATCCTGCCTCATAATAACCACTATTTAATTTTACTAAAACATCTATCAAATAGCTTAAAAAGGAATGATCAAAAAAAAAATTTCTCCTTCTTTGTAATTATCAGGCCTTTAATTTTCAAAATCAAAAGCAAATTTAATAGTGCAATATAAAAAATTAAAGTTTGTCATAAAGACTAAATAAATGTTCCAAATTAAAATTATATTTTATTCTGGTTTGAATAAAAATTAGCTCTTGGACAAGTAATCAAATAGATTTTATAAAGTATAATCTTAGAATATGGTTTTTTATACCAATCGCTAAAACTATGAATCTGGAGCTGCTTTCTAAAGTTATATAAGTATTACAATATATTTAAAGTAATCATTTTTAACATAAAATTTAAAATCTGCAGCCTTGTCATTAATTATTCTGAACATGTTGGCATCTAAATATTTAAAATCTTAAGGAAAAATTGATTGAGTGATAATTGTAATGAATCTTATGATTTTAACAAATATATTTAAAGGATTTACTTTGGATTATTATTCTATTCCAGGATTTTATTTGATGTTTTATATTTTTTATAATTGTAAAGTCTTGAAATAAGCTGGACAAGATCTAAATTAGCTTTAGCTTCTCAGTGAATCAGATTTCTTAATTGGAGGAATAAGAGGTCTGTCTGTATGCAATTCTGAGTTAATATGCATTATTTATAAAAATTAATTGATTGTTAAACACTGATTAACAATACATTTTGCTTTACCCATTTTAAATAATTAGTTTAATAAATGAAAACATTTGAATATAAGATAAAAATAATTGATAACTATATATTATAAAAACTAATTTATCAAGAATTTAACAAATACAAAAGCCACTAGAAGTAAAAGCAATTTAGTTCCAAATGAATTTAAATTTGCAGATGAAAAAACGCTAGTTTAGTTATAATTATTAATAATAATAGAAAGATTATATTGCACTTTTATTTGAAAAGAAATGATTTTTCAGTTCTAGTGTATTAGAAAACATCTAATATTTGATAAATAATACTTATTAACCTATGATGGTTCAAGTATTTTTATTGGAGAAGTATATATTAAAACCTTAATAAACCAGACAAAGTCAAAACCCAAATACCAACTAGAAGTATCTCTAAGATCTACAATAACATTTCATATTGATGAAGATTTTTATGGTTTTTCAATTCCATACTAGGGTCAATAAAAACTCTTTAGAGCTAATACCAATAAGATTAGAGAATTAAAAAAATTAATCGATGCCAAGATAGTTTATCTTGATATGAATCAATTCTATGTTCCTTAACAAGTCTTAGGTATTGGTGCTTTCTCATAAGTATAATTATTTTATAAAATTAGGTACAAATGGTGTAAAATTTGTAGACAAAATAGTTAGTAGCTGCAAAATTCCTAAACAAGAATAGAGAAGGAAAATCAAACACGGAACGAATGAATGTAAAATTAGATCATAATTACACTTATAGGATATAATAAATGAAATCTAAATATTGTACCGATTGAATCACCCAAATATTGTGAAAATTAAAGAAATATATGATAAAGCTAATTAAATAGTCATCATACATGAATATGTGGATGGTTAAACTTTAGAAAGATTCATTAATGAACATGGAACATAATTACATTAAACTGAAATTTAATCAATTATGAGAGTAATTATATATAATAATCCTTTTTAGCAAATTTTGTTAGCTATTATATATATTCATGAATAAGGTTTACTACATAGAGACATAAAACCAGATAACATTATGATTGATAAAAATTTGAATATCAAGTTAATTGATTTTGGCTTGGCGACAAAACAAGGGAGTCCGTTATGCATTCAAAAATGTGGCACTCCAGGATATATTGCCCCAGAAATTATCAATTCTAATAAACCTCAATACAACAATAAGAGTGATATCTTTAGTCTTGGCGTTGTATTTTATAAACTGTATTTTAAATTCATTATTACTTTAGAATTACATCATAAGATTTATTTTAGTAATCACAATTAGATAATTTGTAATATTGTTATAATGAAAATATACTTTCAATGGAGCATCTCTTAGAATTTAATATTTCAGATTCCTGCTTTGATTTGTTATCTAGTATGCTTTGCTATGATAGAAATAAAAGAATAAGTGCAAAAGAGTCTCTACAACATAACTATTTTAAGGAGAGTCTTCGACCTTCTGTCAAAAAAACTTAAGTCTTACTTTAATAATCTACTTAATTCGTTTAATAATAATCAACCATTTTCCAGTCATAATTGTCAGAAGGAAGTCGAAAATAATCCAGAAAAATTAGTGATAAAACAAACAATCGATCGTATTTATTTTTATTTATTCATTAGTTTATCGTACAAAAAATCGATTAAATCTGATAGTTCAATATGATGAAGAATTTCTATATGATATTTACTCGAGTTATATATATAAATTGTAATTTAGGTTGAAAATTTTATTTTGAATCCTTAACAGTTTTTCTTATATTTATTTTATTTATTTAAAATGCTCTCAGATAACTAGTACATTTATCAAAAACAAGGTTAAGCAAATATGAGACCTGATTCTTCGATTTTAAGAAATGAGAATCGCATCCAAAGTTCAGAACCTATAGAAAGAAACAACACTTAAAAATCATTAATCTAATAATAATCTCCTCAAGAGATAACCAATTATTTGAAACAAAACTTATCCTTTGTTAATATAAGTGTTAGATAATTCGAAAACTCTATTTAATAATTAGTTACAGCTTTTGGAAATCATGTGATAAATGGTTAATAATAATACTATTACTAGGATTTCGAATTGATGAATTTATCAGAAAGTTCTTTTGCGTTTTAGAACGAAGATTGAATAAATTCTTTGATCATTTAGATTAAACAATATTTTAACAGAATAATCAACAATAATTTACAATACCTGAAGATTTCAATGCTTCGGAAATTAGAAATCATATTAGATAGAAAGCTAATTAAATACCCACAGATCTTTTGAACCATTTTTAAGAAAAGTTAAACACCAATGAAATTGACCGAGAAATATTAAGGAAAGTTGATTAAATTTTAAGGGTTTATGAATTATTTAGATCTGATCAAGGGTAGAATTGTTTTATTAATATTACCAAATTCAATTTAGAACAATTGCTAGATAGCACCTGCAATAATCAACTTTAGGATATTCAATCTATTGAATAGTTAATTGAATCCTAATTAATTATTTCAATTCAATTAATTTAATCAGTAGTACTAAAAAATAATACTAATTTTTTAAACATTTTCAGTAAAGAAGAAATTTTAACCAAGTAAATCTAAAATGTTATTTAGATTTTATTCAACACTTTCGGATGCTGATGAAAAATAAATAACAATCGATGATATCTACAATATTTGTAGAATTGTATGTCAAAGAGATCGAAAAATCATTTATAATGACTTTCATCATTAAATTAGTCAGAATTTAAATGAATTGGCACCAGATTTTTTTTAAACGTTCTCAAACAAAAAATCTTAAATATAATTGAAAAGAGAACAACTTTAAAATAAACTACTAAATGTTTAAAAACAATGGGAAATAATTAAATTAGATGAAAATTATTATTTGATTTTCAATAATAGAATAAATGAAGCAAATTTAAATCATTCTAATTAATAAGGCTTACATCAACTCCAAAGATTAATGGTATTTTTTAATAAAGTAAAAAATTTATAATCTGACTAACTTGAATTATAAAAAGAAATAAATATTTATATGGAGGAAACTAAAAAAGATGTTCAAGGTAAGCTTTCTGATGCCATTGTTAGAGCAAGGTAAGTTTACTCTAAAATAATTCCTGGAAAAAATCCATCAAACCAAATCAAGGTTTTTGTTGATACTCTATACTAAGAATTGCTAAATTTATTAGAAAAAAGTTAATTACAATAAAATAATTTCAATTCTTCATTTTAATAGACTTTGTAATCCTAATTAGGAAAAAAATCATAGAACTCTTCATTCCTAAAATCAAGCAATAGAACCTTACAAGATTCTTAAATTAATCGGCCCTTCTCTAACTTTTAATACAATCAATTAACAAATCCCTCTGCAAAAATAGAAAATATGTTATAAGGATAATCTGAATTTGGATAAAATTAAGATAAAAGGCAGAAACTAAATAGAGAAGTTTATGCAGAACAAAAATTAGAGTATTATAATGATTCATTTTAAGGAAAAATTAAATATCCAGAATACTAAAAGATAAACTAAAATTAAAGCTCATTAAATAAATCTGATTTATCATTATAAGATTAAGAATTTAATTAGATTCAAAAAAAAAATCTAGATAAAGATTAATCAAATAAGATAAATAAATAAATGGAGTTATAAGTAAAAAATAATTAAAATCAGTCAAACATATCTTGTAAGCAAATTGAAGTCAAAAAAGATTAATAAAAACAAATTGATTAGACTAATAAATAATCATCGCAATTAATTTAGACAAAATAATCAGATATTTCTAAAAAACAAGACTCTCCGAAAGAATAGATAAAATAACCAGATCCTATTAAAAAGTAAGAACCTCCAAAAGAAAAACCAAAATAATCAGAACCTCCTAAAAAACCTGAACCTCCAAAAGAATAATCAAAATAACCAGAACCTCTTAAAAAGCCAGAGCCTCCAAAGGAATAACCAAAATAACCAGAACCTCCTAAAAAGCCAGATCCTCCAAAGGAATAACCAAAATAACCAGAACCTCCTAAAAAGCCAGAACCTCCAAAGGAATAACCAAAATAACCAGAACCTCCTAAAAAGCCAGAACCTCCAAAGGAATAACCAAAATAACCAGAACCTCCTAAAAAGCCAGAACCTCCAAAGGAATAACCAAAATAACCAGAACCTCCTAAAAAGCCAGAACCTCCAAAGGAATAACCAAAATAACCAGAACCTCCTAAAAAGCCAGAACCTCCAAAGGAATAACCAAAATAACCAGAACCTCCTAAAAAGCCAGAACCTCCAAAGGAATAACCAAAATAACCAGAACCTCCTAAAAAGCCAGAACCTCCAAAGGAATAACCAAAATAACCAGAACCTCCTAAAAAGCCAGAACCTCCAAAGGAATAACCAAAATAACCAGAACCTCCTAAAAAGCCAGAACCTCCAAAGGAATAACCAAAATAACCAGAACCTCCTAAAAAGCCAGAACCTCCAAAGGAATAACCAAAATAACCAGAACCTCCTAAAAAGCCAGAACCTCCAAAGGAATAACCAAAATAACCAGAACCTCCTAAAAAGCCAGAACCTCCAAAGGAATAACCAAAATAACCAGAACCTCCTAAAAAGCCAGAACCTCCAAAGGAATAACCAAAATAACCAGAACCTCCTAAAAAGCCAGAACCTCCAAAGGAATAACCAAAATAACCAGAACCTCCTAAAAAGCCTGAACCTCCAAAAGAATAACCAAAATAACCAGAACCTCCTAAAATGCCTGAACCTCCAAAGGAATAACCAAAATAACCAGAACCTCCTAAAAAGCCAGAACCTCCAAAAGAATAGCCAAAACAACCAGAACCTCCTAAAATGCCAGAGCCTCCAAAGGAATAACCGAAATAACCAGAACCTCCTAAAAAGCCAGATCCTCCTAAAATGCCTGAACCTCCAAAAGAATAACCAAAATAACCAGAACCTCCTAAAATGCCTGAACCTCCAAAGGAATAACCAAAATAACCAGAACCTCCTAAAATGCCTGAACCTCCAAAAGAGCCAATCAAATCACCTGAAGTCTAAAAGAATAATGTAGATCTAATTGAATAAAAGAATATAAAAGAACCAAATATATAATAATTAATTTAACCTGATAAATAGATGGATAAAAAGAATTCTTAATTATTAGATCAAAATAAAAAATAGCAAGTATAAATATTTATTTATTAAGCAATTTGATCCAAATGAATTAAATTTAGATGATTTTGAAGACGATGAAGAAAATGATATAGATTTTATGACAAATTATGTACCTTCCAAAATTTAAAAATAGATCCCATAAATCTAAGATTCATAAAAAGATAAAATCAATTAATTAGAATAAGAAAATTTTGATGAAGGAGAAGAATCAGAAGTTTAAATTCATAAATTAATTACATAAAAAAGTTTGCCTTGGATTAATAAATACACTAAAAGTTACTAATACGGTACTAAGATTTAAGTAAAAGATTTGATACATTAATTTGATTAATATGAGTGTTTAATTTAGCTCTTTTAATAGTTCATTATTTAAGATGAATTGTATTTTTTTGATTTTGAAGAAACGGAATTGATATTATTAATCTTCAATAAAATGTTAGAAGAAGAAGATCCTAAAAAAGAATTCGATTAATTTCAAGCTATCACGCTTAAAAATTATTAAAATCGAACTTAAAAATAAAATTTTGCCGAAAATTAAAAACTTTATTATCTTTTTGATAAAACAGATTTGTTTCCTTTTGATTTTTATTTGATTGAAAAAGACCCTTTATAAAATCTCTTAATAGTCTATTATGAGGATGAGCCTTCAGAAGAAACGATGGGTGAACAATTTGAAAACTTCTTAAGCGTTTTTTAATAAATTTGTAATTGTGAAGAATACGAAATTGCATAAATAGTTCTTTAACCAAAAGCACAATAGACTTTAAAAAACCTTAAAAAGAAAGACCATCAATATTTAAAGGCTATTATTACATTATTTTCCAATATTTATGAAGAAGAAAATTTGGAAAACATAAGTTTTGACGAAGATACTATAGCTAGATTAGTTTGGGTTTTAAATTAAAATAGTGAATTTTATACATCATTTGAAGAGCAGGAAGAAGAAATCAAATAATTTTATTTAGATATTTTAACCCAAGGGTAAGAGTAAGATCCATCTATAGAGGTTGGCGTAATTGAGCAATTTTTTAATGAAGAGGGTTTAGAAAATTTATAATAAGTAATTTACTCCATTTATTATTAGGAAATTTATTCAGTTTATTAAGAATTTTAAAAAAACAAAAAAACAAAACAATATTTAGTTTCCGTGAATGTCATTTTAGAAGAATAACAAATTAAAATTAGTATTTATTGTCATCTGTAAAAAATTAATAACAAAAATATCTTAAAGGTAACATTAAATATTAATCGAGATTTTTACTTTAAACCATTATTCTGAGTTAGGTAATTAAATTTTAGAGATGTTGAAATCTGATGATCTTTTTGAATATTAAATTTATTGCGATTTCTCAAGACATAGCATATTCCATGAATGCAATGAAATAACATTAGGAGCGTGGTATTTTATGCTTACTCAAAGTAAAATGCAACCTGAAGAAGCAATGGCAAATTTATTATTCTCTTTAATTCCATATAACCTTATAATGACACAAGAGGAATGAAATGAAAATAAACTATAACTATAATATCAAAAATATTTTAAGTAATTTATTGTAATTCATCTCTTCATTATTTAAAGATAAAGTAGAAATTAATTTGTTTGCCAATACTATAAAAGATTGGCATTTAGGTTTTTACCTGAACTTAATTTCTAGAATCTTTCTTAGCATATAAAAATATGATGAATCAAAAGAATTAGAATATCTATTTTAAGAAATTTGAGCCAAAAAAAAAATGAGTTAATAAGAAGAAACTTATATTTTCATTCCAAATTTATTATCCTTTTATAAAATTATGGGTAGTATATCTCTCATTCTTTTAATATCTTTAATAATTTCTAATTTTAATGCCATTATACACTCAAAAAGGAAAAAATTAGTTTTCATTTTTTTTATTATTAAATCCTTTTTATTCCATTATTCTTTGAATTCATAATTTATTTAATTTCAAGTTTTAAAACTCTTTTTCTGGATCATATCTAATTATGTTTTAATTTTGTAATATTTATTCATCCTAGATTTTTAGAATTAATTTATTAATTAGGATTTTTAAAGAATGAATTAATTAGACTTCTCAAAACTTAGAAGCTAAATTAATTACTCTCCTTCAGAAATTAAAATTAGAAAAACGCCACAATATATTGAACTTAAAAATAAATTGATAGGTGGAGTTTAAGTAATCAAATATTAGAAAGATTTATTGGATGTAAATCTCACATCTAATTTTGGAGAAGAAAGGACTAGATAAATTAAAGAACCAGTATTAAGTGTTTTTATTAATAGGTTTGCATTATCGATTGTAATCATGAAATATTTGATTTATATGATATTTTTTTTTATTAAGAGCAAGCAGCTTGTTCAACATGTAAAAAGTAGGCCACTAAAAAAAACATCAAAAAAGAAGAATATTATTCTTATATCATTAAGCATATGAGTGAAAAAAGCTTTAGTTGTTCGATAATAGGACAATATTTTTTCCATTCATTTTCAGAAAAAATTTAATCAAAAGCTAGAGAGTTACTTCTAAAAAAAGAATACAAAATATTATTAGAACAAATAATACAAAACTCTAATGCAAATAAGAATTAATTAAAAAATACTTTTCTATAATTAATTGATTAAAAAGAAAAAGAGCATAATTAGAATAACACCATTAATATAACTAAAGTTTTAGAATTTTCTTTTCAGTGTCTTATTAATTGCTAAAAAATTATCATCCCTATTTATTTACAACAATGTAAACATTTAGAATGTTATGAATTTACGAATATATTGCAATTGATAGATGATAACTTAAATTTGCCAAGGAAATTTTAGAGATAATCTGTAAAATGTTTTTTTTAAGATTGTAAAACTAAAATTCCTCTTAACATCACCTAATTACAACAGTAATTAATATTCCCTTTTGAAATTGCTAATGCAATTTCAAGAGATTACCCTTTTTCTTTGAAACTTTAATGGAATTTTTAACAAAATTAATTCTAAAATTAGAAAGCTAAAGTTTTTGTCTATTTAAAAAATCCATCTCTATAGGAATCTTTATAAAAAATAAAGATGGAGTATGATTTTCTAATTATTCTTAAGCAAATAATTAATAAAGAGTTAGACAATAATTTATAAAACAAATTAAAATTTTCTAAATATTCGGTTAGTTTATAAGAAATTTAATTTCCTTGTAGATGCAACTATTGTGAATTATAAAATGTAAAAGATATTAAACAGTTTATTATAAATTATTTTATTCGAGAAAAAAAAGATTAATTTCAATGTCCAGCTTGTAATTTTATGCATAAAAAGGTTTAATCATTAGTAGAAATTATTTATTTTGATAGATATCTTTATTAAGCTCAAATAAATGCATAAGATCTACAATAATTAGAATACAATAAATAAGATACTAAGCTTTTTAGATTTTTTTTATAACATCAACAAGTCGACTTTTAATAAGTAAAAAAAGATTATTAATAAAATAAAATTTACCCATATGAATGTTCATAATGCATACTGAATATAAAAAAAAAGATCAAAGAACCATTAACATTAATTTTTTGTTAACAAAAACGATCAATAGATTTTAAATCCTTTAAAAAGTTTTTGGAAAAAAATAATTTTAATTTAAAAAATTTTCCTCAATGTACCTGTGTCTTTTGTAATGGCAAAATTTTAAATATTACAGACTTTTACAGTGATTCTGTATTTAAAGAGCTTTTATCTAAAGAGTTGGATCCGGCTAAAGAAGAGTATATAAAATAATATCTTATCAAAAACTATTTGTAAAACCCACTAGACGATGAAAGAATTCCTCAATTCGATTTAATGATTCTAAAATATTAAGAGTAACTATAATTAATTTCAAAATAATAATAAAATTTATAAGATAAATAGTAGGATTATGAATAACAAAATCCAAATTAAAATTAATTTTAACCATAAAAGTATAAAAATTATCAAAATCCTCCACAATAAAATATTCAAAATATAGTTTTCTAGCCATAATATAATAAACCAAGAATTAAAAAAATTTCAAAGATAGAAGAATAAAATAATTTTAATGAATAATAAAATATTTAATAACCTTTTTTTTATTTAGTAAATGGTGAATTGATTCCAAAATAATTATATGATATGAGAAATTCATGAGTGTTAATAAATATAATTTATATTTACTATTATTAAATTTAGAATGATTTATATTAGTCAAAATATATATTAACTAATGTTCGGTTGATTATAAATAGAAAATGATAAATTTTTCATTTCTTTCATCTTTGATTTTGAGTATAAACAATTAGAACATTTAAAAGAACCATTATCATTTTAACATCCTTTTTAGACCTGTATTGAAAGTTATCAACATTAAAATTTTTATTTTTGAGATTTTATCTAAATCCCATTTAATCAACATGCATAGAATATAAAAATTATTTTCTCAACAATATTTCAAAGAAGATATTGTTTTTAAGAATAAACTACAATAAAATCGTAAAATTTTCAAATAAATATGGCATTTTATTATTTCATTCATATATTTGAAGCACTTGTAGAATTTAGTAAAATTTTTCTTAAACTAATTGTCTAATGAATAAATCTCAAAAAAATCTTTTATGACACTGATAAATAGAATTTCTCAGTAGATATCTCTTTTTTGTTGATTTATTCTATTTTTTAAAGAATTACTTTAACAAAAAAGAACTATATATTTTAATTAAGTTATATGATTCATCTATTAATAGCTTTTTCATTAACTACAACTTTTGCATGCGAGTTCAAATAAGAAGACCATTATTATAATTTAACACAACTTTAAAGAACTGAACCATACATAGTGAAAGCATCTGCTGATTCAAGCTTTTTCAAGATGGCTTATTGTATTTTTATTTTTTATTTTAGAGTTTAATTTTTGTGGAAATCATCCAAAACATTGTTAAGGTTAAAGTGGAGCATATTAAGCATTAGAAGTAATGGGAATATTAACTGATTCTTGTGAAATATTAGGTAAGCCTGATAATTAATAAATTTCTTTGATTGAAAACGGATTACAGATTACATATTCATAAGGATCTTAATGTGAAAACAATCAGAAAAAAAGTGTAAATTTCAACATTCTCTGCAGTTCAGAATATGATTAGAATTTTGTATTGATATCAGAAGACAATTGCCACACTGCGTAATATTCCATCTGAAATTAGGTTTTAAATGAAATCACCTGCAGGATGTAAATTACAATATTCAACTTAACCTTTATTTATCTATTATCTTAGTGGAATAGGAATATTATTAATGATCTTAGGTGCATGCTTTGGGTATTAATAATTGTAAAAGAAGAAAGAAGGGAAATCAGATTTGTATGTAAAAAGAAATAATAATATTAGGAATAAATTAATAGTGATTAACCATAACAGTAAATTAAAAATGCAGATTAGAGTACTACTGTTGTTATCAACCATGAAGCACCTTCCTCTTGATTAAGAAAAAATGATTATCATTTATATGCTAAAAATGACTTTAATTATGTTAATTTATATATTTGTCATTACATATCTTAATCATTCTTGTAAAACTCCTTTATTTGTAATAATTTGGTCATTATGTAGCTAAATCTAAATTGTTTACACTTTAAATCCCCATTTTTTTAAATCCTAATTATTCTATGCATATTCATTCATTTAATCTTTCTTTTCTTTTAGATTACTTGCTACTCCTTAAGCATTACATTCTATTGAAACTCCATCACATACATTTTGCTCTATTTTTAAAATCTAAAAAAATTTTCCATCGAATGTTTTCTATCCAAATACACTTTAATATTCTTCATCATTCAACATATCTAAGAATCCTTATCTTTTATTCATATTAACAATATTTAAAGCCTATTAATCAGGTATTGCAAAACTAGATGTAAGCTAATCTCTTTAAAAATCAAAAGAAAATGAAGTTTGTGTACTGTTTGTTTTATAGAATTATTTAAGAGCATGGTCAAATGCTTCATGAAAAAAGATATTTCCTGATATTTATTTAATTGGTTTTGTATTGCATTCTGAGCATTTACAGACAATTAGGCCTTAATCAAGCCTAAATTCACAATTTATCAATAATTGATAAAATGTTGAGAAATCAATTACAGTTTTTAAAGGACATTAGCCTATTAAAAGAGGAATTTATAACTTTTAATTTTGATTTAATTTACAAGTAATAGATTTGAATTCTATATTTAAATTTTGCTTTTTTGCTTTTAAATCATCAATATAATCCTATTTTGATAATTTTGATCTTTCTTAAAATTCTTGCATCATATAATCCCGACCTTAATAAGTAAATTTAAATGATGTTCTGTAAGACAATTCTTTAAAGATTCTAGACAATAAATTTTAATCTAAATAAATGTAGTTCTATAAAGAGCATTATAAGATTTTGCTCTGATATTTGGTTTTACATAAAGGGCACGCGAAAGAATCTGTTGGTGCACTTTCAATTTTAGTTTTAATGAATTCGCAACAATAACTTTTTAAATCTAGGCATTTGCTTAGATCCTTGCAATTCTTACATCTAACTGGTTACTCAATTATCATTCCAGTGAGTTAATCTTTCATATCAACATCGAAATTACGGTATTTTTAATATCTAAGAAGTTTTTCTAATTATTATAATTATTGTTATGAATCTTTAAAAAGGTCATTTTGGCACACTTATGCTAATTGTTAGAAAACTTATTGTTAAAAGTTCTCAAAACTAATTTTAGGATTTTAACAATTTTTCTAAAAGTATTTTTCAATAGTTGGATCAATTATTTTTCCATTTTATCTTGTTACATCCTCTTCAAATTTTTAAGTTTAATAATTAAATACAAACTTCATTGAATATGGGTTACTAATTTTTATTAATTACAATAAATCATTATCAATGACTATTTTAGAAAATAAATTTTGAATAGAGGAAATATCAATTTTTTTATTAATGTTATCACAACCTGGATAATTACAACAATAAAAAGGTTCTTGCTGTTCTTGTTGTAATAGCAAAAGACTTGTTAATTCATAACACTCAAGATGTTTACATCCAATTATTCTTACAGGTATAGTTATTTTTACTTTATCTTATAAACAGAAAGCCCAAAACTCATATCTTTGTTTAGTCCCTGATCTTTGAGTACTATTTGATCTTAATTCTTGAATTAATAATTAATTAATTGAAGCTTCTTTAGGTACAAATCGTTCAAATAATCCTTTAAAAAGAATTCTAATTTCAATTTTTGTGAAAAAATCCAAGAATCTTTTTTTTCGAGAGGATTTATTAAATAATTTTCCCTCAATGATCATTATGTTAGTTACAAATTCATTAAATTCAATTCGAACTCTATACCTTAAATCTTTTACCAAATCCTCTACTTTGGTTGCTGATTTTTTGCAAATCTTGCATTAAAAAGCTCCACCCGCCTGCATTTCTTTCATAATGAACTCAAGTTCATAGCAATCTTTTGGATGCATACATTCTTTAGTAATAGTCTAAAATTTAAATAACAAATACTGGATACTGATATTGCTTTTTTTCTTTGTCTTCCTCGTTTATAATTTTTAAGTCTAAATCATAAGAGATTGTCTGTATGTTTGCTTCAGGTAATTATTAATAGATTTGCTCTAAATTTTATTACATATTAAATTTATTATATTATATAATTTCTTGTTTTTAAGCTTATATAATGCATTTTACTACCCAAATTATGAATCACTTCCAATCTAAGCTTATTTTTCCTTTTACTATTCCATCTGATTTTGTTTTTATTTTGGTTTCAGTCTTCTTTATTTGAAATCCCCAATCATTTTTTTCCTGATTTTATTAAATCTATTAACTTAATTTTTTGTTTTCCTCACAATAGAACCCTTCTTTATTATTAATTAAAGTTCCAAATGGAGTATTTAATTTATTCTGACTAATTTAAAAATAGTACTAATTATCCACCAATTTTTTTTCAAATCTCTTTTAATATTATTCATCATCTAAAAGACTCACAAAACCCTATTTAAATAAGGATCTTTTAATAAAAAAGTTTTATTATTATTATGGCACAATTTGTTATTCTTCGATAACTATATTTCGCTCAAAATCATATGTGAATTGTTAGATATTTTAATTAACATTTGATTTTCTAAAATCAATCAAAGCTTTATAAAAGGCTTCATGAAAATAAACATTTTCTGGAAAATCTTTAAAAGAAAATGCATTATTCTAACAATAATCGCAAGAACAAAATCGAAGACAATTTTATTCATAATCTTATTACTCTAATTATGTAATTTTGTTATAAAAATTTTCAAATTCAACAATTTTCTATTAAGGGCATTTTTAAAGAATCAAAGGAAACTGAATTCTAAGTTAAGGATTACTAGAGCAAAAAAGCTATGAAAATGTATATCTTAAATTTTTTTATTTCTCTTTAATATTCTATTTAAAATCCTCTATTTCAAGTTTTTATTTTTATTAAAACTCTTCTATCATTAATTTTTTTCCATCATAATAAAGATTACCCTCTTTTTGAATTAAAATACCTTGTTCAAAAGCATTAAACAAATTTTAATCAAAATATGTTAAATTAGAAATAGTTGCATTAATCATATATTCATATTAGCAAAGTGGACATTTTAAAGTCCTCTCTCTCTATTATTTTTTTTTTTGTAAATAAAAATTAGAAATAATAGATTTTAAATCCATAACATTAGAAATATTACAATTAATACATCTAGAAGGTTATTCTATTATTTAATCTATTATTCTCAATTAAAATGTTCTGTACTTATTCAACTTTAGTTTTAATTGTATTTTTTTATCAGGAACTTACTGTAATACATAATAAGAATGTTAAGTAATATTTCTTTAATATTCTAAAAATTAAGAGTCTAAAACCGAAAATTATAATCCAAATTCCCTTTAAAATAATGAAAAAATAAATGGATCGATAATCAATCCATCTTACTTTTTGGAATCTTATTCAATTTAATGAGTAATAGTATTATATTTATATTTATGAATACTTGGTAAACCTTTTTTTATTATTCTTAATAGTTCATTATCCATATATATATTTTCAAATAATTTCTCTTAAGTAGAAATATCTACCTTTATTTTACAATTTCTTTATTTACAAACAAATTATTTTAATTAATCTTGTTAATTCTCCTTCTAGTAAAATAATAAACTCGATAATTCATAGCATTCTGGATGTCGGCATGCTTTAAATCTTACAGGCAAACTAACTTAAACATAATCTAATAAGCATATAGCTTTAAAAATAATCTCCCTTTATTTTAGATTTTGAATATCATAAGATTCTAGTATTTGTTTAATATTAATAGAATTTTATGTCTCTATTAAATTTTTGATTATTTCAGGAACAGTATTTTCCAATATTAAATCTTTATATTTTTTATTTCTTAAAAACTTAGGAAAGAGATGATTATGAATTACAAGGATTGTATCAAAATATTCATTAATTTCTTCTTTCAATTTCCATCTAATATCTTTTTATAATCTATTGGGATGAGAAATGCTTTAGTTGCATTCTTAACATGTAAATTAACCTGTACTATTAATTTATTGCAAAACCATGTCTAAATTATAAACTATCTTGATATGTTTACAAAATATTGTAATCACCTTATAAATAAGAATGATTAAATTACAGGATAAGTATATGGATTTTTATTTAGGTCTTTTGATTCTATCTCAATAAAATTATAAAAGTCATGAAATTCTTGGAGGTATTATAATGAATTTTCAATAGTAAATTAAAATTACGACATTTGTTAAAAATATATATAAGAGAATTAATGAGTTTGGAGATATACAAAAAATTCATTTTAACTTGATTTCAAATTAAGTGATACATAGAGCAAAGGCTTATAAAATTGAAAGTGGGTAACAAATATCTAAATTATAGTATTTATCACCACATTTGCCAAATTACATTAAGAATTCTTGATCATTCTATTAATTATTTGAAATAATAATAAAATTTTTATTAGAAGGGGATCGCACTCTTTATGTGAATTTTAATTAATATGCATTCTTTTCTTCACAGAAAACAGGAAGCCTTGAGACTAACTACATTACATTTTCATTTTAAGATTAATTAAATGCTTTTTAAATGCCATCATTTTGTGTAATAGGCTTAAAATCTTATGGCTATCCATTAACAATTGATGGGATTAAAACATTTATTGATTTTAGACCAAGGCTTGACTTTTTATAAGAATAAACTGCATATTCTCTCCTTGATGTTTCTAATCGATCAGTCTTATTAGGATCATTGCCATTATCATATAAATTAAATGAATTCTCTACTATTCCATGTTTCAAATTTCCTAAACACACTTATTTATTGTTAGAATTAAATATCTCTCCATGACTTGAAATTAAGTAATTTGATTTCTTCTTTGTAGATTGCCTTTTTCCTGCACAGAGAAATTTTAAGCTTTCTGAGAAATACAATTCAAATTTAGGATAAAAATTACAAAGACCTTTTTTATTTTTTATCAAAGTACATTATACTATCTTATCTAGTAATAAATAACTATTATAGAAATACCAACAGGAACAGGAGATATTAAAAATTGTGAAATATCAGGAATATACTGAGGAGCATAGTATATAAGATTTTGATTGTTTAATCTCTCAGTCATTACGTTAATTTGTTATATAGAAGTTTCAATTCTTTATTTCGAATTTAGTTAATCAAGCAATGAATCAGATTTATTTTGTTAATCATTTGACCCAGTTTCATTTATGTCATAAATTTTATTATTCCCAAATGTTTCAACACATTTCAAGTTTACATTAACATTCATTGGAGAAAATAGTTTACTTTTTGGAATCAAATCTTCATCAAATTAATCAAATTTTATCAATTCTTCCTTTTATTTATTATTGCATACTGATACTTAAGTATTTTTTATTTACAAAATAGAAATGCAATTTTTTGTTTACATATTTTAATATTAATTTATTAATCAATAATATACTTATGGTGTAAATATATTATTTAAAAGAATTTCTTTTACTATCCTTTTTTAAACCATTATATTTTTTTTTCATTCAATATTTTATATTTTGTACTATTAATAATTAATCTAATTCATCTTAAATTAGATAATAATTTAGACTACTTTTATTTTGCTCAATTAAATTTTATAAGAAATCACTAGATATGGAAATAAGTATCATATTAATAAATTAAAAATTAGAAATAAAAAAAATTGTTTCAACTTTTATAAAGTAATTACAATAATCAAATGGAAATGAAATTTTGAAGTCTTATGAGATGTTAGATAAAATTAAAAGCTTATTTCCAAAATATAATCTATTTATAAACTGTTGATTTGTTTTCCGCTCAAAAATTAAAATTATTGAAATAGAATTATCTAAAATTTTCAAGATATTTATAAGAGTCATAGCAAGATCAATTATGCCACTATATTAGTTGATTAATAATTACATAAGAAAAATTGGCCTAGAAAACTTTTTATTTAATGACGCCTTTGAAGAAGAACTTAAAAGAAAATCACATCTCTATTGTGTGATATATATTAAATTATATTAAATTTAGGCAAAATAACTGAATAACGATCCTATTCTAATTATAAAACTATTATCTATACTACTTATTAATAAATTTAAAAAAGATCTTCAATTTACTTGTAAGTTTTAGGTTTTTATCGTCTAATACAGTGTTGATGATTTTACAATATGTGTTATTAAATCTTTTGGAAGAGTAAATATTAATATTCAGCCTTCTTTACAGATTGAATTCATATTGATTTAATAAATGCTAAGTAAAATTATTAATTAAGCATTGAGATTCTACACTTTTTATATTAATTAAATATATACATATAAAAATAAAAATTAATTTTGAGATAGTTTAAAATCAGAAATTCTATTATTCACCTCTATTGGTTGAATTTAAACTAACAATTCTTTAATATTTAACAATAAATCTTTAATTAAAATGAGTTAATAAGATAGAAATAAATTACTTAATCATATTTTTTTGATTTAATTATTTATCTCTAAACAATCCATAGAAAAGTATATATTATGATAACTTATTTCCATGCAAAAACAGTTTTAATTGAGCTTTAATCACTGTTTGATTTTTCAAAATTCTTTTCAGAAATTTTATATGTTATTCTATTATTGCAACTGTTATAAGCTTGGAAATACTAAAAGATAGTATATTCTATAGAGATTAGAATAATTGTAATTAGAATGCAAATTTTTTAAATAAATTTAAAGCATAATTTCTGAATTAATGGTTAAAATGAGAAAAAAATTTTGAAATTTTAGTATCTTATTGTGAAAGTTAATCATGCTAAATTTTGGATAAGGTTTTCTTTAGTAATGATTAATCTATAAATTTGAAATTTAAATTGGATTTAATGTATAATAATTTTTTTTTAATTTGTACAGCCATGTTTTCTTTTGCTGAAATAAGAGATTTATTAACAAGAGAGAAAGTATTATTTTAAATGAATCTCTTAGCCTAAAATGTTCAATAAGCATAATCCATACTATTAGTATGATTCCTAAAGTCCTTGTAGAAGGGATATTCTCATTTAATGGATTGTGGCAGTAAATATTTTATATTATAATTAGTAATCATCTTAATTCAAGCATTCGATAAAAACCTTAGAACTGGCAGTGTTCATTATTGATTCATACTTAAATTATTTTAATATCACTGCAGAATACCTACAACTATTAGGAATTTCAGCATATTCAATTGCCTCTAAAGTAAACATAAATATTTATCAATTTAGTTTAATGAAACAGAGATAATGTCTTAAATTAAATTGTACAACCAAGAAAGCTAGCCTTTATACAATGATGATGAATATGATGAAATGGAAGAATAAATTCTAAAGGCTATGGGATACTAGTTAAATCTTATAACATCATCAGATTTTTTGTTGGCTATGAATATTTAAGTCGATGAAAATGTCTCGAATTTATTGATGTTCATTCTAATAGGTATAATTATCTTATAATATCTAAATAGACTTTGAAATTTATCAATATTCTCATTTTGAATTAGCATTGGCAATCATGCATTACCAGAATGATACAAGACTTCTTTTTTAAGAAAAAATACTCACCGTATCTTAATTAATTCACAAAAAATTAATTAAAGCATAAGAAATCTAATGTGATAAATCTGAACAAGAAGACACTAAATCTGTGGAAAGAAGTCCCTCAATTCATAAAAAGATTTCTAAAAAAAAAGAATCTTCAAAACAAAAATTAATATAACAACAGAAATGAACTAGTGTTGCTATATTTAGTTTCAATAATGATCAAAAAAATGAAACAAATTTTATTTTTGTTTCTTTTAATTACAATCAAAAAAGCTTCTCTCTCTTAACATAGTCCTTGTTGAGATTACAATTTTTAAACTTTGTAAATATATATTCTTTACTTTTTCTAATTCAAATTTATATTGATTACCTTTAAAGTAATTTCTAATCAAATCTTATTTTCTATATCTTAATATAATAGAAACCATGTTCTGTATGATGAAGAAGAATACCATAATTTTCTCAAATAATAAATTACTGAAATTTATTGATTCTAATAATTAGATGAACCCCCTTCAATTAATTATAAATTAATTATATATACATTATCTTCATGAGAATCACTAAATCTGTTGTTTATATAAAGTTTTGAATAAATAACAATTTTTCATCAGAATATTTGATTTATTGTATGATTTAAACTTCATCTTTGATAAAAACAAATAAATATATTTCAATATTTTATTATGATTTCAAAAAATTGTTGTTCTTATTCATTTTGATATATTGAAAATGATGTTTTTCAATCATAAGCTAACTATTTCTTGATTATTATCTATTCTAATTAAATTTAATTATGTGTGTTCAATCTATGAAAAAAATTATAAAATAAATTATATTTATGTTCAGATTTTTCGGGAAATTAATGAAAAGAGCTCCTAAAGAATGTTTATAACATGATCATCAAAAATTCCCTAATTTATTAGCGAATGAATTTTGTTAAAGTTGTGAATAAAGTTTGTGTTATATGTGTGGTAATGATCATATAGGACATCATCATCCAGTGAAAGGTAGAAATATAAATTATTTATGTATAGTTTCTCATCATTGTTATCCTAATATGAATTTATAAAATAATGAAAACTTGAGTGAAAAGGATAACTTAAATTTAACTACATTAAGAGCCTTTAACACAGGATCATTGATTTAATTAGACATAAATAAATTACAATGTATTTGTGGTAAACCAGCTGATGAAAATACAGCAATTTGTGCGGCTTGTGGAAGTGCTACTTGCTCATAATAATGTCATTAAGAATTAGTGAATTAAGATAAATGCAAATTTCATCATAATTTTACAGAAAAAGCAAAATTAGTTTCTTTGAGATCAATTTTGTTGAAGTAAGCATATACTTAACTTAGAAATGCTTATTTTTTGTTTGATAAAGGTTATGCATAAGGTACAGTTTTTAGCCGAACTTCCTAGAACTTTATTTCAGCATTTCTTACTTCCTAAAGATCTTCAATATATTTATAAAGAGGATTTAGATAATATGGAAATCCTGAGGTATTATTAAATAATAACTTAGATAAGATTTAAACATTAAATGCTATGGATATAGTAAATGGGGCTGATTTAGATTACGAAATTCATTTGATGAAAGTCTGTCAATGTAAATGTAGTCATTGTAAGAATCTTGGAAATCACCCAATGCATTTATGTTAATCCCTTTGCAAATCTAGAGATTTATATGTAACATTTTCATAAATCTATAGATCTTTAGATCATATGCTTAAGAAAACCCTGTTGAAAAAGAGTAGACTTGTGAATGTCAATGTTAATTTTGTTAATCTGGCCATACTATCTTATCACACAAAAAAATAGATTGTTGTTTAAAATGTGAATTTAAATAAAAAGTTGATTTTTGAATAATAATTGTATATCAAAAAGCATATATCATTTTCGACTCTTTATTATTTCATATATTTGATCATAGAATTATAAAAAAAAACTAATAATTTATGTCAAATGAACTTAAATATTTATACACATTCAACTATAAAATCAATATGCATTTGCATAATCATCTTCATTTGTTTATACTTTCTTATTTCTTATTCGGAACATGAATATGAGAAGAATGAATATTAAATAATCTAATTTTAAAATAAAGTTAATTAATTCAAGAATAATTATTTAAAATATGAAGTTATAATTGGACAGAAAAATTGTCTTCTCTCTAAATTTGAAAATTGGTCATTTATCTTAAATTTCAAACTTATATAATTTACATAGTAAATATATTACAAATTCTAGAATAGTTTCACTCAAACAATTATTTTTCTTCATATTATTGTATTCAAACTTCATTATATAAATATTTAATAGTTTCTTAATTATATGCTGATTTTAATTAATATTTCAATATTCTATACCTCGTAATCACAATTTTAGATTTCTTTCTTGATTTCCTTTAATTTTATGAGACAATAATTAATCTGACTTTATTGATATTAAGAATATTAGTTGAAAATATTGCTATAGAATTATTGTATGATTTGATTTAAAATCAAATAAGGAAGTTTACATCCTTATTCATTTGCCATAATTTTAAATTACTTAATTTTTATTCTAATTTCTTAAACTGTAATGGCTGAATATTCATCATCTTATCAGAAAATTTTCTAATAAATTCTTCTTTGTTAAATTTGCTTTATGTCATTATTCGAAGTATAAATGATTTAACTATTTCTTTCTTTAGATTGGCACTTTAGAATTGATCTTGATTTTCTGAATTATAATATAATTGTTTTTATGATTTAATTTTTTATTCTTTGTTTTTAATTATTCATGTTAAAAATAATAATGCGTCTATTCTTAATTTAAAGGTATTTCAAAACATATTGAACACTATATTAAATAATCAATCATGAGCAAAAGTAGCTTAATAACCATTTTTACTTTATCCAATGGAATGGTAATGGAAATAACTACTTATAATTTAGATTGGATCAGCTCCAATTGTACTTCCTGTTTTGTATAATCAATATGGATTAATTAATGGCATAGTTTTCTCTTTTATCATCTGTTTGACCTCATGTATAACATGTCTAATTGTAAAAAAATATCATCAAAAGAAAGAAGTATTAAAATATATTATATGATAGGTTGATTTGCAATTTGTAATTAATCGAATTCTAGGACCCCACTTATAGACAACTTTCAATCTAATTACAATAATCTTTTACATTGCTTGTGCATAAATTTAAGTAATAATTTCTTGCTCCCTTATATATTCAGTGATATCATTATTTATAGATTCAGCTCCTTAAGTAAAATATTAAATATTACTTTAGAATGTCTTCACTTTCACTTAATTTTCTTACTAAATTCTTGGAATGATCTATATTCTTATTTTATTACCGACTTTTTTTATTAAAGATATTACACCTTTACTTAAATTACCATCATATGCATCATTAGCAACACTTTTAGCTGTCATATTTATTATCTTTAAAGGATCACAAACACCTTCAATCACTATTTGGAAATCTAATGATGTAACAATATTATTAATTTAGATTGCTGTATTACCAAGTGTATTTTAGTTGGCATTTTTAGGTCATAGTTTAGTAGTTCCACTTCTATCTAAATAAGATAGTAAGCATAAATCAAGAGATATAATTATTGCTTACATTTTAACATTTACAATTTATTAAATTGTTGGACTTTTTGGCAGTTATGCCCTTTTTCAAAGAACACCTTAAGATGGACTTTCTGGATATACAATTTTAGATTATTTTCCATAATCATAATTATTTGTTATTATTTTACAAGTAAGTATCATAATATTTTATAGATTTTACTATTCATTCAAATTAGCTTACTCCTCCCAATTATTTAATATGTAGCTAGATTGAGATTTTTTGCATTTTTTCATGCTAAAAATCCTAAACCCTATATGTTAATCATCTTTTCTTTCATGTTTGCATTTATTTGTTTAGCTTTTGAAATGATGAATTTAAATTTAGAAGTTTTAATAAGCTATACAGGGTATTTATTATTTAATAATTAATAGAGCTATTATAGGATCAATAATTGCTTACTTTTTACCTATTGCTTGCCACATTAAGATGAAATATTTTAATAACAACAAAGTTTAAGAATTTAATTTAATTGAATCTGATTAAGAATTGAATTAAAAGAAAATAGGATTTTTAGAAATCTTATTTGATTGCTTAGGTTGTGGAATCATATTATCTATTGGTTTTAGTGTTTTAATACTCAGATTTATTTATGCATGATTTTTAAATATTAATAATATGAAAATATAATAAATTTAATTTTATCATTTAGTATCAATTACTATGATTAGAGTTCCTATTTTTTAAAGAACTATTATAAATTTTATCATATAAGATTGATTCTTATCGACTAAATTCTTTTTTAGCTTAATCTAAAATATTTTCTAAAGTATGCAATTAACCTATAAGAAACATTATTTTTGGATCAATTTTTTAATTTTGATTCATAAAATTAATTATTTCAATTTTAACATTATTACAACTATTTTAATCTGATTGAATAAATTTTGTTTAAAATGTATTATAATCTTGCTTCACTTCAGGAAGGGTAATAATTTAATTATTAATATTTTTATTGTTAACTTATTTAAGTATTTTATCAAATTATTTATTTGAATTTTATAGCATTGATTAATTGATATCATTCCCTTCTTCTATATTAAATTTATTTATTATTTCATCTAATTATGAACTAAAAAAATCAAAAAATTTTTGCTTAATTTCATCCATTTTATCTTTATCCATTTACTCTGATTAAAGTTCCGCTTAATATTTTTGAAAATTATCAAGTTATATTTTAAGATATTATTTAAAATTAAATTCCTATTCTGGATAAGGAGATTAAAAATTTTCTTTTATGATTTACATATCTCTAATTTTTTCAATTTTATCAAATAACTTTTTATTTTTCTTCCTTTAATTATATCTTTATTGATATTTTTTATAAATAGTTGAATAATCCTTCATACAAGTAGTTTTTTTAATAGGAATTCCTTATTATTATAGCAATGTATAAAGTAAGTTTGAAGTCTAATGAGTATCATTTTGTAATTCCTTTTAAAATTAAATATTATGTTGTAATAATTAATTTTGAAATGGATTATCTTCTTCCATTTTGATTTAGATCTACTATTCTAGTAATTACATATGTTCTTTAACAAAAGTTTATAATGCTGATGTTCCATTTTCACATTAAAGTTCTAAGATCTAATTTGAATAGATTAAAAAAAAATAAATACTTAAAGAGATATTTCATTTCTATCTTAATCAGCCAATAATTTTCTTACAGTTGAATAAAATCTATTTTTAACAGAATTTTCAGTTCTACCTATGAGATTCTTAGCAATTTTAGACCATGAAGAAGAGTATAGTAAATAACCTTTGAAAATTGAATGATCTTCCTCTAAATTTAAGGAATAAATATTTACCTGATGTCCAACCTCCTTTTTTCACATCTGGATTTAGATTATTAAACCACCTTTCTCTACATTATTTTCCTGAACGTCCAGTAATATTGTCAGCACATAAAGACCATTTACAAGCTCCGTTATTTTTTACCCATTCTAATAATTTATTATCCTCATTAACTTCCCAAGCTCCTTTATATTTGAATGTTATTTTATACCTTTCTTTAATCCAGGTTTTAGTATTTTTGTCCATCTATGTAAACATTAAATAGGATTCCTGCCTTCTATTATTTCACTTATCTTTCTCCAATTCTTATCTCCATATTCTTAATATAAGTTACACATTTATACCTTCAATCAATTTTTAAAGCTTCTAGTCTTCTTCAGGAGTCCATCTACCTACTTTTTTTCTATCTTTTCTGTAATCATCCATTATAGTTTGTTTTACATTACTAAATTTCTTTGTTGATTTACAACCTTATGGAATATCCTCAATTTTTATAATTTGACTTCTTGCCATCTCTTGTAAGTTTTTGTTTTAGTTTTCGTTTTTATTTAAATTATCCGTTTTTTTCATTATTCAAAACGATAAGACATTCTCTAAATATACGTCATATCATATAGCTATTATTTGTATAAAAAAGAGTATAGTTTAGTAATAATATGATAAATAATGAATTAAGTTAATTTTAGTAAATTGTGTTTTCTTATAATTAATTACAAAATCGTTAAAAATGGATAATGAATAAATGTGTAAGAATCACCCAAAATAAACTTTAAGTTGGATTTGTTTAGAGAAAAATTGTTAATAAAGGGTAATGTGTTCAACTTGTGCAGTAAAATTACATGATAGAAGTCATAAATTAGAGGAATTATAAAATATATATGAGAATGGATGTTTAGCAACTTATTTTAGTAATAAAAAGAATTCATCAGTTGGTTTATAATAATTGATAAATGGAGAATAAGAGAATATTTTTTAGAATGAGCAATATGATGATTACTTATAAGAAGGTATTGAAAGATGTTTAAGAAATGTTTCAAAAAAGATTGAAGAAACAAAAGGATAATTAATAGAGAAACATGAGAAATTGAGAGAAGATAAGGAGAATGAGAGAATAGAGTTTATATCTCAATTAAGTGAAGTTGATGAGAGATTGAAGACATCATAAAATTTGAATATGGATATAGAGAATGCCTTTTAATAGATAGAATCATTTGCATAAAAGAGAGAATTAGAGATGGCAAATAATAAGGAAAGTTTAATACTTTTAAGAAAAATTCGTTTACTTGAATTGATGAGGGATAATTTCTTAAAGATGATAAAGTCTTATTTTCATAATTAATTTACAGCAGAATTTTGTCATTTATTCGATATGTAAATAGAAACATTAAATGCTAAAGAAGTAGATGATGTGTAAGGTTTTTTAGAATATGTGGATTGTAAATGGAAATAAGATTATCGAAACATCTAATTATCAATTGAAAAATTTGTAGGTCGTTTAAATGAAGGTTTAAAATATTGTATAGGAATGCCATTAGAGAATCCAAAGAAATAGTTAGTAGTAAGATCTCCAATGAGACAATTCCCAATAAATATCCAAACTCCAGCATATCATCAATTGACTTCTCCAAAACAATTAGAATTCACTAAATCATAGGTTATATATGAAGAACCGAGTTAGAGAAAAAATATCAAAATTGAACCCGTTAGTTAGAGCCTTTAATAGTATTAGTGAGATATGGCGACATATCTAATAATGAGTATATAAAATAATAAAGTACTATTTGTTGCATAACCATGTAAAGAAATGTCAAGATCTAGATCATAAAATACGAGCATCTTTCAAGACTAACATATCAATGGAATCATTTAAGGTCCTCGTTATGATCAAAGAGGTGACATCATAAAGAGATCTATTGTTGGAACTATTGATCAATTTTAAAGAGAAGGCAAAGTTTTTTAAGATAGCAAAGTAATAGATGATGATTCATCTATGTTAAGATCTTTTGTTATTACCTAATTTACAAAGAAACAAAACATCAAAAAAAAAAGAGATCCTGTTCAATTTAATAAGATTTCTAGAGAGGATATTAGATTACACATTGATAAAGTTGAAAAGAATATTAAACTCTCTGAAATTTCACTTAGATCTAAGGAAGACACTTTGCCTATTATAGAAAGAAATTTAGTAACAAGATAAAGAAGAATCTTAGAATCATGTTAAGAATAAAAAGATAAGTGGAAAGAATTACAAAAACAATTAGCAGATCGTTGTGAACGTTCTCATGATAATACTCTTATTAGTAAAAGTCAAGGTTATAGAGAAAAAAAATAGTTGTTAGATACTATTAATACTCTTTAAAAAGAACCTAATGTCAAAGAATGGTATGAAAAGTTGAGAAATTATCATTTATCAAATCAACCAACTATTGAAATTATTAAGAATGGAACTAATGTTAAAATATGTAGTGATAAATTCAAAAACATGATTAATCAGAGACTAAATTAAAAGTATTATGATGCTGATTATCTTGTTGTCAATGGAAATAGTAAATTAAAAATAGAATCCAATGAAGCTAGAGATCTCATGATTCTACCTTAAGATCTTCTATAATAACCAATTCAAGATGTTAATTATGTTAATTATAATAAAAGAGATATCAGTCGTCGATCCTCCTATAGAATTCTTTAATTATAGTGAAATTATTATATATATTTACAAAATAATCTCCAATAATCGAAAATCTTGTTCTTAATGTCTAAAATCATTATTTACAACCTTACCCTTTAATAATATTTTTCAACTTTATTATTGCCCTAAATTTGATAACAATAAGGATTGTTATAAGTTTTATTGAGAAAAATTGAAAAAGATTAAATAGAAAATAGAATAATTGAATTATTTACTCTACTATTTATTAAAAAAAGATAAAACAACAATATAAGAATAATATTTTAATGATCCTGTTCATTAAAATATAACTTTTTTTTAATTATTTCCCATAAACATTTAACAATGGGATGCCTATTATATTATTATGTAAATATCATAATAGAGTAACACTTATAAGAAGCAAAGTAGAGAATAGAAAGTAATAAAATAAAATAAGATGAAGCAGTAGTAGAGAATAATAATGGGATATATAATTAAATATCGATGAAATTTTAATAGTTCTTTAATAAAAAGAGTGATAATATAATATAATAATGGGTAATTTTGAGAGAGATGAAGATAAATATATCAGGTAAGTATTATTTATACAAATAGTTGAGAGGAGAAAAAAGAATGGTTAGAGATTAAAATTAAATTCGAATAAATAAATGGTAAAATAAAAAAGGAATTGGAGAGAAGATTGAAATATTGTTTGATAAAAATAATTGAGGAGGAGAGTAGGATGTATGAAAAAAAGGAATATTGATTATAATGTATAAGATCGTTATATTAATTAAATAATGGGTAATTGCAATATTAGCGATAAGAAAGAGGTTGAGGAATCAAGTAATTGAATAAAAATAAAGAAGTTCTATCAGTTCATAACTTTGAATTTATTGAAGTTTTAGGGAAGGGAGGATTTGGAAAGGTTTGGAAGGTGAAGAGAAGGAAAAATAAGAGTTATTTTGCTTTAAAAGTGATGTCAAAAGCAAAGTAAGGAATAGAGTTTTAATAGGAAGAATAATATAAAAAAAGAGTGTATAGTCAGTGATGAATGAGAGAACTTTATTGAGTTAGTTAAGACATCCATCTTTAATAAATATGATAGCAGCATTTTAAGATAGAGAAAACTTATATTTAGTAATGGATTTATTGAGTGGAGGAGATCTACGTTATCATATAGGAAAGAATAAGAAATTTGGTGAAGAGGAAACAAGTAATAATAATGAAAGTGATAATTGTATTATAGAATTCTTTTGTGGATGTATAATGATAGCATTAGAATATTTACATTCTTAGGGTATAATACATCGAGATTTAAAACCTGAGAATTTGGTATTTGATTGTGAAGGATACTTAAGATTAACAGATTTAGGTATTGCTAGAATTTGGAGACCTGATAATTCATAAGATACTAGTGGTACACCTGGATATATGGCACCAGAAGTACTGTGTAGATAAAATCATGGGATAGCTGTTGATTATTTTGCATTAGGTGTTATAGTATATGAATGTATGTTGGGTAGAAGACCATATGTAGGAAAATCTAGATAAGAAATCAGAGATAATGTATTAGCTAAATAAGTATAAATAAAGAGAACTGAGATTCCTATCTCATGGTCTATAGAAGCTGCTGATTTTGCTAATCAAGTATTAAATAATTATTTAATCGTGAGTTGATTTAAAGAAAACCAGCTTAAAGATTAGGATCTGATAATCCTGATGCCGTTAAAAATCATCCATGGTTTAAAGGTTTTGAATGGAATAAATTACTTAAAAAAGAATTATAACCTCCCTATCTTCCTAGGAATTCTAGTAATTCAGCAGGTTCTACTTAAGATACATAATAAGACACTAATGAAAATAATATGATGCTTAGAAGAAACTCTATTTAATGTATATCTTTTATTTATTTATTCTTCTAGCATAATTTGATGGGTATAGTTATGATCCTAATGAAATTATGATAAAAGCTGAACCATCGAAATTTTGATTAACTTTTATATTAGTAATTATTTATCACAATCACAATGTCTTCATCTTATAATTTATTATTGTTGCTAAACTCAATAATTAATCTAAATAGTCCTCTCTATTTTCTAATGTTGAATCTGAACACTCCATTATTTGAATCTGCATCTATTTTATTTACTCTATTGTAATTCCATTTCGATTTGATGCTATTATTTAGTAATCTGATAGTCTAGATGAATCCATTTTATTTAACGTATTTATTATTAATTAAGTTAGAAATTAAAAAAAAAGAATACTCACACTTAATTAATTTTATAACATCTCTTTACAAATCTTAAAGCTTCTTCTTTATTGTAATTCTCTCTAACAACTTTTTCATATAAATCACTTACCAAAATCTACTAAGCTGGATCATTTTTATTTAATTGAAGTTTTAATTCTAAACATTTCGAATAAAAACTTCTCTTAAATTCAGATACTTTACTTATATTCCTCTCTGATTTGAATTATCTATATGTATATTCTGCTTCACTTCCCACTTCATATTATGATTCTGTCTTTATTCTTGTATCCACTCCTTAAGGAAATGAATTCAAAGACATTAATCTTTTTTGATTTTATAATGTCAATTTCTCCTTTATTATACATAATAATCTGCTTAACAACATCGTAATTGTCATTGATGTTTAAGGATATGAAATCAGTACATTTATTTCACTTTCAATATCTTTCAGCCTCTTGATACTCTAAGTATTATAACATTGAATTATATCAATTTGAGAACTTAGCTCTTGAATTCTAATTAAGAACTTGAATTTCTCAGTACTTTCATCTTATTTCTCTGCTCCTTTTATTGCTATTGTCTTTATATGAACCAATTGAGATGATATTTAATCTATTTAACTATTCACCTTTTTATTATTTTCCATGCAACTTTGACAATGAATATCAATTTATACTATTGGAATGAAATTTAAACATTAAACACACAATCCCATTTATTCAGATGGCTATTATCTTCTTTTTATTTTTTAAGAAGTGTTCATTTGAGTGAAGATTTAATTAAAATGATTTGTTAATAATTTAAGTAATACAGAGTTAAATTAACTCAAATAATGTAGTTGTATAAAATACAAAATTAGACATTCATTCTCACCTCATTATTTTTTATGTGCCCTTTATGTTTATAAAATTATTTTGTTTTGCTTTTGGCTTATCCAAATATATGCTTCTAATCTCTAAAGCTTTCTTAGTCAATTTCATTTTTGGTTTTATGCTTCTTGAAGGTAACACAAAACATGATGGTTAAGGTTTCTTTTTAGATGAAGGTGAATATGATAAATTTAGTGAATGTGATTCTGCACTATTAATAATTAATTCATCTGAATTTTTTAATGGTACATATGCATAATTAAGATTATTCTCTTTGTTCATACTTCGATTCTTTATTGGAGAATGTATTTGAGTTTAATAAAAATTTATATTAACTTTTGGTTATTATGCATGTTTTGTTACAATGAAACTAGCATTCTCCTTTCTTGACTTTTATGATCTAATTCTTAAATTACTCTGATTCTGTTATTTGATCCTTCCATCTCCTGCTATATAACTAATATTTTATAGTAACTTTTATCTTGTGTTCATTTTTTGAATTTAATTAAATTCAACAACTAAATTTTCTTTCTTAATATACTTATTATTCTTTATTCATTTAAATATTACGCAATATTCACTTCACTACCTATTTAATTTTAATTATTATAAAACAAATATCATCAATGAAAATCTTAGATTAAATCAAGTAAGAAGTTGAGCACTAAATGCAAACCAAATATGGCAAAAGCATCTCCAAAAGATATAATAAAGCTACTTTAACTATACGATGGATCCTCATCTACATGGTTCTAGTCCTAAACTAAACAATTAAATAAGTATTCCTTTATTATAATTTTTAAAAGTCATCCGATTTATTAGGAATCAATTATACTGCAGCTAAAAATATTTATAGACAATACAAAAATTAATATTTAAACCAAAATCTATAAAGAAGAGCCACAATCTCATCAAGCAAAAACTATAACTGGAAAAAATTTTAAGTCAAAGTTATTTGTCAATAAACTCAAATCCATTCATATACACTTGACTTATATATTCAAAATTGAATTAATCAACCAATTAATTTAAAAAATTCTTTTCCTTCCAATTTATTAAATTTTATAAAAATTGTTTTTTCTCACTGATTAAATTTGCTCTATGAGTTTTAAGTAACAGCCATTCAATCTTTTCAGGATGATTTCCCTTCAAGAATTATGATTTATTTCATTTCTTTAATTTCCAAATAAATTAGTATCTTTTTTATATATTCTTAAAATTATAATAATTTCTCTATTTTTCATATTAATTAAAAATTCATAAAAAAGATTATAAAATATAAATATATCAAATCTAATAAAAAATTAAATCACTCAGTAATTATAACCATCTCTAATTTACTCGACCACCTTTCCTCTTTCAAACAAATAAATAATATCGGAATCTTAATCTATTAGATGAATGGCAATAACACTAACTATTTATTTTTAGAATCCCAAGCTCTGGTATCTTCATTGAAAACCTAAATTGTTAATTCCTCGATATAACTTAACAATTCTTTGTTTTTATTCTCCAAAAATCTAAGTTACTGTTAATTCAACTTGTCTGTCAAAATTTAATCATCTTTGTTATTCATTGATAACTAAATCATATTACACCATTTTCAATTTCATTATTAAATACTATCATCAATCATATTACATAGATAATTATCAAAATTACCAAAATAAAATTATTTTAATCCTTCAAATTGAATATTTTCCTTTATGGTTAAGGGTACTTGCAAAAAATACAAAATTACTTTTTTAAACAACAAATATCATATAAGTACCATTGATAGAATTATAATTTTAAATTATATTTTATGCTTTTTCAAAGATATCAAGTCTATGCATTCATTATAATATAATTTGGATATATTTAGAAAATTTAGAAATATTGAAGGCATCTATCTAATCATTATGGATGGCACCTTCTACTATTTATAATTTATATCTTTATTAATTAAAGAATTTTTATCAACTATTCCCATAATTGAATTTTATTATTATTCATAAAAGAAGTTTCTCTATAAGCTCAAATATTATTTTTTGAAAATGCAAAAGGATAGATAATTTAAATATTAATGAAAACATTTTTATAAATTAAGGAAAATATATAATTAGGAAATAATTCTTAAACATATCTTTATTAATGAATATATGATTTCATTTATATTATATATTAATCAATTGAAATTTATATATTTAAAGTAATTTGAAATATTCATTCATAATATTTAAATAAATTAATAGAATTATGATATATATTAATTAAGGGAATGAAGAAGTTTAACCAAAATTAAACAAATTGTAAGAATAGGTAGATTCTATTTTAGCGGATGTTCAATTACACGAAGCTAAAATTGAAAGCATGAGTGGATAATTTTCTAAGAATTTAGAAAAAAAGGAGGATAAGGATATGATCAAATAAAGACAATAAATTTAAGAATTTATTAATAGCTAAATTGAATCTTAATTACATAAAATTTATAAGTTTTGGGCTTTTAAGAAAAATCATAATTTAAAAACAGATCCAGATTTAGATAAATATCTGTGGGAACTTATATAGCCATTAGAATAAGTAAATAAAAATAATTCTGAAGATCGAATAAAATGCATTGAAGACTAAATAAAATAATTATCAGATGAATCTCATAATAAATATTTTGAAAAAGAACTCTAATCAATAAAAACTCAGTTGAATCACTAAGATTAGATTATTTAATAATATAGAGAATAAAACAATTAATTTACTAATATGAATCAATAATAAAAAAATTTACTTTACTCATTTTAGTAAGAGTAATAATAAAAAAATAATATTTATGAAAATCGAATAAATTGCTTAGATTTTAAAATAAAATAATTATCAGAAAAATGTTTAAATAAAAATTTTGAATAAGAACTCTTATAAATAAAAACTCATTTGAATCACTAAGATTAGATAAATAATAATATTTAATATTAATTAGAATAAATTAATACTATTAAGGATTAATTTGATAAATTTAAAACTAATATAAGTTAACAAATAGAAAATTATAATCAATTAACTTAGCCTTAAGAAAATATAAATTTTAAGATTGAACTAAAGAAATTAGAATAAAAATAAGACTTTCAGACATAAATTTAATAAATATCTAATAATGTAGAAAACTTAGATAAATTATAATAAACACAACAACAATAAAATTATGTCGGATAAGAGCTTCTTTAAAAAATATAATAATCATTAGAATAAAGTTAGAAAATAGAAAAAATTGAGGAAATATGAAAAATAGAATCATCAATTTATAAGAATAAATGTAAAATTAAATGACTTTTAAATTAATAGAATTCGATAATCAATTTAACTAGAAAAATTAAGAATTACAGAATTAAATAGATAAACTTGAATAGAATAATTTAAATTTATAATAGAATATAAATTAGTAATAAAATCAATTTAATATTATTAAGGAATAATTTGACAGAATTGAAAATGCATGGAAATCAATTGCAGGAAATAACAATACAAATTAAACAATTTAAACAATAATATAATAAAATTCTTATTAGACAAACCAATAATAAAATTCATTTAATTAACAGATTTAAAATTAAAATCTTTTATAAAAATAAAGTTAAGTTAAAATTTAAACTAATGTTTAAAATCAATAATTTCAGATATTGATTAATAATAATTTTCAATATTGAATTATTTATTTATAATATTATTATTCTAATTTTTTACTGTATTGAATTATATTTTATAAAATTCATTATGAAATAGCAAAGCTTTTATTATTAGCTAAAAGGATCAAAAGTAGTTAATGAGTTTATTGTTGATAATTTAAGATCAATGCGTTTGAGTAATGTTTGAGGCTTAGAATGATATGTTTAATTTGAGAATAATTATATATCTTGAGTAGTAATAGTTTATTGTATTTAATATGATGACACAACAATTTTATAAGAAAGTACATAATTAATATTCTAAAAAGGGTAATATTCACATCATATATATGGCTAATAGTATAGGAGAATAAGATTGAAAAAATTATTAATTTTTATAGTTAACTAAGTAATTTAAGGGTATCATTTTAAATTTCATAGCGTTAGGCTAACATTTTTCACACCTCAATTGATAATAATTATTCATAACAGAAATATTACCATCTTATGTTATTTAATAAAAAATACAAAAATTGATTTTACAAAGGAAAACAAATATATTTAGTAAAATGAAGGTATAAATCTAGAAGCTTTCGGTTTTAAATAGATTAATTAGGTAAATAATTTCTAAACTAATTGAATATATATATATCAATTGGTAAAGATGTGAAACAATAAAAGCATTATTAAATTGTTGAAAAAGTGAGATGTCGAGTATAAATAAGATGATATTGAAATTTAAAATATATTGATTAAATTATACAAAATTTGAGAAAGTGACAAGTTCAAATCTAAATTTATAAGAATTTGTACCAATTACGGGTGCAGATCTATGTATGATGTTTAATACCTTATCATAAGAGACAAAAAAAGAAAATGGAAAGTATTATGAGAAAGTCTGCTGTTCATAAATAATTAATAGTAATCTATTAGTTTTTCAAAATAGTAATAAGCTAAAGATTATAACTAAGATTTGACTTTAAAAAAGTAATTAAATAATTATCGCTTTTTGAAAACTTAAAAGAATTAAAAGAATCTGCCTTCTATAATAAGATCAAGACATTAGATTATATAGTTCACTTAACTAAAACTCACAATCTCCATTTGAAAATAATAAAAGAATTTATATAAAGTGATTAAGAATAGACATGTTAGAATTATTCTTAATATCTCTTGCCTTCGACCAAGAAAATTGAAATTACCCACCTATTTAATAATTATAAAGATATTTGTTTGAGAAATTGTTTCTAAAATGAATATATTAATTTATTTTCACTTAACTAATCAAGATTGTTTTATCAATTAATTAAATTTTAATTAAAAATTTTCAATTTTACAAAATATTTTGAAATAGAATAAAAAAAATAATTCATAAATCATAAATCTAAGTAAAGACCAATGTTATATTATCCGGGTCTTATAAGCAATATTATTTAATTTTAATTGTTTTCTTGATATTTACGTATTTTATAATTTCCTGNAATATTCACATCATATATATGGCTAATAGTATAGGAGAATAAGATTGAAAAAATTATTAATTTTTATAGTTAACTAAGTAATTTAAGGGTATCATTTTAAATTTCATAGCGTTAGGCTAACATTTTTCACACCTCAATTGATAATAATTATTCATAACAGAAATATTACCATCTTATGTTATTTAATAAAAAATACAAAAATTGATTTTACAAAGGAAAACAAATATATTTAGTAAAATGAAGGTATAAATCTAGAAGCTTTCGGTTTTAAATAGATTAATTAGGTAAATAATTTCTAAACTAATTGAATATATATATATCAATTGGTAAAGATGTGAAACAATAAAAGCATTATTAAATTGTTGAAAAAGTGAGATGTCGAGTATAAATAAGATGATATTGAAATTTAAAATATATTGATTAAATTATACAAAATTTGAGAAAGTGACAAGTTCAAATCTAAATTTATAAGAATTTGTACCAATTACGGGTGCAGATCTATGTATGATGTTTAATACCTTATCATAAGAGACAAAAAAAGAAAATGGAAAGTATTATGAGAAAGTCTGCTGTTCATAAATAATTAATAGTAATCTATTAGTTTTTCAAAATAGTAATAAGCTAAAGATTATAACTAAGATTTGACTTTAAAAAAGTAATTAAATAATTATCGCTTTTTGAAAACTTAAAAGAATTAAAAGAATCTGCCTTCTATAATAAGATCAAGACATTAGATTATATAGTTCACTTAACTAAAACTCACAATCTCCATTTGAAAATAATAAAAGAATTTATATAAAGTGATTAAGAATAGACATGTTAGAATTATTCTTAATATCTCTTGCCTTCGACCAAGAAAATTGAAATTACCCACCTATTTAATAATTATAAAGATATTTGTTTGAGAAATTGTTTCTAAAATGAATATATTAATTTATTTTCACTTAACTAATCAAGATTGTTTTATCAATTAATTAAATTTTAATTAAAAATTTTCAATTTTACAAAATATTTTGAAATAGAATAAAAAAAATAATTCATAAATCATAAATCTAAGTAAAGACCAATGTTATATTATCCGGGTCTTATAAGCAATATTATTTAATTTTAATTGTTTTCTTGATATTTACGTATTTTATAATTTCCTTAATCAAAAAATATTAATATTACATTGCTAAATGATAATAATGTTATAATACATTTTTAAATATTAAGCTAATTCATTAATAATAACTTCATTATTATCACACTCTTATTCCCAAATCAATAAATTTTGTTTATCTTCTACAAGTTGTTTCATATTGTGATTATTTTCAATTAAATAATCACTAAGATTTCTAAAGAATATAGTTGATAATGTATATAAAAATCCATTTCCATCATTTTAAAGTTCATATTATGAAAATTAAGATTTCAATTATTTTCTTCTCTCTTAAATATCTTCAATAATTCTTAATTATTAAATTTAATAAATGAATTCATTTAAAATCTCTATTTCTAATTCTTATTAAACAATTTATTAATTATTAATGTTTATTCTACTTCTTAAATCAATAGATTTTATTTAATTAATAAATTAATTAAATTCATCATCATTATATGTAATTAATAAATGATTTAAAAATTAAAATCCAAAAGCAGTATAAAAACAGTTTCCATCTCCTCTAACTTTAATAAAACCATTACATATATTTTTTAAATTTTATTTTATTTGTATTTATTTAATGTTATATTCTTTAAATAATTCATTCTTATCTTAATAATCTTAAATGTATTTTTTAAATTATTGATCTATATTCCTTAAATCTGAAGATTATGCATTTATTAATTTTATAATTGCGTATACTTTTTTTTGTCTTTCATCATCTTTTTAAAGAAAATCTTAATGTTTATTTTACTATTGAAATATTTCTTAACTTTTATTTGAATATTTATCTTCTTCTTATAGACTATTATCATTATTTATATTTTAATTTTTAAATTAAGATGAATCAAATGATTGTTATAATTATTCAACTTTTTGTTATTAATTATATTCTTTTAATTAATTTTTCTACTCTAAATTATTTAATAAATCATTTTAAGACTAATTGTTTTGATTAATTTAGGATTGATTTTACTTAATTTATTATCTTTAGTCATAGAAATGATTATTTTTTACTACTTCCTTGGGTATTTATTTTTATTAATTTTTTATATTTTTACCATAATCTTATTCTATTATATTTTTTTATTGTTCACTCTTTTTTTCACTCTATTTACTTTTAAAAGCTATCCTAGAATCTTTATAAGGATCACATTTCTCATTTATCATCATATTTAATAAATGGAATTACTATTCAATTGCTTATTCTTTTTAATATATTTTAGGTATTTAAGGATGTTAATTTGGTATCATTATTATGTCATTTTAGATATTGTCATCAAGATTTAGCTGATATCTGATATTTTCAGAAGTCACTAAATTAACTATTTCACGGCATCCACGTCGTTTTAATTCATTGTAAAATATCCTTGCTTATTCGTCATGATTTAATCTCTAACAACGAATTGTTATTGTCTAATATTCAAACATATAAAAAAATAAATAAAAATTTATCAATTAAGACATTTTTAATAAATACTAAAAACTATGTTTTATAATTTTTGTAATGACAATTTAAAATTGTGATTTTTTTACAACTCAATAAAATTCTATATTAATAATTAAATCTAATAATATATAAATAGATTCTCTATTAAATTAAAGTAGCAATTCACAAGTTCTACCAAAGTAATATTAATATTGTAAAATAGATATATGGATTGTATAAAATTTTATGTAAAAACTTGAAGAATAATTAATTTAAATATATTAATCATTATCGTTATCTATTGTTTGAATAAATAATAAAAATTAAGATAAGATACCAAGAAATTTATAAATATATACTTTTCTTTAAAAGGAACATTCCTTTTTACTTTAGATATAGCTTTTTTGCCTTAATAAGAATTTTTAAAATTTGCGCTTAACCATTATATTCAAAGCAAAAATTATGATATAGAATGATAGTTTTAAATTAAATTGTCTCAATCATTTATCCTTCATGAATAAAAATATATTGCATTTTATTAATATGACATAAATTAAACTATTCATTAATTAAATCTTTAAATAAAATAATAATTTTAGCTGAATGATTAATAAATGAAAATTTGAAGAAAATACTTAATAAAAAGATTAGGGCAAAAGCTGAAGTTTATAAAACAAGGTTATTTCTAATCATTATATCATTATTATCTTTATTCTTATTATCCTCATTTTCGTATTCAATCTAATTCTGTTGGTCATTAATGCTGCTTATAAAAAGTTATTCTTATTAATTACATCTTTCGCATTTACCCTCAAATGGCGTTTAGTCTTTCAAAACATTATCATATCTTCACTTTTATTTAAAGAGTTGATAAGTTAAGAGCATGTTCATAAATATGATATTGATTCACAATTCTTATACTTATTTCATGGATAATAACTAATCTTAGAATAGTGTACATAACTATAGTTTATGAATTTTGATTCCACATAAATAGAAGATTAAAATTATTTTGAATAACTTATAAAATATGATTTTTAATTTCTTCACTATAAAGAATTAATTTTATCCTTAACCATCATTACATCCATTCTGATAATAATAATTTGAATCTATATTTTGAAATTATCTAAAAATAATAAAATTAATTTTCATCAAAAATAGTGTAATTCTAATGAAATTGTAATTTGAAATATTAATTTAAAATGTAAGATGTTTCGATTTTAGATATGTTAAATTGATGTTTTTATAAAATAAAGGATTATTATTGTATAAGATAATGAATAAAATTAAAAAAAATTAAATAATTATGCTTATTCAACCTGCTTATAATAATATTTGATTTTTGGAACCTTGAAAAAAATGGAAAAATTTAATTTTATAATTTTAGTATCATACTATCTTAATTTTAATCATTAATTAATTGTCTGGTTCTGATCAGAGGAAATTTAAATCGAAAAATAAAAACTTCATGTAAATTAAATTAGAACATGAAGAATCTAATTAAGTTTTTATGTAAAATTCAGTAAAAAATTTATTAGAGACTTATTTTTAGAATATAAAAGTTTAATAATCAATTTACTAATAGAAATTCTTAAAACTCAATTTTTAATTCTTAAAATAATTTACTTAATCATTTAACAAGTAATTTCTTTATCTTGAAGGTACTCCAAAACTACTTAATTTTTGTCTCTAATTTAAAATTATTTTATATAAAACCTCAAAATAATTAGGGCTAATAATTATAGACATGCTGAGTTGGAATTGCAATTACTAAGTAAACAATCAATAATTCCATAATTTGGTCTAAATACATGTCATTTATACGCTTTTTCTGTCAATTTATGATTACTGTATAACAAATCAATAATTAGACTTTAATCCTATTTTATTTCATCTAAAACTTATTGAATGGGAATATTGAATCTTCTTTTTAACTATAAAATATGTAATAATTAATTAACTTAAAATTTATCTTCTCTTTACTTTTTTTGCAATTACTCAACTTTTAGCAAAACTTTTTCCCTTAACATTAATTAAAAATAAAATTATTAATAATTTTCTTCATAGAAATAAATTTTTGAAAATTTTTAACATATTACTTAAAACGGTTGTGTTTGAATTAATAATAATCTTAATTAGTTTATTATTTATTAAGGTTTTGAATTAGATAATTTAAAAAAATAAATTAAAGTGATTTAAAAAAACTTTTTTTTTATTTTTCTTTTAGAAATTTAGATCATATTATAAATATTTAAAAAATAAGATGAATAATCAGAATATTGATATAGAATTTCTTGATAGTGATAATGAAGAAAAAGTGAATGAAAATAAGCAACAAATCAAATAATAAAGTATGCAAATAGAAGAAGCTCCATCTCAAAATATATTTGTTGTCATAATTAATTAATATAGCAATAAAATTCAACATATATATCTAGAACAGATATAATAACAGCTATAGAACATATAGTTACAAAAATGCTAAAAGGAACAATGGTATTTTAAAATAATTATAAATAGAAATAAATTAGACCTACCGATGTAAAAAATGAACCTATTTTATCAACTTCAGTTTAGAAGGCTTGTTGTTTAATATCAGTTGATGATAGCATAATTAAATAATTAAAAGAATATTAAATCCCTTTATAATTTAGTGATAAAGACCGTAAAAAGGGATTGACAGTGATTTTTGAATTTAATGAATTCAATCAATGTGATCTACTTAGTAATGGAAAGTTTGCTAAAGAATTTTCTGTTCTAAGACCACATTAAGAGACATAAAGATTTACTAGTATAATATTGGCTATAAATAAAATGGATTAATAGATTTATGCAATAAAAAAGGGGAGAATTTAGTTGGTAGAAATTATTTTATAATCAAATTACTTAAATTAGAGAAGTTAAAGCAATGTTAAGACTTTAACATCCAAATGTAATTAGATTATATAGTTGGTGGGTAGAACAAGAAATTAATTAAAAAAATTAAAAATATTTTTATCTTTATTTACGATAAGAATATGATTCATATTTAGGTTGCAATGATTTATTGCAATTTAGTGTTAAATATTTATTAAATATGCCATTGGAATTAAAACGAAAAACAATGAAATCTTTAATAAATTAATTAATTTCAGGATTGGAGTATATTCATTGTTAGGGATTTTTTCATAGAGATTTAAAATTAGAGAATGTTCTTGTTACAAAAGATAATGCTGGAGATGTTGCATTAAAATTTGTGATTTTGATCGGAGTAAGACTCATTTGAATGATGATGGATAAAAAAATAATTGGCTTATACTTAATAAAGACTGTGGCACAGTAGAAATTAATAATTCTATGCAAAAGAAAGGGATTGTATATAATGCAAAAGAAGAATTATTATAAGTTGGAATAATAATATTAGATCTTTGTGATTCATCTTTAAGTAAATAAGAAAGAATTCAAATTCAAAAGTAAAATTTATATTTACTTTTAAAGTGTATTTAGACCACATATATTGTAGGATTATCAAGCTAAGATAAAAATTATCCAAGCATTACTTGGAATTAAATTTAAATCAGTATAAGAATTAAGAAACTCATAACTGTATATTAATTATTATTCGTTTAAATTTTTATAAGTTTTTGAATGTGCTAATATAAATATCACTAATATAAAGCCCAATAAAGAGCTGATATGTGGCTTAATGTCTTGCTTTATAAAGTCTTGATTATAACTTCTCTTTAGTAACCATATTATTCGATCTATTTATTCAATCATTAATATTATACTTAACAAATAATTCTTAGATCTAAATTTGTGTTCGGCTATTACTTAATTTATTTAAAATCAATTTCTTTCATCCAAGTATGTTTCATAATTTCAGTTAATGTATATCTTAGTTTAGGATTAATATTAAGGATAGACTTCATCAAATCAACTGCTTCATTAGAAAGATTTGCCTTTTTAATTTCCATAAAATTTAATAATCCACTTTATATTTGTTGGTTTAATTCATTCATATTGTTTCCCTTAAATGGAGTTTTACCAACTAATAAAATATAGAGAAGAATTCCTGAACTCCAAATATCACTTGCAAATCCTTCATAACCAGTTTTAGATGTCATAATTTCAGGAGCTAAATAAGCAGGAGTACCACATTGTTCTAATATTTTTTATCCTTTAACAATCTATCTACTTACACCAAAATCACATAGCTTAATTTATTCTCCCTATAATAATATATTATCTAATTTAATATCTCTATGTAAAATATTATGATTTTATAATATTTGAAGTGCTAATACCACTTACCCAAAAATATTTTTGGCCATTTATTCTGATAATGGTTTTTCTTTAGTGAATTTAATTAAGTCTCCTCCTTCTACATATTCCATAATCAAATAAATTTATCTTTTTGTTTCAAAAACTTCATATAAACGTATACAACATTTATATGGTTGTAAAAGTTTCATTAAAGTAATTTCCTACATTAATCTTTTTTTAGCACTTTCATTTTTTAGACTTGATTTATCAATAATCTTCATTGCCACTTTTACTCCTGTTAATATTTGGATTCCTAAGCATACTTTAGCAAAAGCTCCTTTCCCTATGACAGAACACAGCTGCCTATTTTAAGTTTATATATTAAACCTTATAATAATCTGCTGTTGTTGTTGGTATTCTTTTTTTCACCTTTATAGTATTTGCTATTCTATTAGCCAAAATAACTCTTTCCTTTATTAAATCCTCATCCATTTTAAACTGTGGTTCATTTAATTGCAATAAAAAATCTTAACAATCTGCTAATTCAATTTCAGGACCTAATAAGTCTCCTAAAATTCTTGGAATTTTTTCTTCTTTTGGTCCATTTGAAGTGGATCTTGTACGAGCAGTAGAATTAGATCTAGTCACACTTACATTTGTTATTTGCTTTTTCTATTTTACTAAATCTATTTTCACAGCCTCAACTTTATTACTCTTTGTAATCGAAGTTACAGGTCTTGATAATATTGGTTTAGGTAATGTTTTCACAGATGACTTAGGAGAATGATGAGATTAATTAGCAGATAATGTTATACATTTCACTTATTTAACCTGCTGATTTAATTTCTTCAGTTAACTCATTATAAACAGTTAATTTATTAAAAATATATTTTATCATAAATATAATGCATTTTATATTATTATATTAAATGTAAAATATTGTTATAAAATTACCACATAAGCATTGAATTTTAGTTTTTTGTATTTAAATAAACTATATTTCTGATTTAAGAAATAAAACTTTATTATGTAAAATTAAGACAATCTGTTTTTCTATAATTATTCAATATTATTATTAATCAATATCTTTAATACCAATATTATAATGTCCTGGTTAGATCAATAATAAAATAGATAGATTAGCATTTTGATTATATTGTCTTAATTAATAATTTCCATGATTAAAAAATAAAAGTTTAATATGTCTAAATAAATATGAACATAAATTACATTTGTAAATAGTTAGCTAATAGAGATATAACAAATTCATTAGAATTGCATTCTTTTTCCCATAATAATATAGTTTCTTAATCAGTAACCAAATCTTTTTAATCACTAATTGAAACTAAATAATTTGAAAGATTTTTAAAGAAAATAGTTGATAATCCATATAGACATCCATCAATTGATTCATCTTCTAACTATTCAAAAGCCTAAAAATGTTAAATAAATTATTTTATTCTCTCTTCTTTGTTTTTTATTTATCTAAATTATTCTATTCTAAATAAGAATTCATTATAAATTAAATTATGAAATTCATCGCCATAAAACATTTCATTTCCAACTATTATTTAACATTTAAATTTTCCATTCAAATTATTTACAAAATCTTAAAATTATTGAGTAGAATATTCTCCAATTATTATTTGAATTACTTGAAACCCAAAAGCAGTATAAAAACAATTTCCATCACCTCTAACTTATCTAAAAGAATTACATAATTCTTTTAACTATTATCTTTATTATATAAGTTTAATTCCATAATTTTTACAAAGTGAATGAAAATCTTCAACTTCTCTTATAAACTATTGATATTTATCATGCATTGATCTTTAATAGGTTGTAGTCTAATATATTTTATTAATAATATTTTAAACTTTTTTACATCTGACTTAATCTTTTTTGAATAATTATATTTCATCTATTTAAGATTCAGAATTTCTATTCTAGAATTAATAAATATCTTATTTAAAAGGAGGTTTTTATTAAGAGTTTATTTCATTATTATTATTGGGTTAAACTTTTAAATTTGACTTAAATTAATTCATATTTAAGAAACCTTATTATTCTTATTATGAATTTAATTGAATTTATTATTAATTACATTATTATTGAACTTTAAAAGGGTCTTGTTATTAAGCAGTTTGAATAAATTATTGATTTTAAACATTAGTTTAAATTTTAATTTAACTTTATTTTTATAAAAGATTTTAATTTTAATTCTGTTAATTAAATAAATTTTATTATTGGTTTGTCTATTAAGAATTTAATTATATTATTGTTTAAATTGGTTAATTTGTATTTTTATTTCCTGCAATTGATTTCTCATTATTTTAATCAGTTTGAATAAATTATTGATTTTAAAGATTTATTTAAGTTTAACTTGATTTTTATGGTTATAATGTTCCAAAATCAATTTTGTTAAATTATTGTTATTGTTTTTGAAGATTTTAATTCTAATTCTTTTAATTAAATTAATTTTGTTATTGTTTTGTCTAGAATGTTTAATTTGTATTGTTATTTCCTGCAATTGATTTCCATGCATTTTCAATTCTGTCAAATTATTCCTTAATAATATTAAATTGATTTTATTACTAATTTATATTCTATTATAAATTTAAATTATTCTATTCAAGTTTATCTATTTAATTATGTAATTCTTAATTTTTCTAGTTAAATTGATCGAATTCTATTAATTTAAAAGTCATTTAATTTTACATTTATTCTTATCCGACATAATTTTATTTATGTTGTGTTTATTATAATTTATCTAAGTTTTCTACATTATTAGATATTTATTAAATTTATGTCTGAAAGTCTTACTCTAATTTTTATTCTAATTTCTTTAGTTCAATCTTAAAATTTATATTTTCTTAAGGCTAAGTTAATTGATTTATATTAGTTTTAAATATATCAAATTAATCCTTAATAGTATTAATTTATTCTAATTAGTGATTCAACTGAGTTTTTATTTATAAGAGTTCTTATTCAAAATTTTTATTTAAACATTTTTCTGATAATTATTTTATTTTGTTATCAAAGCTATTTATTTGATTTTCATAAATATTGTTTTTTTATTATTACTCTTATAATTATTATTAAAATGAGTTAAGTAAACTTTTTTATTATTGATTCATATTGGTAAATTAATTGTTTTATTCTTTATATTATTAAATAATCTAATCTTAGTGATTCAACTGAGTTTTTATTTATAAGAATTCTTTTTCAAAATATTTATTATGAGATTCATCTGATAATTATTTTATTTAAGCTTCAATGCATTTTATTCGATCTTCAGAATTATTTTAATCTACTTATTCTAATGGTTATATAAGTTCCCACAGATATTTATCTAAATCTGGATCTGTTTATAAATTATGATTTTTCTCAAAAGCCCAGAATTTATAAATTTTATGTAATTAAGATTCAATTTAGCTATTAATAATTTCTTAAATTTATTGTCTTTATTTGATAATATCCTTATCTTCCTTCTTTTCAAAATTCTTAGAAAAGTATTCACTCATGCTTTGAATTTTACGTTCGTGTAATTGAACCTTCTCTAAAATAAAATCTACCCTTTTATTCAATTCTTTTAATTTTGGTTAAACTTCTTCATTCCCTTGTTTAATATTATTCATAATTCTATTAATTTATTTAAATATTATATAATGAATATTTCAATTAACTTTAAAGTTATAAATTTCAATTGATTAACATATCATATAAATGAAATCATATACTCATTCTTAAAAATATATTTAAGAATTATTTCCTAATTATATATTTTCCTTAATTTATAAAAATGTTTTCATTAAAATTTATATGATATTTTTTGAGTTTAGCTATCCTTATATTTTTTTTATTTAGTCTTATAATTTAATTTGAACTTATAGAGAAACAAAAATAATGAATAAATAAATTGATAGAGTTATAAGAGAAATTTAAATCCTATTCATAAGCATAAATTATAATTTATTTTTATAATTAATTCATCATTACTTATGATTAATGATTTCTAAGTAAATCATTAGTTATAATTCATAATTTTTTATTATATACATCATACTAATTATTTTATATGAATTTTCAGGCTTCTATTGCTTTTTTCATTTGGCTATTAATAAAAAAAAAACCTTAAAACAATCTACCTTAAGGTCTAAAGGGTTATTTATTAAATCAATATCCTCTATTATCAGAGTTTTATAAATATCATGCTCTTTTAAATTCATATTCGAAATCTTTGCATGAATCTTAATTGATCTTTTAACCTTTAATATAATAACTTGTTTAGCAATCAAAACAAAATAAAATGAATTTTTTCATTTTTTTATATTGGCACTTTTCATTCTCACATACTTTTTGAGATCATAATAATCCATTGAAATCTAATATTTAATTATTTAATACTTAAACAAATGAATCTCTAAATTTATTATTTGATCTAAAAAATAAAATATTTATTTCTTAAATAATTTGAATTACAAAATTTAATCCTTCATTATATTTGTGCAGTTATGGTAGTCTAAAAGTTTTAAAGATTTCCAACAAACACCCAGTAAGAAGTGACAATTGATTAAGGTTCTTTAGTACCTAATTAAATGGATTTTTTTTTATTACTTAATGTTATAACAAATATTATGCTCTTCTAATTTACAATTTTTATATTCCTCTGATTATAAATAAAATTATTTTTGAACTTTTAAATTGTAGCTTTTATTTTTTTTTAAATTTATTTGAATTTAATTTTTCTATTAAGTTTAAAGATTATTTTTTGCAAAACAATCATAATTTTCAATTGTGTAAGTAAAATTTATAGAAAGCATAGTTTTTAGAATATATTCACAAATTTGTAATTATTAAAACCCAATTAAAGCTAAATAAATTTTTATTTATTTATTTATATGTTTGAACATTAGACAATAACAATTCGTTCATGTTAGAGAATAAATCATGACGAATAAGCAAGGATATTGTTCGATGTATTAAAACAACGTGGATGCCGTGAAATAGTTTATTTAGTGACTTCTGAAAATATCATATATCAGCTAAATCTTGATGACAATATCTAAAATGACATAATAATGATACCAAATTAACATCCTTAAATACCTAAAATATATTAAAAAGAATAAGCAATTGAATAGTAATTCCATTAATTAAATATGATGATAAATGAGAAATGTGAACCTTATAAAGATTCTAGGATAGTTTCTAAAAGTAAATAGAGTGAAAAAAAAAGTGAACAATAACATAATATAATAGAATAAGATTATGGTAAAAATATAAAAAATTAATAAAAATAAATACCCAAGGAAGTAGTAAAAAATAATCATTTCTATGACTAAAGATAATAAATTAAGTAAAATCAATGCTAAATTAATCAAAACAATTAGTCTTAAAATGATTTATCAAATAATTTAGAGTAGAAAAATTAATTAAAAGAATATAATTAATAACAAAAAGTTGAATAATTATAACAATCATTTGATTCATCTTAATTTAAAAATTAAAATATAAATAATGATAATAGTCAATAAGAAGAAGATAAATATTCAAATAAAAGTTAAGAAATATTTCAATAGTAAAATAAACATTAAGATTTTCTTTAAAAAGATGATGAAAGACAAAAAAAAGTATACGCAATTATAAAATTAATAAATGCATAATCTTCAGATTTAAGGAATATAGATCAACAATTTAAAAAATACATTTAAGATTATTAAGTTAAGAATGAATTATTTTAAGAATATAACATTAAAAAATTATTAATAAAAAAAGATTTAGAAAAAATANCTGATTATAAATAAAATTATTTTTGAACTTTTAAATTGTAGCTTTTATTTTTTTTTAAATTTATTTGAATTTAATTTTTCTATTAAGTTTAAAGATTATTTTTTGCAAAACAATCATAATTTTCAATTGTGTAAGTAAAATTTATAGAAAGCATAGTTTTTAGAATATATTCACAAATTTGTAATTATTAAAACCCAATTAAAGCTAAATAAATTTTTATTTATTTATTTATATGTTTGAACATTAGACAATAACAATTCGTTCATGTTAGAGAATAAATCATGACGAATAAGCAAGGATATTGTTCGATGTATTAAAACAACGTGGATGCCGTGAAATAGTTTATTTAGTGACTTCTGAAAATATCATATATCAGCTAAATCTTGATGACAATATCTAAAATGACATAATAATGATACCAAATTAACATCCTTAAATACCTAAAATATATTAAAAAGAATAAGCAATTGAATAGTAATTCCATTAATTAAATATGATGATAAATGAGAAATGTGAACCTTATAAAGATTCTAGGATAGTTTCTAAAAGTAAATAGAGTGAAAAAAAAAGTGAACAATAACATAATATAATAGAATAAGATTATGGTAAAAATATAAAAAATTAATAAAAATAAATACCCAAGGAAGTAGTAAAAAATAATCATTTCTATGACTAAAGATAATAAATTAAGTAAAATCAATGCTAAATTAATCAAAACAATTAGTCTTAAAATGATTTATCAAATAATTTAGAGTAGAAAAATTAATTAAAAGAATATAATTAATAACAAAAAGTTGAATAATTATAACAATCATTTGATTCATCTTAATTTAAAAATTAAAATATAAATAATGATAATAGTCAATAAGAAGAAGATAAATATTCAAATAAAAGTTAAGAAATATTTCAATAGTAAAATAAACATTAAGATTTTCTTTAAAAAGATGATGAAAGACAAAAAAAAGTATACGCAATTATAAAATTAATAAATGCATAATCTTCAGATTTAAGGAATATAGATCAACAATTTAAAAAATACATTTAAGATTATTAAGTTAAGAATGAATTATTTTAAGAATATAACATTAAAAAATTATTAATAAAAAAAGATTTAGAAAAAATATGTAATGGTTTTATTAAAGTTAGAGGAGATGGAAACTGTTTTTATACTGCTTTTGGATTTTAATTTTTAAATCATTTATTAATTACATATAATGATGATGAATTTAATTAATTTATTAATTAAATAAAATCTATTGATTTAAGAAGTAGAATAAACATTAATAATTAATAAATTGTTTAATAAGAATTAGAAATAGAGATTTTAAATGAATTCATTTATTAAATTTAATAATTAAGAATTATTGAAGATATTTAAGAGAGAAGAAAATAATTGAAATCTTAATTTTCATAATATGAACTTTAAAATGATGGAAATGGATTTTTATATACATTATCAACTATATTCTTTAGAAATCTTAGTGATTATTTAATTGAAAATAATCACAATATGAAACAACTTGTAGAAGATAAACAAAATTTATTGATTTGGGAATAAGAGTGTGATAATAATGAAGTTATTATTAATGAATTAGCTTAATATTTAAAAATGTATTATAACATTATTATCATTTAGCAATGTAATATTAATATTTTTTGATTAAGGAAATTATAAAATACGTAAATATCAAGAAAACAATTAAAATTAAATAATATTGCTTATAAGACCTGGACATTATAACATTGGTATTAATTAGTATTAAAACAATGATACTTGAAGAATACTATTGCTAATGAGATAATTTTAAATATTAAAATTTTGTAAATCAAATTAATTAATTTTATAAAATTCCTGATATTGTTAATGAGTTTGCCAAAGTCTAATTTATATTCCATTTATGGTGATTTGAAGAGTTTATTGAAAATTTAGCTTCATATAGTTTTTCTTTATTTTACAGTGATCAATAAATGGTGATAAAAAGAATCAAAAATTAAATACTATTAATTCATTTTCCAAAGCAGTTTCTAGATTTTAAAATTACTATTTTTACTATTTTATCAAACCATTTTCTGATTTAATTTTGAATCAATTGTAATTCAGATTCTACAACTTATAAATGTTGTAAACTTTATCAAACGAATAAAAATATTCACATTACCTACTTTCTAAGTTATAAATTTTATAAGTAAAATCTTGTGCCAAATCTAAATCTGTATCAAAAATATCTAATATTATTAGAAAGTAGTTCCAATTCTACACCTTTTATGCAAGCCGAAAAAATTAACAACTTTACTCGAATGAAAAATAAAGAGTTATAGAATTAATTATCTAAATAAATGCAATAACAAAGAATAGAGTTTCAGATACAACAAAAGCATACCAGTTGATATATGGAAAAACAATATCTTAGAATATTTACTAAGGAGAAGTAAGATTAATTTGTTTTAATAAAGTTTATCGGAAATACCTAATCAAAATTTATTTAGACTAGGTTTTTAAATTTTTTGAAATGAGTTTTTCATTAAAATTAAAATTACATTTTAATTTCCTTAAGTAGGTATAATTTAATGTATTATTAAAGATCAAAAAAATATCTATTAAGGAAAAAATAAATACTTGATAAGAAGAAATTTAATTTTTAGAGACTTGCATTCTAATTAATAATTTAGAAGACTAATAAACAGGAAAAAGATTAAGAGTGTATTTTAAAGATCACTCTTATTTTGATAATTATTTAACATTTGTTAAGTTTTAGTAAGCTTAAAAATCATCAATATAAGAATGGGAACTAAAAATTTTGATGTTTATAAATTTAGTTCTAACGCAAGTAAGACCAATAACAACCATAAAATGATTATTAAAATAAAAAATTCTTAAATAAGCTTTATTGATATAATAATTGTAAAATGGAGATAATTCTAAATTCTAAAACTCAAGGTCTGAAATTAAATATATTTTAATCATTTTAGTAGAAATCCTCATATATAGGTTTTCATTATAATAATAATATATCCAAATTTCTTTTATATAATGTTGAAATTATATAAAATGTCCTTCGTTATTATTTTTAATATAATTTCTCAATTTATTTTATAGAATATTAGATATATCCTTTTTTTTAATTCATTACATCAAGTTTTTATTGTAAAATTATGTTTTTATCTTAAGAATTAAAGTTAATTTTTACCAACCAATTAATTTTTTGATTAAAAACTAAAACTTCTATTATATAAATCTTCACTCTCTTGGCTAAGCAAAAAATCATATATCATGATTAAGTAGTCTTTCGATACAAATTTTAAGAATGCTCTTATTATTCAGCTTTTTAATTGTTGGTTTCCTTTTTAAGAATAAATTAAATACTGCCATATAATCAATTTCATCTATTTTAATACATCTATAGTTTAAAAATGCCTTTTGAAGAAAGATTGGATCATGAGATTAGGCTTATGGAAATCTTATCCAAAAATGATCTTGCTAAAAATCTAAATAGACATTCAAAATTAAAGACTAACTATCTATTTATAATGTTTAGGTATACACTTTTTTTTAATTATTAACTTTCTTTTTATTTGTATATACTCATCCTTTTCAAAAACACTTCATAATTATGAATTATAAGAATTCTATGTATCACTAAATACATTTGAATATATGAAGTTTATAAGTTCTATTTTCATTTTTAATTAAATAATTTTCTGTTTTCTATTTAATATAATCATGACTTTTTGATTTGTTCAAAATTAATGCAATACTTTAAATAAATAAATTTATGAAAATCCTTATAAATTTTAATATTTATTTAAGTATAATTTTCGATATCTCATCATAAAATGAATAAATTATTTAAATATAAAAATTGTTATAACAAAGGCATCATTTGATTCATACAAGAAACTTAATTTAGTTTCAATCACTAATTGATTCTCCAATATATGCTTGCTATATATTTATAACTTATAAAAAATATTTAAAAAAGACATATTTTAAATTAGTTTTATCTTAAAATTTATATAAAATGAAAAAATAATCAAATTATCAAATAAGCAATTGATTACTTATCAACATTTATCAGATATTATAAAAAGTATTCTTAGCTCTAAGCCATCTTAAACAATTCTTTACACTTTTCAAGATTTAAATTACACACTACGCAAATTTAAGCCAAAACTATTGAAAAGTCCTTTTTACTTAAAAATGGTTTCACTTTATCGAGCAATTCTTATCTCTTTCTCTCATTATTAGAAAAATAAAAAAACACTATATTCTTTTCAAAATTAGGATCCAAATTTAATTCAAATACTTAAATCAATAAATTTAAATTTCCATTCAAAATCAATTATTCCACCACTTTATTTAATTAAGCATATGGACTGTAATTGACACAAACAAAATTTTAAATTTCTTTATATTTTTTTAATTTTATTATCTATTCTTAATTTACTATCCTGATATTTTTAGGAGAAGCTAAATTAATTTCTGATTTATCATTTATAGTGCTTGGATTCTAAAACTATTCAAAATTCTAATCACTAAGTTTACAAATTAATTATTTTGAATAAGGTAATTAGTCTTATTTATTTTATAACTCCATTTAATTTAGTAATATTTTGATATAATCTAATTAAATTCTCACACCACGAACAATATCCTTAAATTTCAAAGTAAACAGCAAGATTTCTATATTTACAATATACTCAAACAATAATGTAAAAGCCTTTGTATATTTTAAAAATTCTATACTTTTCCTTTTGATTCTTGCTTCATTAGAAAACTAAAGTATTGAAGCATTTTTTCAGCTTTTTTCAAATTATTACACTTTTCTCTACAATATTGAAGTAATAAATCAGCAATTAAATCAGTAGTTCTCGCATCTAAAATATAGATTATTTAGAAATTACTTAATTAACATTTAAATAATTAATCACTCTCAACCATTAGAGATAGTTAATCATGTATTTATTTTGTTTCATTCATATTTAAGATTTAAAATAAAAGTTGATATTATTCTTGTTTTATAGCGTAACTTATCAATTTTTTTAATACTATTTCCTAATCATCTTCATTTTATGGAGTTTATTATTTTTGCAAAAAAAATGAAATTCTCAATTTCAATTCTTGATATTGGTCTTCATTTTCATTAATAAATTATAAAATATTGTGTTATTATAATCCAATTTATTAACTCACTTAGCAATACCTTATAATATGCTTTGCATTATTTTAATTTATTAATGATTTTTTCTAATTTTATACGAAAGCCTCACATAATAAGTCTTCTGAAATAGCAAAATTTCTAAATACTTCAGAATAAACTAAATTTATAAATCTATAGACGACATTTTGTATAGAGGTTAACTGTTATAATTTTATATCATTAGAGACTGCAGAGAATTACCTTTTTAGTAAATCTTAAAATGATACTTATGACTTGTCTTAAAATAAAGTTAATAAAAGCATAGTATCATAAAATAGTTTATGATCATTTTAGAGATCAATTATATTGTTAGAAATATTAGCTAGGACAATCAAGCCTAAATAGATTTCTAAATACATGTAATAATAATCTTTTAATTAATTTACCACAAATGACTTAAGTAATGAAAATTTTACCCATTAATCTTATTTATTGTCATATGAATTTTAGAATTCCTTTTAATAAATATGCAATAAGATTTAATCTAAGCAATTCAATTATTTACTTAATTAAGTGTAAGTTTGATTGAAATCCAAATCTAATTTTTAAAATGTTGGTTTTAAATAGTAATAGATATCTTCCAAGTCATCCATTAATTCATTCATAAAGTCATCTATAAAAAAATTATTTTATTATTATTTCATCAACTATATTATTTTCTTTTAATCTAGATTGCGATGCATAAATTTAATTAGGGTTTAGAAATAGTCAAATTTATTTTCTATAAAATAATCTATCGATATTGATTATAGTATTAATTCTTCATCCTTTAATTTAAATTTTGTTTCGATTTCCTTTTTAAAATTATATAGATTTTGTCTTAATTGATATTATCTTTTACTAATCTGGTCTTAAACCTAATTTATAAATGAAATATGATTTTTATAAAACAATAATAATTAATCATCTAAATTTATAAAACCTAAAACAGGTAATTTATTTGAATTTATTAACTCAAAATTATTGTTTTCATTAAATAATTGATAAACTTCAGTTCCTTAAATTAAAATTATAGTATTTTAGATACTACTAACACTAAAAAATGTGTTTTATAAGAAATCTAAATTGAAAATAACACAATTAATTCTTAATTAATTACCAATAAGAGAATAAATTTTCATTTAATTTAATTGTAGATAACATAATGTAATTTAACCATTTGGTTTATGTTAAAATACTTATATCTATTTAACCTTAATATTATCCTCAATTTATAATTATTTAGTTGTTAAATCTGATCCTTTGATTTCAAGTAAATGAAACTAAGTTTGAAAAGAGTAGTGGATTAATTGTTTATCATTAATTTGAAAAACAGTCTTCCAATCATTAGTTTGATTAACAAAAAATTTACTTAAAAATTTAGTACCAAAACTTAGTTAATATTTACTTTTCACAATTTCCCCTTTTCTTACATCAATTGATATAAAATATAATTAATCATCATCACTTAATACATAAAATTTAATAGAGTTATTGTTTATAAGTGATTTAGCCAGACATACAAACCTTTAATTGTCAACCATTAAATTCTTAATTATGGATGAAGTATTTGAAATTAAATTCTTATAAAATATTTATCCTGTTTGTGTAACAACCAATAAATAAGGAGCTTCATTATCCCTCATGATTATACAACCATTTTGAGTAATTAAATGAGAAAAATTGATGTACTCACTTGTTAATAATATTTACTTGTGAAATAAATCTTTCATATCATATATATGAATTGAAACAGTCTGACCATTCGAAACTTTTCTATATATTAATACAAAATAAAACATACACTACATAAATCATGCCTTCAATATATAAAGTACTAGATGAGTCTGTACATTTGTAATGTTCTTCAACCTAATTTCCAATTAAGGTTATATTAGATTGAGATGCTATTTCTTTGGCATTAATTCCACTTAGCTAAATTTCTTCAAACATAATTAATGAATAAAAATTATATAAAAATTGAAAAATATTGTATTTTTAATTATTAGAATTATTAATCTCTAATTTTTATAAGAAATTGATTTTTTAAATTAATAATACACTTTATTCATTCTCTCTCCTCTTTATATATATTTTGTTATCACTTATAAGGTTTTCTTCATTTTATTGAACATCAGATCCCACAATATTTTTATAAAATCACAACATTAATGCAGTTATAGCTAATCAGGTTTATTTTTAACGTAGCCATAATTTGAATTTTAAGTAAGATTTATTAATTGTTTTTATGTATTTTTATTTTTATATTTTTCCTCTCTTTTTCTTATCAAAAAAGAGTTCAATTTTAATTATTGGATAAATAGAAAATCCTTTTACTTTTTTTTCTAAAAAATAAATCAGATTAAACAAAACATATATAAGGAACGAAAGTGTAAAGAATTGATCAACAGATTATAAAAGATTAAATATAATTTTTGCATCTATATGGAGAAGGATCAAATAATAAGATCATATTTAGATATAAATTAAAAAGTTGATATTAAAAACCTAAGTCAAAAATAATCTTTACATGAAATTATGAACAAAGACTGAAAATAAAAGTTATTAATTTTGGTTGATGAAATTATAGTATAAATCAAATAAAGGTTTAATTAAGCATTACATTAATTATGATAGAAACTTTTATGAAGTAATAATTAATACTTTAACAAACTCACTCCATAATAAGAGTCAAATTATGAATAGAATGATGATTTTAGACAAAATTATTTTTTAGATTTTATTGTGGTCATATAATTTACGATTATTTTATGTATTTAAATAATAGGTCATAATAAATGATTTAGAAATAAGTAAGTTTTGTGAAATATTTGGGTTAAAAGATGGAATTTGCAAGATATGTGGAGTGAAAAAGTCTTACTAAATTTTATAGATAATCAAATGTTTGAATATTGGAATCATCATTCCATAAAGTATTTTTAGTCTTCCAATTCTTCATTATTAACACTTTCTTCTTACTAAACTATAACTCTATCAAATGGTTTAGATCTAAACATTGGTTATCTTCCAGTTTTCTTTTTACTAGGTTACATAATTTTTTCTTAATTTGCTTTGATTCTTCTTTCTTCTTCTTATTTTAACTTCAAATTATTTGAATCTCTTTATTTAACTTTCCAATCTCTTTCACATTCTTATCTCTAAATTATTAAATTTAAATTTTTACAAAATTCTCTACTCTATCTGGTTTAAAAGATCTAATCTATTTTAATTGTCTTTCTAAATGTAATTCAATCTAAACTAATATATCTAAAGTCTCTTTATTTTATAAATCATGAACTCCTTAAATTTCATTTGGAAAATTTTCACAAACTTCTATAATTTATTTTCTTAATTCTTTATGATCTTTTTTAGCATTCTTCTCTGTTCCTTTTAATTATAATGTTTTAATTTATTAACATACATTCTAATAATCTATTTATTATTTACTTCATAATTCTTTTTTAATTGTTCCTTATTTTATTATAATGTAAAAACTTTATCATCAAGTGATTTTTTTATTTTATTAAATTTAGTTTTCAACTCTTCTAAATTTTATTCAGCATCTTAAGTAGTTTAAATTAAAAATAAATTTCTTTCTTCTAAATCATTAAAAATCTCCACCAATTAAGATGGTTATTTAAAATACATTTCATATTCATCTTCAAATTCTTCTAATTCATCTCTAATAAATATCAATTTGTATTTTATTACAATTTTTTATTATCTACCATTTATTAAAATTATTTTTCATTAACTCCTTTACTTTTAATTAATTCATCTTTCAATCTATTCACCAATTATTAACGCTTCTTTTCTTTTGCATCATGCCATTCTTTTGGAGCTAACTTATCTAAAAATTTCTTATGATCCATATAATTATTAACAGCTTCTTCATTTCTTGTTTTTTCTGCTCTTAAACTTGTTATTTTTATATTAATTGATTTTATTTCAGATTCTTTAGCTTTCTTTTCTTTTACTTCTTAATCTGCCTTCTATTCTGCATCTAATTTTTATTATTTATTCGTATCCAAATACTTTTAGAAATTTTCATTATCAGTTTCTAACATCTTTAAACTTTATTCTAAAGCTTCCTTCTTTTCTTTTGACATTAACTTTAACTTATCTATTTCTTCTTCAATTATTCCATGAGCCTTTGAAACTAAAAACATTTCTTTCTTCTATTCTAATAATGTCACAATTGGTTCTTTTGATACACCCTTAGCTCTCTATTTCTTTCTTTCTTATATTATTTATAAAGCTTCATTTATTATTTTCTTATCCTTATCATTATAAGCTGTTTTTGATTTAAATTTATCATCAATCTAAGTCTCATAAGACTATATTTTATACTAAAATTATACTTTAAAATGCTTTAATTATGTTCTATTTGTAGCAGTTTTCTTGTCCCAAATATGCATTTCACCATTATTTTAAGCTTCTAACTTTTTACGATCCTATTCTCTAAATAAAAACACTTCTTCATCTGATGGATAACGAAATGGACTTTGAATGTCACTTTTATTCACTTTATGAATCTAAGGCAATTTCTCTGACATTTTATATTATATTATTTATTTTATTCATTTGAATCTAATTATTTATCAGCATAAACATAATTTATTTATATTTATACAAATTATAATCATAACTCAAAATTATTTATCTAATTAACAATTACTCAATAAAATATTTTAAAATATCAAAATTATCATATTTATTTTAAGTTCTCAAAATATGACAAACTATATAGACTCTAAATTAATAAGTAAATAAATTCTAAGATATTGAGTGGAACATTGACAATACTTAAAGTTAATAATAACCAAAACTTATAAAAACTAGTTTAAGTTTATATATATGCATTTATAGACAAACCTATCAATAAATATAACAAATAATCACTTCTAACAATTAATGAAGCAGGAAATTTAATTGAACAATTTAACTGAAAGGTTTTTGAATAATGAAATCTAGGATCTTAACAATATTTTGAACAGATTTAAATCTTTTTTTAGTGAACTCAATAATAGAAATAAATTAGAATTAGTTAAATTATTGTAATATAATTCTTTATTAGATATATATAAACAAAATTTATTGTAAAACTAAGTTATAAAGATTATGCTGTATTTATAAAGCATTTTAAAATATTAAAAATCAAGATCCCAAATAAAGAGACAAATTTATTAAAAAAGTTTGAAGAAACTAATTTATAGAATAGATACCTTAATAAAATAATTATTGATGATAATTATTTGTATTAAATTGAAATAATAATAAATAATAGGTATATCTATGTAATTAATATTAATTAATAATAACAATCTCACAATAGCATAGAATGATATAATTTATGAAATGTTAAAGATGTGAAATGATATATTAGTAAAAAAGGATGTGTTTAATTAATTATATAAACAATCATGAATCTGATAACAATTTATTATAATGTGTATTAAAACTATTGATTTTCCAATTATTAGATTCTACCTAATATTTACCAACTCCGGGTGTAAATTATCTGCTAATATATGCTAGTCGAGGTTATTATGATTTAAATGGAGCAGTTACTTGTTTAAAATTTGCTGATGGATATTAATTTTATTCTGTAAATGATATATTTTAGATAGCTTCTTAATTTTCTTTAAATCTAGGTTCAGCACAATCAAATCCAGGTTTTTAGACATCAATTTTTGATAGATTCTTTAAAAATTTTAATTACTTTTAAATTTTATATCCAATAGTTTCTTAATCTAATTTGTATTGTCCAATATCTGGACCACAACTTTTGTTTATAGCATCTCTTTTAGATGATGATTTAAAACAAGAACTTACAGCTCTCTTTTTTTCTCCTTTAGTTATATCATAACTTCCTGGACCAGCTTTACATAGTGGTGGTTTTTCACAAAATCTTTTTTCTTTACCACCTAAATATCCACTTGCACCTTTGTCTTATTTACGAATTAAATCTGTATAAAGATCATTTTAGACATAATATGTTCCTGGACCTGGATTTTATTCATCTTAATTAATTAAATCTCCTTTTCCTGTTGAACTTAAAAAAGTAGCATTAGTATAATTTTTTTTCTTTACTAATTAATCAAATGAAGAATCTTCTATTCTGTAATCTCCTGGACCAACTGATTAATCTTAGTTTTATCTAAATCTTTCTAAAGATGAACCAAAAAATTAAAATTCTTTTGCTTTTTTTTACACTTTTATTGATACTCTACCATCATTATATTAACCTGGTCCTGGGGAATATTAATCTTTATAATTTATTTATTTTCTTAATCCAGCATTAATTTCTCTATTTGTCTTATATATCAATTTATCATAATAAGATCTAACTGTTTCAGATAAAAAAGCAGGAGATTTATTTTTCTTTTTCTTTTCATCACAAATATTATATTTTCCAGGTCCAATTTCTGTAGATTATTCTTATTAAAATCTTGGTTTTATACTTTTATCCCAAGAAATACCCTTTACTTATTTTGATTATTAAGTCTCATAAGTAGTTGGCCCTACAACTTTTTATTTCTTTTGATCTTAAATTTATTTTTAATGTTAAGCTAAAGTTTCAATATCTTCATAAACCATCCCTATCTATGTTTTAGGTTCAGGAATAGAATTAATTCTTCTTCTGAAATTTTAATTTCTAATATCGTCTAATTTTTAATTTTGCAGTAAACCAACTTATTTGTTTTAACAGTTATTTTTTGCAGTATCATAATGCCCAGGACCAGGAATCTGAATTTATTATTACTAAATACTTCTTTAACTTTTTTATCCTCTTAAAATCTCTCTATTCCACTTTTGAAACAACTACTTCCATTACCTTAAACTTTGACTATTATAGTGCTTTTATTCATGTAAGCTTGTACTCCAGAATCACCCATGTTTAGTTATACTTCATATTAGCCAGGACCAGGAAATAACTCTTTCTATTTATTTGTCATCTCTGCTTATCTCTTTCCAGTCGAAAGAAAAGGAGCATAAGCAGTTTTTGCTTAATTCTCAGGAATCTTATAAACTCCAGGCCCTAAATGTGGATAAGGATCCTTAGTCTAAGTTAATCCTCTGTCTTCCTCAAACAAAAAAGCCATTTATTTAATTATAATATATTATAATTCAGTTGTAAGTATATTATTTTTATTATTTTCTTCAAGTTTAAAATACAAATTATCAATTGATATATTAAATTAAATTATTATCTCTATCTACAAAAACACCTTGTTCAATTATTTAAAGATAAATTTTTACTTTTATCCTAATAACAGATAATAAGATTTTTATTATCTTTTATTAGGATAATATATGCTCTAAACAAAAATCTTAACATTTCAATATACAAAATTAAATAAAGCTTTTTTAATAAATGTACCTATAAAATGGAGATAATTAAGTTAAAAAAATAATGATACTGAATAATAAATATGAAATCCCGATTAGATGTGAATTAACTATTATTGTTATTGAATACTTGAATTAGGATATTAAATGAATAAGAATTACTTTGAAAAGTGAAGAAATAATTAAAATGAAAATGATGATTTTGTCTTTGAATGATTCTGAATATTATCTGGTTTATATAGAAGATATTATTAGAAAGAATATCTATATATGATGAATTAAGATAAAATATGTTTCCTTTAATTTGGAGAAGAATAAATAAATGGAAGGTTTGGAGATTTGTTGGATTTAAGATAGTAATAAATGAGATTGATGAATTTTAAAATAAAGTTGATATATATAGCCTGTACAAATGGCAAAGCCAAGATTGTATAAATTATTTAGGAATGCAAAAATAGTATCAAATAAACAATCATGCTAAAATTTTCTTACTTAATATTATATTTAATTTCTGTTTTTGTCTCCAATAAATTTAATTCTAATTTTGTTAAAAAGGATGTCTGAGTAATTATAAAAGTAAAAGTAGTTTGATATAAATAAGTCAATAATGTTTGATACTCCCATATGACAGATAGTAATAATTCTACTGATAATAGAATCTCAGAAAATATTGTAAATTGTGACAAATGTGTTCTAATAAGCCTGTATCCAAATTGTTGATACTTATTTCTTTGTCATTTTCACATCTTCTGACTTCTAGTAATTTCTTTGTATATAAACAGGAGTGCTCTTGACACTACCTATAAATGTCATATTTCAGGCTATGTGTTACAAATAAAGATTGTTTCACATAATTATAAGGCAATTGTTACACTAATCGAACAAATTATTAAGAAGTTTGTAATTATATCTACTATTTTAATAATAGAGTATGCTAATAATGTCTCAATCTATAAGGATATTCAATTAGTATTTTAAGCTTCTTTGGTCTTATATACAAATCTAGTTGACAACCTTTTCACTTTTGTAAAAGCAACCTCTTAATGACAAATTAAAATCATATTCAAAATAATTATATTTTATTTCCAATATTCATTTACGTATATCTCATGACCTTTCCTCAAAAATCACACGGGAAGGCTTTGGATTCTATATCCAATTATGTCTGTATAATGTCGTTCTCTATGTTCCTGCAATTGAACTAAAATACCATCTTCTTAGTATTACCTTTCTCCAAATACGTACCAAATTGCTGCTGCTGTCAAAATGTTTAATTTCCCTATTCTATTTGTCCAATACCATCCTCTTTAAGCATAATACACAACTGCGCTGTTTTAAAATCGTGCAATTAAACTTGAATTCATTATAATTTTATATTTATAATAATAATATTTTATTTCATTTTTCTTCCTTATTTTATATTTTCACATTCTCGACATACATCCTTGAATACTTATTCTTTATTATTATTCTCAAGCTCATATAAAATTCCTTTTTTTTACTCTTTTATTTAATCAAGAAGAATATCATTAAAAAGATAATTAAATTTTATCCAATTCAAATCCACAGACTTTAGCTATTAATTAATAAATAAAAAATATTTTCGAATCATATTTATATTTTTTATCCTTAAAAAACAACCAAGAAATACATTATTTTAAAAACAATATCTCTTGAAGCCTATGTTATTTTTAATAAAATAAAAATTTAATTATTTGAAATTCAAGTAAATAAAATTAGCGCCTTTTGTTAATATATATATTTTTAACATTTAATAAACATCAAAATCAGTTCTGTTATTTAATATCACTTCCAATTCAATTTGTTGCGGTAGATTTTTTTAATCCCTACGATTTCTTCATTAAATAATGTTTTTATAAATGTTTTTCAAAGATAGAATCAATAAATAATATGTTTGAAATTTTGAAATTATGATTAAAATACCAGTCTAATTTTTTCAACTTTTAAAAATTAGATAAATAAGTTAAGAAACATACCATAAGGAAAAAATATTTAAAATAAAATTTGTTCTTTTAAAGGGCAATAAAGAAGTTGAAGAGAGTCATAAACTTTAAGTCATTCTTAAATGTTTTTATAAATAATATTTGCTATGAATAAGGAGTTTCACATCATATTTTTAAAAACCGTATTACTGATCAGAATAATTAATTGAGAAATTTAAATCTGCTTTTAGGGGACCCTATTTGAATAAATATAGAGAAATGATATTTGGTTAATGATGAGAATAGAGTTTATATTAGAGATTTGTTTAATAAAATGTTTTGGTATTTAATATATTTAGGAAAAAAATCATGAGTCTTTTCATTTATTTAATTTTTTGATAATCTTTTTGGCCAGGGCTTGTTTGAATCTTAAAAGATTAAACTTACTCATGGTATTAGGTTTTAATTCCAAAACAAAAAAGTTTTGAGTTTATGTTACATTAAGAGGTTGATTAATTAAGACAGTTCGAGGTTCTTCAATAATTTATTCATTCTCTTCATTTTAATTTAAAATTTTTGGATAGTCTTGATCTTTTTTCATTGGCGAGTAAAAATTTACAGAAATGTTAAGCTTAAATAAATTATTAAAATAATTAATAAAAAGAATATATTATTATAATAAACTTATAAATTATGATGATAGCGTATAATGATTTCTATTAGTACTTTTAGAATTTGAATTCTATTATAGAAATTAATCTATTTATATATAATAAGAAAAAGTGAAACTTAATTAAAATATTTATATTTAGTTTCTCAACTTTCTTCAATCTTAAAGATAATCAATAATGAAATCTTAATATATAATTTTTAGGTTAAGGTATTTTTATTCCAAAATTTTAAAATAATATAAATTCTAACAAGAAAAAATAATTTATTTTTTCAAGTAATTATAACATCTTTTTTGAAGATTTGTGAAGTATTGAAAAATATTTTATTTTCTAAATTTGATTTTAAATGAGAGACAATTAATTTAAAATCTAGGAAAGAGATTAAACTTGGGTTTATCTTTATGAAAAGATTTCAAACCTATCTGAAATTAACAGTATTTATTTAATTGCTTTTTTAGGTTCATAATTATTACGATAAATAATATAAATATAATTTAATGAAATATGACTAGTTACAAAGACAAACATAAAATGCAACAGTATCATTATGTTGAAGGTTCTTAGCCTTTGACTAATTTGAATAGTTTAGATACTTCACCAACTTTAGAGAATTCAATGCAGAATGCTTATAACTAAATATAATTTATTCTTACATCAGTGAGTATGTCTTTGGTGCTAAATGCTTTTAACCTAAGCATTTATTAGATAAAAACTGAGACAAAGCGAACTAATTTGTTTTGTTATTATTTTTCCTATGATTAAGAATATTTGAATTACTTTAATGTTATTACAAAAGTCTATGCAATAATTGATATATTGTGTGATATATTCTTGTGGTAATTTGAGTTCTCCAAATAGATGTGCAAACAATTCAAGAGTATTCTAAGTGACTTCAATTTAGATGAAAACTTCTAAAAATCTAAATGTATATATTGAGTTAATAAAATACTCTTCAAAGCCATCTAAATTGCATATTTAAATCAATAAAAAGTGTGCAATATCTTAATTTTTTTCAATAATGATAGGTAATCTTTAAGAAGTGAATCCACAATTTTTGAGTAAATCTTTTTCATTAGATAGATAATCAAATAATAGCTAGATTAAAAATAGAGATAGTAAATACTTTTTTTTCTTCATCATTTATTTCTGTGATGCATGCTTTTTATATGATTTCTTTAACTTGACTTAATTTATCTTGATTAATTTCAAGTGTATAATTCCATTAGAGATTGATCATATAGATATTGTCATTCCATTATAATTCGGATGATACAATTTTTGGAATAGGTCTAATGAAATCTGTTTAGTATAAAGCACAATCAATATTAAGAGATTTTATTTTATCCATATAAGTGTATGAATTAATAATAAATATTCATGTAGGTATAAATGATTATTGAACAGTTAGATTCGAAAATGCATTTACAGATACATTCATTATAGGTAAGAAATTCCATCCTTCAAGATTGATTTTTTACGGTAATTGAGATTCTTGAATATTTATTGGAACCTGGCAAACTACAGGAACTGATAACCAAGTTAAGAAGGCATCCTATATATTATTTATAAAATGATGATAATACAGCAATAGCTTCCATTTACAAAAAATATTAATTTCTTATAACACTAGTTTTAATAGTTGCTCTAAGATTTTTAGGTATTTCTAATGAAGCATTTTATCTTTCTAATTTCTAACCAGAATTCACACCTCCAAGATTCTATTAGAACACTTTAATATTTTCTATAACTCTTTCAATTTCATCATCATCTATAAATGTTAATTTATTTATTAATCTAGCTTCTACTCTACTAATTGATCTTTAAGAACGTGTATTATCTAATGTATATTCAATCAACATCTGTTCTCCTGGAATGAAATTGTTTTTGTTTAATTTTATAGAAAGTTCAACTGTTCCTCTATTTAAACATAAATATTAGACAATATTGCCTTCACATTATCTGAATTACTCTCCTTCTGAAGCAATTCTTCCATTTATATAGACATCAGCACTCTCCATCATTAAAGTACTTGCTTCATCAGGTAAATCTATTCTTAATGTCACCTTATAACTACATTTCGCTTATTTCAATCCTATTTCTAATTTATTAATTACCATCTTCACTTTTATAGGAAAAACTACTAGACATATTATATTAGGTTGGAATGCTAAATTAAAACTTATAATCTCCTGGTTTCACTTATCCAGTATATAACTCTTAAGTATATACAAAAGATTCATGTGTTCCATAATTTCTAATCACCCGATACATTATTTCACCATTAAGCTCATATTTTTTTTGAGTCTATTTTGGCTATCTGATTGGTGAATCCAGAGTTACTTGAATCCTTTGAGTTTTCTCTATTAGTTTCTCAGGAATCATTTGAGGATTGCTCTGATCATAAGGTATCTTAAGTTTCAAATCAAAACTAATACCTATCTTTTTTCTATGATCTTCGAGTACATTTTAGTTTAAAAAGTTAAAACTATCTAAGCTTTTGGGATTTCTTCTGTTATTCTGACAAAGCATTCCCCTCGAATCTGATCTCCTGCTAATGTAACTGGGTCAAAAAACTTGAATAAAACATTCCTATTCATTAAACTAATTAAAGATTTAATTTAATCATTAATCATAGTTATTTAACTCTTAAAGAAACTGTTATGCTAAAAAACATATCCTTTCCACATTGGAATCTTTGCTTAAATTCTCAAGTTTCAAAGGCACATTCTTCTTTTCAAAGTACAGATGAACTTTTCTCTCAAAATGTGTTGATTAAAACTATCGCATTATCATAAGCAATGCTATATATATAAATATATTGAATACTTTCTATAGATAATAAAACAATTGTGTTGTCTATGTCATATAATCCTGAAATTTCATAATCTAACAAACCTGAATCAATCATTATTAATAATTAATTTTTTGAACAAACGACTAAAAAGTTTTTAAATGCTTAAAATAGTTCTCTTCTAACATCTACAATATCATATTCTAAAAGTTCAAATACTACATCCAGTATTTTTTTATTCGAAATAATTTTATCCAAATTTAAATGGGTCGAAGCCATCAAATTATTAAATATCATACTTCCATAAATTCTATAATATGTAAATTATGTATTTTTAAGTAATTTATAAAGTGTATCCATAATTCCTAAATCTAACATCTTTTAACACTCATCTAATTCAGATGTGAATGATAAATTCAATAAAATTGATAAAGATAGTTTTGAAATGTTTTTATCTTTATTTTAAATTAAATTCATAACAGATTGCATGACTCTCATCGTCAATATGAATTATATATTTTAAATATTTCTACTAGCATTATCAAGAATCATTAAACCCTTCTCCTTTACTAATTAAATAATATAAATCATTTACATCTATTGTCTGGATTTTCAATCAACTTAGAAGCTATTCGCAATATCGCTATTACTTAATTATCATCATCTACATTTTTTGTAATTGTAGATAATATTTTAAGGGCTTTATCATTATTCTTATTAATCTAAAGTGACTTTAAAACACTCTCAACAATATCATATTTTGAGTATTTTGGTGACTGCAATTCTACTAATTAATTTAAACCTCTTAATCCCTATTAACAAAATTTTCATTAATTAATACATTTTCTCTCAATAAACTTGAATCAGAATCTAACCAGGATTTATAGATCTCACAAACTTAATCAAAATGTTCATTTACATAAACTCTTGGTTTTTTTTAACTTACGACTTATCTAAAACAATTAGCTGCTTTCGTAGCAATTATAGAATATTTAGGATTTGAACCTAAACACATAGAGTCAACCAATGTTCTTATTATTCTTAAATGTTCTGCCCATTCACAAAATTATGATGGATCATTTATAGCAGTTTATTAAACATCATCTAAAATTTATATCATTATTTAATATTCTTCATCGTTCAATTCTTCAAATCTCATCAACTTATCTACTATATCAATTAACTATTCAATCGGATAATGTTTAATTGAGTTTGTTATTAATCTCTTCAATTTAAAAGTCTATTCTAAAGTTTATTTTCTCAATTCTAAATGAAAGTTCTCTCTCATTGCTCTAAGTCTATTTGAACTCATTTTCTTAGAAAATTATTTAAAATTCTAATTTAGAAGGTTCTATAATTTACAATTAAAATTAAAATATTTGCTCCTAAATATTTCATTACTTTCTAAAATATTATCTATTTTATGATAAAAAAATAACAATCTAAAAAGATTATTTCTCTAGAAGAATCAATTGATGAAGATAAAAGAAAAGATCAAATTATATTAAAATTACTCTAAAATAATACAAATTTACATCCATAATAATTAACAGCCATCAAATTTGATTTGAATGAAAATGAATTACATTCTAATCAAGTTATTTACTAATAAAACAATCAAATTTCTTTAGAATATGCAACCCCTTAAATTGTTTAAAATAATCTTGAAATGGTTAAAGAAAACTTAAAAATAGTTATAAATGAAAAATTTGAAGAATCTAAATGTCTCAATTGGTTGCAATTAATTATGGAATTTATAAAAGTTATGGCCTATTGTAATGTATTAATATAAGATGGATGTTCAAATTAAAAAACACTTTGGTTTTTTCTAATGTTTATACATGATGTAATATTCAATTATTAATTTATAAGATTGCTTAAATTATTGTTGTTCTTAAAATTGTCAATACAATACCTGATAAATTTGAAAGTAAATTGTTAACCAAAAGAAATACAAAGATGAAAAGAGAATCTAAATATCTTATGGCTGGAAGATACTCTTATTATAGTTAATTAATGTCAGATATTGATAAAGTTGAAAATCAAATTTATTAATAAAATGATTAACCTTAATCCTCAAGAACCATCAAATATTATTCTCTATAAATATATAATCACATGTACTAAATTAAAATAATTTAATAGATTTTATATTATTTTGGTCATTTGGGGAGTTCTTTAATTAGGATAAATTTGTTAATCAAATATTGTACTTTATACTTTTTAAGGATTCATTATGTTGGGAATTATAACTTTAATCTTTAAATTTATTTATTTTTTATCTTTTAAATTTTGTATTGGGGCTGTGGTTGCTAATTATCTCATAATTGCAGATAAAAATATATCTAATAATGTATAAAATTAAATTATTCTACTAGGAAATTATCTAGAATTTAATTAGATAAACAAAAATTAATTACGATTTTGAGATTTGCTATTTATGTTCAACATAGATTAAATAATTAACCAAATTTATTGATCTTCCATGTAATTAATTGTAAAAATACTAAATCAAATTATTTAAAGACATAGATTCCATGAGAAATGTATTTAAAAATGGCTTTAATCACATATATTTTGTCCAATATGTATAGAACCAATTGATTTGATGACTTTATAGATGAAAATACTAACTTGAGTTATTTTTCAAATTTTCTATAAAATTAATAGTGAGAATAGACTGAGACAATTATGTAAAGTTCATGTATTCATATTAACATTTTTATAATGTGCTTAATATTTTCATACTCGTTATCCTCCTTCTATTGATGTCATTAATTGATACATAGCTTATTCCAATTACATCATAGCATTTTACATTGAAGGATCAGAAAAATAAGCTAGATACTTTAAATTATTTTACCTTAATTTTATAAAATTTTGATCATGTCTTCTTCTTCAATTTCAAATTTCTCATAAACATAGTCTCCTAAAATAGTATTAATTGCTAATGGTATCAATTATTAAGTTTCTTAATTTTCCTTTTTAATTATATTAAAAAATAATTACAGATAAATTTGTAATAATATCTTTTAATTCTTTAGGTTATTCGTTTAATTATTCTATCTAAAAATGAATAATTTTCATCAATAAATCTTCTGTAATATCTTTGGTAGATGGAAGTGAATCTTTGATTTTTTATCTAATAGAGGCTTAGATCATAAAAAATTATTAATAAAACCCTCTTTCCATTAATGACATCACACTTTCTTAAAATACATCTTCTGAAATATTTAAGACTTCGCAAATTTCCATTTACTTTTTCTCTAATAAATTTTCCACTTATTCATTATAATTTAAGACCATTTATTAATATTAAGCACTTTGTGATTTTCTTATTTTTCTTCTTACTAAAAGATTAATATTTATTTAAATACTTTTTCTATTTTCCAAAGTTAATTAGCTATATTCATCTTTGGCTAAATCTAATGATTTCTCTAGTATTTATGTAATCGTTGTTAGTGAAATCAATTATCCTTATCTTTCTACTTATATTTATCTAACAACTTATTAGAATAATTAATCATAGCCTTATTTAACTCCTTCTTCATATTTAATACTTGAAATTTGTTTTGGATTATCTTATTTTATTTGATCAATTTTAGGTTAAACTTATTCTTCAGTTTGTTAAGATTTTCTAAATGAATTTAAAAAATACAAAATATATGTTAAACTTAAAGCTGCTGCTAATCCAATGCCACCTAAAACAAAGATTTTACTTTATTTTTTTGATAAGGTAGAACCCATAATTAAATTAATTTATTACTAAATTTATTAAATTTTTCAAATAATAAATTCTCATTTTTTTTTCTTATCTTATCCAATAGTCATTTATTATTGTACATATGATGCTTCTATTTTTTCTATCTTTACAACTAAATCATTTAAAATTTACATAATTGTTTATTATTTCTCTAATTCATTTATATAAATCATAATTACAATTATAATTTCTCTAAAATGATTTAAGTTGTTCATCTAATTCTAATTTCAATTTTTCTTACTCCTTTTTAATATTGTTTTCCCACTCTTTCTTTTACTTATATCAAATAAATTACTCTCAGAGTTAAATGCTTCTGATCTTATCTATTTTAATTAAGCTCTAAAATTAATTAATAAAAATTAACATACTAATGTTCTAATAACATATTAATTTGAACATCATGCTTATTTATTGTTCTTTAAACTTAATCTTCTACTTTTTCTTTATCTACTGCAGAATAGGTTCTCTAATGAGTTGATCGGATTGTTTCTCTTAACTTCAAAATCTCATTTTCCACTTGCTTTTTCATCTAATGCAGCCTTACTATTTCCTTTTACATTAGATATAAAACGCTCAGTCAATTTAGTAATCAATTCCACAATTAACTTTTGAACTTAATCAATCAATTATTCTCTCTCTAATACGTTCTAAATCTATTCCACCATTTATGATTGCTTCTCTCTTTTCCCCAAATACTCAAATTATATATACTTCTTACAGAATCAACTGCTAATTGAACTTTCTTTTAAAATTCCTTGTCTTCGTTCATAAATTATTATTAATATATTTTTATATTAAAACATGGGAGCCTGTTCTAGCAAATAATCTCCTAAAAAATAAGTTTCTAAAACTAAACCTATTGTTCAAGTTCAGCCATAAAAGTAAAATTTTCTTGCAATTTGGAATGAACTCAATTCGTGTCTTAATCTAATTGATAAAAATGTTGATAATGAAAAAACTATCTCCAAAATCAAAACTCTATTTTAAATTAAAGGAACTATAGAAGAAATGATTATTAATTAAGGTAAAAGAGGAGGTAGAAATATTAATTAAGATCCTTTATAAGACTCTGCTTTTCAATATAATGTTTTTTTACAAGTAGACAAAATAAATAGAATTCTTTCCGATTATCTTCTTATTGATAGAGCTTTTGAAGATAAAAATAATTAACTTTTTGATAAATTTTAACAAATCGTTGATAATATCGAACAATATCGATAATCTATAAAGACAAAGCAAGGAATTTGGAAATAAAACTAAAGTACTAACTTTAGTAATACAAATGTGTATTGAACAACAATATATTTAATTAATGATTATTAATTTAGAGTTTACTATATTATAAATAAATAATATTATTTATGCATCTAAACTATACTTAAGACTTTTATAAATTTTGAGTAAATTATTAATCTCGATTATTATATTATATTAACAAAAATCATAAATAAAATTTAACCAAGAATCATTCTTGACCTAATTTTTATTTTTTTCTACTTTAAAATTAAATCATTCAGGGAAATACCTAATTAATCACAATAAAATACCCATCTTATAAAATAATTCATAATAATTAAACTAAGTTATTTTAAATATATGTATAATTTATATATTAATATTACATTCTCTCAGTCAAGATACTCTTTAATAAATAATCATTTACAAAATTATTCTAATCATCGAGACATAATTAGAAATCAAATACCAAAAAATTGAATTCCAAAATTTTAGTGGTAAAATTGACTAGTATTATTGCTTGATTAAACTATAGAAAGTTAATTTTGATTCATAATTTACCCTATATTTAAAATAAATAAATTTATAGGATTGATGCTTTAACACCATGCATTTGAGAGTAAGTTTTTGAAGTTTTATATAATTCGGATAATTTAAATTTGTGAATCAAAAACATTGAAAACCGGATTCAAAGAAATAAGAATTTACTCTAATAAGCAATCCACAATTACTAAATATAGAAATAGAAAATCTATGGAATAGGTATATTAGGGAGAAACATATATATCTACAAAATAATATGCACAAATTCTTGCCTTATTTCCTAAATTAACATAGAATATTACACTTTCTGAACATTTTAAAAAAAAGATGGGATCATAGCGTCAAATATAAGCATCTGTAAAGGAAACAGTATCATTAATAATGGAAAAATAAAGGCAGTAAGAGCAGGAATTAAGGACTAAGTAAGTAATATAAAATTTTTTAAATCATCGATCAATTAGAGGCGTAGAATAAATGAATAGAAGCACTCCAGCAGTTATAGTAAAAAAATCATAATTAGACATCAAATTATTATTGAAAATCTTTCTGACAACTGTTCTTATTATATTTTTTTTATATTAAGCAAGTGGTTGTGAATAATTTCTACTTTGAATTAAAAATAAATAAGAATAAGTTAATATTNAGTACTAACTTTAGTAATACAAATGTGTATTGAACAACAATATATTTAATTAATGATTATTAATTTAGAGTTTACTATATTATAAATAAATAATATTATTTATGCATCTAAACTATACTTAAGACTTTTATAAATTTTGAGTAAATTATTAATCTCGATTATTATATTATATTAACAAAAATCATAAATAAAATTTAACCAAGAATCATTCTTGACCTAATTTTTATTTTTTTCTACTTTAAAATTAAATCATTCAGGGAAATACCTAATTAATCACAATAAAATACCCATCTTATAAAATAATTCATAATAATTAAACTAAGTTATTTTAAATATATGTATAATTTATATATTAATATTACATTCTCTCAGTCAAGATACTCTTTAATAAATAATCATTTACAAAATTATTCTAATCATCGAGACATAATTAGAAATCAAATACCAAAAAATTGAATTCCAAAATTTTAGTGGTAAAATTGACTAGTATTATTGCTTGATTAAACTATAGAAAGTTAATTTTGATTCATAATTTACCCTATATTTAAAATAAATAAATTTATAGGATTGATGCTTTAACACCATGCATTTGAGAGTAAGTTTTTGAAGTTTTATATAATTCGGATAATTTAAATTTGTGAATCAAAAACATTGAAAACCGGATTCAAAGAAATAAGAATTTACTCTAATAAGCAATCCACAATTACTAAATATAGAAATAGAAAATCTATGGAATAGGTATATTAGGGAGAAACATATATATCTACAAAATAATATGCACAAATTCTTGCCTTATTTCCTAAATTAACATAGAATATTACACTTTCTGAACATTTTAAAAAAAAGATGGGATCATAGCGTCAAATATAAGCATCTGTAAAGGAAACAGTATCATTAATAATGGAAAAATAAAGGCAGTAAGAGCAGGAATTAAGGACTAAGTAAGTAATATAAAATTTTTTAAATCATCGATCAATTAGAGGCGTAGAATAAATGAATAGAAGCACTCCAGCAGTTATAGTAAAAAAATCATAATTAGACATCAAATTATTATTGAAAATCTTTCTGACAACTGTTCTTATTATATTTTTTTTATATTAAGCAAGTGGTTGTGAATAATTTCTACTTTGAATTAAAAATAAATAAGAATAAGTTAATATTATTAATTAAAATTAATAATAATTAGTTAAAAAAAAGATTGTATCTTTATTAAATATTCTGTTTCCTTGATAATTATTATCTAAATAAAAATAAATGAATATGAAATTATATCTTAAGTGTTAATAATAAAATGAATTGATATACTTAAATAATTATATAAATCAATCTAAAAAAGATAAGTCAGAAATATTAATTTTTGCTAAAGGAAAATCTGGTTATAGTTTTTTTTGATCATCAATTACTTCTGCTTATTGATTTAAATCAAAGTTTTGTATTAAATTTGTTATATCTTTTAAAATTTCTTATTCTTACTCTTATTCTTACTCTTATTCTTACTCTTATTCTTGAGAATGTGGGTTTTCTTAATTCAAAAAGTTAGCATTTTGATGTTCAATACTTTCTTCATCATCTAGATCTTGTTCATTCTTTTGAGGTTCGTCAATCTATTTTTCTAAAAATGTGTTTTAATTATCAAATTCATTTGGAATACAAGATTGAGTTTTATGAATTTTAACTAATACAACATATTTATTTAATTCAGATGGGTAATCATGTTCTGGTTCTAATTAATCTGATTGATCAAAAATATAACATTTTTAGCTATCCTTATATGTAAGTAAATCTTTGAGTTCTTCTGTAGTAAATTAATTTTATAGTGATTTTTCATCAACAATATTTTAAGATAAATTTTCTTTAGTTAATTATCTTTACATAATTTTTTCTTCATAAGTTCCACAAGTTATTAATCGATAGATATGTACTTATTTTTATTAACCATCTCTCCAGATTCTTCCCATAACTTAAGAATCATTAGCAGGATTCCAATCAACTTCAACACAAATCATTTTGTTGGCTCCAACTAAATTTAAACCAGTACCACCAGATTTTCCATTTAATAAGAATACCGTTATATCTTTATCTTTATTAAATTCATCAACAAGTTAGAGTCTTTATTTTTAAACTACTTTTCCATCTAATCTTAAGAATTTAAGATTCCATTAGATTAGATTTTATTCAATTTAATCTAAAGTTTATCGATAATAACTATTGATAACAATTTTTTCATTTTATTCTTTGCATTAGTCAACAATAATTTTTAAGCAATTAAACTTAATAGATTAATAATCATGAACAATAAGTTTTTCAGCAGCTTGACTTTCATCATCTTCAATAAGTTTAGGATGTGTAGTGACTTTTCTCAATAAATTTAATTACATCATGACAGAATTAGGACATAATTATAAGCTTCTTTTATATAAGACTTATTATTAAGGAGTCATGGTACAAAAAATAAGATATTCAAATTTACTAGGTAGAAACTCATTATTTAATGATAAATTACTTTGCTTAAAATTTCTGGTTTTCTTCTCAATATAAATTAACTAGTTAAAGAACTTAATTCTTAAGATCTTAATTTACCTAATTCGACACTTTCAGGACTTGAACCTTTTTCCATAGACATTTCAATAGGATCTTAAAAGACTAATTTGAATGTTTTATAAGATTAGAAAATTCCTGGATTTACAAAATCACAACATGCATAGAATTCTCTCATATTATTTTATATAGGAGTTCCACTTAAAACAATTCTTCTCTTACATTTTAATGAATTCATAGTTTAGACTGTTTTAATATTGCTATTCTTTAAACGATGGCCTTCATCACAAATTAATAGATCAATAACTTTATCAATTTCATTACAAATATTTCTAAATGTTTCATATGATGTTAATAAAAGATGATATGGAGAATATAGAAAATATTTAACTTATTTATTAACTTCATCTTTAGATCCTATAGCAGATAATGGTTATAGTCTCATAGGTCCTAACCATTTTTTAATTTCTTTTTCCCAATTACCTATTAATGAAACTGGACATGTTATAACTATTTTCGATATTTCATTTGATTGTATTAAAATCCACATTAATGTAATTGCTTACAAAGTCTTCCCTAATCCCATACTGTCTGCTAAAATGCATCCTCTTATAGATTTTCCTCTTTTGCCTGTTACACATTCTAACATAAACTTTACTCCTTCTATTTAATGGACTCTCAATTATTTATATAGAAATTAATCAACATCATAACCTTCCATAATAGTAAATTTAGCTTCAACATCCTATTATTATTTAGATTTAAAAATTTTCTTTGGTTTAACTATAGGTTTTTATATAATAGGTTCGGGTTAAGCCATAAATATTTTACCAGATTTGAATTCATCTATTGAAATTTAATTCATTAGTTCAACTATTATTGTTTACATAATTAAAATACCATAGAATTATCCCATATAATATTAAGAGATATTATCATAAATTTGATCACTTCCTGTAAATAGTTATTTAGATTCCATATCAAATAACTTCATTTTCTAATTCTCAACTACTAAAACTCCATCAAACATTTATTTTTTTTTCTTTCTAATGTCCCTAGAATAAACAACTTAATAGGCAGTTGAAGGTCTCTATTCTTCAACTACAGCTTTCTCAGTTGTTGAAACTTGCTTTTTAGGCTATTTGAATGGCGGCATCAAAAATTTTAAATTATAATTATAGCTTCAATCACTTCAAGCATTTTTTGTCATTCCAATTTTTCTATATTTCTCTCCATTTTTTACTAAAAACTCATTCTTATTACACTTAAACTTTTATACCAAGAATGCTCAACCATATACTCACCTCAAAATACATACAATCATAAATACTCTATCAAATATATCAACTACAAAATAAGAATCTAATTTAATTAGAATCTCTTAAATTCACATTATCTCACAATCTAAATATAATCATCTACATTATTGTAATAAATATCATCAACATGTTTATTGACATTCTAAGAAAGAGTTTATCTTCTCTATAAAAACCTATAGAAGAAATCTCATACAAACACTATCAATATTATTATAATACCATCAACTAAACATAAGATTGTATCCATTTTATTATTGTATATAAGTCTTTATCTATATCTCAATATAATCTAATACTTCTATATTAATAACAATAAATAATTATATTTCTCTTTTATTTTGCTATTAAACTATGCAACTTTCTTAACAATATACTAAAGAACTACTCAACCATCATGTTAATAAACTTTTAGCAAAGGCATCTAATATTCATTTGAAATCAAGCGATATTAAAGCTCCAGCTAGAAGACTTAGTATGATTGATTCATACACTCATTCCTTAAATAATGACTAAGATTAATGGAGTGGCAGAATTAAAATGTAAATGATTGAGAAAAATAGATCATGTAGCAATTTACATGATGGCTAACCAGAAGAATCTAATAATTCACTTCAATAATAATTATCATCTGCTTTTTCTATTATGAATTAGAACTCTAAACTTATAATGCTTAGAATAGAAAAGAAATTAAAAAACTTTAAATTTGCTAAAGAAAATGATCATAATAGTTGCACTTCTACAATAGCCAAAATAAAATGTTTCTGTTTAGATAACTAATGCTTTGATTTCTATAAATCTACTGATCTCTTACTTCTTAAGTATCTCATCTATTTACTTCTTCAAGAAATAAACACTTAAAATGAGTCCTCTTAAACTTTATAAGATTAACTTTTACCTTCACAAAAAAGTATAATTTAAGATACCATATCAGCTATGCAAGATACTATTGACAACTTAAAACATAAAAAACTATTTGAAAAAATTAACATTAATCCTATTGAAGATCTTTCAAAATAAATTAAAACTATGTAATAAGTTATTGGAGCATAATCAAATATTTCTAATTATGATGTTTTCACTACACCTTAATCAAATATTAAAAAAAGAGAATATCCATTTCAACCATCTAGTGGCACTTAAAAAAGATTAAATTAGACTTCTCCTTCAATGAATTCATAAAAACTTATCTAATTTTAAATTGATGAATTACAAATTAAAAATGATACCATTTCAAAATTAACTTCTAAAATTACTGATCTAGAAATACAACTAAAGATGGCTAATAATTAATTAACTGAAACTAATCTAAATTTATAGATCTCACAAAAATAATTATCAAATAAAAATCAAGAAGTAAATTAATTTTCTATTTTAATAGTTCAAAGATCTTCTACAAAAAACTGAAAAATTATCAGAAACAGTCACTTAAGCAGTTAAAGAAAAAGATCAATTTTAAGACAAATATTAATCTGCTAAAAATAATCATGAATTACTTCAAAATAAGATCAATGATTTGTAAACATTTCAATTTAATTTAGATCAAAGTCAAATCAAACAATCTAAAATGAATGTACAATTTTAAAAAAATCAATAAATGAAACTAATGAATCGTTCTAATTGAAAACTAAAAAAGATGAATAAAAATTATAAAAAGAATTAATTAATAAAAATAAATTGATAGTAAATATAAATTCAATATATTTAGAAACAACTTTCAGAAGATGGGAAAAATCTAGGTTAATATTTAAAAGAAATCTCTTTCAAAATCTAATAGATTCCTCAGGATTAGATTCCTTAAAACCTATAAAATTTATAGAAGGAATTATCTTTAAAAGAGACATTTATTAATTCTAAATTAAATAATATGCACCTAGCTTAAATTGACCTAGTCAAATCTAACAATCAATCTAATTAAGATAAAAAATCTAGAAAATATATGAATTGCCATAATGATCTTATAGATTAAATGTAATCATACAAAGTTCATTCTGATCTAATGGTGATGATGCTAGTCTAGAGTGAAGTTATAGAGAAGTTTATGAGCTGAATATTTTGTATAAAATCTAATCTAATATATCTGTATCTTCATAAATTTGTTAGATTTCAACAAAACATATTTACTTCTTAAATTTTCTTTTGATTTATTCAAAAATATCATAATAAAACTATTTTTATTCTATTATTATTTATATATTTAT